GGACCCTGGATAGAGGCCTTTGCCTGGTGGGGTAGAGGAGGGTGGTGTCTCTGTCTCACTGTGGCTGGTGTGTCTCCACTGGGCATTTCATTGGGAGCACTCTGTGCCAGTGCTGGGAGGGGGTGGCCAGGAGCAGGTGGACAGGACAGCGGATGCTCGTGTCGCCGAAGGTGTGCAGTGTATGGAACTAGGGGGCACGGGTGGCAGGGGCCATCATGTCAGCTTGCAACATGAGGGGCCCTGGGGCTGTGAGTGGGGTCCATACCTCAGGCCATAGACAGGATTTGCTGCCATCCCTAGTGATCTCGGTGGGCCGGGGGCCACACTCTGTGGCTTGGACTTGTGTGGGCCATGGTTCCTGTCTCGTGGCTCATGCCCTGCCTGGGCTCAGGGCTTTTCCCTGCAGAGCTCTGTCCCTTTCTCCTTGCAGGTCTCCATGTACAATCTCGCCAGGTGTGCATGACTGAGCACCTGCTGTTTACCAGGGTCCTTGCAGCAGGCAGAGGGACAGGGGCTGGCTCATCCCCATACTGCAACTGGGCGACCAGAGGCTCTGTTGTAAGGTGCAGAAGGTGGTCCCCCTCCCACTGCGGTGAGCTGCTCTGAGGCCCAGCCCGTCTCCTTCCTGGTGCTCTCACCGCTGCCCACTTCCCTTTCTCTGTGCTGTTGTCTGATCCTGCAGCAGGTCTCTTGCTTGGACGTTTGCAGCAGCCCTGGGCTCCTGTTCCACTCTTGTTCCCCATAGTGCTTGCTGGTAAAACACTGACCCTTTCCTCTCCCCTCTGCCACCTTCTATGGCTCCCCATTGCCCCTAGAACAGAATCCAGCGGTCTTTAGGTGATTTTCCTCGTCCAGCTCAGTGACTTTCTCAAGCATAAAGTGCCTGGTCCCACTGGACTCTCGCTGTGATCATGCCCTCTTTCTGGAACACTCTCCCTTCCCCACCCCCCTAGCTGTCTGTGGTTCTTGCTCCCTGTCTTCTCTTTCTGTGGTTACTGCTTGTCTGCCCACCACTGCACCCTCAGGGTCTTGGACCTCAGCTCTCAGCATTCAGTGGGGACACCAGAGTGCCCTAAATGAGTGAGCGCTGACCCCCAAGTGCAGTGATGGTGGCCGGGGCATTAATTCTCCTCCAGGCCAGACCCCGTGCTCAGAACCCTTATCAGCCAACAGATCCTTGGGATGCCACGGGCCCCCCGTACCCTTGCCTGCCCGGCTTTAAGGACAATAATGCCTGGGTTTTCCTTGACAGTCGCCCACCTCCCCATCCTGCTGAGGGGAAGCCAAAGCTTAGGTGACGTTATTTCTCCATGCACAGTGCTGGAAGCTGCCTCCTACACAGTGTGGAGCCTGTCTGTCTGTCTGTCTGTCACTTGTAGCAAAGAACAGCGCTGCTTAGCGGCATCTCCCATCCCTCCCCTCCCCGGCTTCTTCACCCCACCATCCCCTTTCTGACCCGGGATGCGCCTGTCTTAGGCATTTCACATAAATGACTTGTGTCTAGCTCTTCTCACTCAGCGTGGCGCTCTCTGGGGACATCCAGTGTGGCGTGTGGTAGTGCCCTGTGCCTTTTTGAGACCGTGTAGTACTCCACTGGCGGACATCCTTGCTTTGGTGAACAGTGCTGTAATGAATATGCACGTGCAGGTGTCTGTTCGGACCCCTGATTGGGTTCTTTGCTGAATCGTCAGGATAGACATAATTAATTCTCTGTTTATAGTTTTGAGGACCTGCCAAACTGTTTCCCTGATCTTTTCTTCTAATTCTTCTTCTTTTTCTTTTTTTTTTTTTTTTGACTTGGCCACGAGCCAGGCTGAGGACAGGAAGGGTGGAAACTGGGTTTACTAAACTTAGGGTGATAAGCAGGTATGAGGTCACCACCGTCCCCGGCATTCGGCTGCCCTGCATGTGAGGATGCTGGCTAGGTACTCGGTGGGGTGGCCCCATGATAACACATCCCCATGCTCGCAGTAGGCACCTGGGGGAGTCTCAAGTTGAGAAGCCAGCTAGGCATGGCTATGGGGTGAGGGTTCCCCAGGGGTGATTGGGAAGTTGTTGCCTCCTGCCTCGAGCCTCAGGCACCACACCTCTGGGGCCTTCATCCCTGCGGCATTGCTTTAGGTGGAGGAGGTTAGAAAGGCGAGGATCGCCCTGGTGCCCTTGGAAGGGGGTAGCAGCTGGAGCATAGACCTCATCTCCCCAGAGATGCCTGGACACCAGAATGGGGCTGGAGTTTGCTTTGCTGACCCAGGTGGCCAGGGACCAAAGAACAGCTGGAACCAGGCTGGGCCTTGGGCTGGGGCTCCGTACCAAGCCACTCCTGCCTCCTCCCAAGGCCAGTTTGTGTCTCTGACTGCAGGACAGCTGCCATGCTGCCCTCGGTGGGGCCATGCACAGTCCACATCATGGGATCACTGGTGACTGGCTGTAGCAGCAGCATTGGCAGTGCTGGAGTCAGAATAACTGCTGCGTGTGGGCCCCTGCTGGGCCCACATGGGACATGTGGAGTGGCCACCTCGTGCTGTCCTGGGTGGATGGGAGGATGCAGGAGGCAGGCGTGTGCGTGGAGTCTCCTGTGCGTGCTGCACGATCACCTTTCTGATCCTTCCCACTTCTTCCACAAGGTGCTGGTTTTGGGGTGGGTCCCACAGTGCAGGTCCCTCGTGCGTGTTAGGCCTCACAGAGGGAAGGTGATGGGATGGGGCCAATAGCAGAGTGGTGTGTGAACGTCAGCCCTCAGGAAGCACTGGGTTTTTGTGACCTCTTCACATTGACCCTGAGGGGTAGGGACATTGTCACCCCCATTTTGCAGATGAGGAGGGAAGTGGCTTGCCCCGGGTCACAGGCCTTTAAGGTGTCCATCAGGACATGGTCCCATGTTTGAGTAATTTTGTGGCACGTCCATTAGTGCCCAACAAGAGTCCACATGGGTCAGGCTCGACTCTAGGGTCCTCCATGTCCAGTGCTTGAAGGGCCACCATCCTGTTGAAGGGTTTCCTCCTGTGACTCCTGCTCTCCCTGTGTGAGCCAGAAATCTTGTGGCAGGTGACAAACCCAGCATGGTTGTGGAAGGCAAAACAGAATCTGTGCCTTGTCTTCCCAGGTGGACCCAGCAGGCTCTGATCTGCCTTCAGGCACAGCCGTCATCAGGACACCGTGAGACTTTCTTCCCACCATTCATCAGTCTCGCTGCCAGTTGGCATTGCTCTAGCCCAGGCTGCAACCATTTGGCACTGGAGAGCTTCAAGCTTACTTTCTCAAGCTTAGATCACTCGCAGATAGCACCTGTTCCTGGTGCTTTAGCAAAAGTCTCAAGACTGACTTTCATTGGCTCAGATTGGGTCACATGCTTATCCCTCAACCAATCCCTGGCCCTGAGGGATGCAGGAATCTGATTGGCTGCTGACTCTCACTGGCTCAGATAGGGTCACATGTTCATCCTTCAGCCAATCACTAGCACAGGGAGACTCAGGAATTGGATTGGCCAAGCCTGAGCCATGTGACTACTCCTGGCAGGTGGGGAGGGAAGTCAGATCTACATAGAATAGAAGGTGGGGCTGGAGCAGGACGTAGTCAGGGCTCCCAGTCAGGGTCTTGTAGCTCCTCTGGCCATAGTGATCACCCCTCACGACATCGCCACACATTAGGCCATCGTCAGCAACCCAGCGGGCTGACCACCTGCTGGGAGGAGGACTGTACCAGCTCTGGCCAGCGGAAGGAGGTTGTTAGGATGGAATTGCAGGGGGCTGGGGTCCTGTCTGTGTCCCCTCCTTACCACTTGGGATACAGCCCAGCCCTTCCCCTCACATGGCATATCTAGGTACTGGGCCATGGGCGGGCTTAGGATTTTCAGCTCCGGGGTACAGGGTGTGGAGGGGAGAGGGGTTTGCCTGATGTTCTCACCTTCTCAAAGCTGGTGGGGAGGCGGTGAAGGAGACCTTGGCCTGGGGACAGGAGCTGTCATGACTTCTGGAGCAGGAGCCCACACAGAGGGGACAGGTCATGGCGAGGCAGTGTCTGGTGGAGTCCCCCTTAGCACCTTGCTGAGGCCTGTCTTCCCACCCGGGTCTTATTTCTCTGAGGCCACCAGATTTGAGGTTCTTTCCGATGTGGCTGCAATGACTGATTCTTGGGGAAGATACCATTTACCTGTCCCTCCCAGAACGCAGGCCTCACTGGCTCCTGTCCTGCCCTGGCTCTTCCCCCATGGTGGTCCTGGGTTTCCTGATCCCCTGACCCCAGCTTGCGTCTGGGTTGATCTCCTGTCCTGTCCACGTCACAGTGTCATTTTTTCTCAGGATGGCAGTGAGGCCTTGCCTGGGGTCACTCTATGACCTGTTGCCTACTCCAGCTGACTGTCGCCTCCACGGTGTGTGTCCGTGGTGTGTCCCGCCCCTCTGGCACGTGTCCAGGGACAGGCTGGCAGCTGTGAGCAGGGCTGCCAGGGGCTTTTGGGGAACTTTGTTCAGGAGCTGTGGAAAGTCCCAGAGGCTGCGGAAGAGACTGGTGGCAAGGGGACATCGTCTGTGACGTCTGGGTTCTCATGCCTGCTGGGTTGGGGTCTGGGTGGTAGAGAGGGGCAGTTTGTCCCCATGTGGCTCGTGGGAACTGTGGACCCAGCCATGTGGTTCTGTGGGTTGCCAGCACCACATTTATTTCCTTACACTGTGGGTGGGCAGGTGAGTGGCCTGGGTGGAAGAAGTCCAAGCTGGTGGGGACGACATGGGTACTGTGATTGCTCCTGTACAGAGCGGGCTACCTTGGCTGACCTTGTTTTTTTTACTTTTTTTTAATGGTAGCGGTGGGGCCTACACCTCGAACTACTCCACCAGCTCTTTTTTTGTGGTGGGTTTTTTCCAAGATAGGGTCTCATGAACTCTTTGCCTGGGCTGGCTTTGAACCTTGATTCTCCTGATCTCTGCCTCCTGAGTAGTTAGGACTACCGGCGTGAGCCTCTGGCGGCTGGCTGACCTTGTGTTTTACTTCTGTTTTCTCTCCAGGTGCCTGTGACAGGGCAGCAGCCCTTGAGCAGATGACCAGGACTGGCCTTTAATCCTTGGTGGCGTTAAGAGTTCTTTGGGCTCTGAAGGCCCCCCTGGACCTCCACCACCATGTCGGGATCCACACAGCCGGTGACTCAGACATGGAGGGCCACCGAGCCCCGCTACCCACCCCATGGCATTTCCTACCCAGTGCAGATTGCTCGGCCTCACACGGTAGGAGCATGTGGTGTGATAGGTGGTGTGGGGGAGAGGGGCAGTCACAGAGATGGGATACAATGTGTGGAAATGACAGGTGACAGGCATGGTGACAACAATCATTAGGATCACTTTGCCCTGAGGGAACAGTGTGGCTCCTCCCCTCGTGGAGGGGGTGGTAGGCTGGTCTCTGTGGCCCTGCAATCTCTTGTCCCCACTATGCCACGTTGTGTGTGTTGCCATGTGACAGCTGTTCAGCCAGAATGTCAGGGCTGGGCGTGGCTGTGCGCCAATGATGCTTGATGAGACGGCCGGCCCAACCTGGCTTCGCGCCCGTGTGACTGACTCTTGCCCTAGATTAGGCTTATCGGGCCCTCTGTGGCGAGGACCGTCTGCTCACTGTCCTCTTGGTTGCAGAGGTCCTGCTGCTGAGACACAAGGCGGTCCCAGCGGTGTTCTGCGGGACCCCTGAGCCCTGGCTGGGCTCCTAGGGTCTCTACCAGCTGAATGATCTCTTGTAGCTCAGGCCTAATGCCTGGGTGGCTCCCAAGAGAGGCCAGGGAGGCGCATTTGATCTGGAGAGAGAAGCTCCCGGGAGCTCCCGATGCGGGAGACAGGTTCATTCATTCACTCGCTTACTGTTGATTCACTCGTTCACTCACTCATCCGTCCCCGTGTTCCTTCGTTTGGCAGGCACTGGTCAGATGTATCAGATGCAGATCTTTTCTGGGCCATGGGAATATTACTGAATGAAGCAGGGGCTTGGGGAGCTGAGGGTCTCACAGGGCACAGTGAGCAGAGAAGGACAGAGAGAGGCCTGGGGCATGGGGGGCAGATTTAAGTTGGGGTTCAGGACCTCACTGCGAAGCTGACATTGGAGCTGGGACCTGAGGAAGGAACAGGGCCAGGCAGGTGGCAGTCTGGTTAAGGAACATTCCAGGCTGAGGAGCTGTATGTGCAAAGGCCCTGAGGTGGGAGCTCTTGCTGGTAGCCCCATCATCTCAGGAGGAACCTGTGGACCCAGTGTCCAGGAATGCGCTGAATTCTTCTCTGCTGCCATGCGTAGCCCGTAGGCTTCCTGAACTACTGGAATGAGGGAGCTCTGCCCAGGGCTCCCCACCTTTTTTTGAGGAGCAGCTCTGGAAATACGGAGAAGCTGGGGCGGCCCTGTTCTCTGCATCAGGCTGCTGCTGCATCTGTTGGCATAGGTTCAGTGCCTGTGGCCTGTCTGCTCCCCATCCCTCTGCAGAAAGCTAGCTTAGCCTCCGTTTTGCATCTCAGAACCCATGCTGTCCTTGGTGTGTGGGTGCCCATGACATCGTCCTGGTGGGCTGCTGGGGTTTCACAATAATCAGTAAGTGAAGTGCTCACAGAGGACAGGGTCCAAGTGTTGGGTTGTCACCAACACTGTTGGGAGAATCCATCCTGGGTGGATTCAGGTGCACATGGCCACCAGGAGCTCCTTGCCTTGGGTCAGCCTCTCGGCTGCCCCAGTTCTTTCCTCAGAGCTTTCAGAGACCTTTTGGGGAGTGGTCCCTGGGCTTGGCCTGGGTACCATGTCATGTCATATCCTGGATAGAGCCCAGCGTGGACACGGCAGGAAAGGCCCAGATGCTCCTTGAAGCTGGGAAACTGAGGCAGAGGCTGTGCAGCAGCCTTCTGAGTCCCAAAACAGGGCCACGAGCTGCCGGTGCTGCCTCCTTCCTGGCTGGCATAGGGACCTCTGCCTTGTCTGCCTTAGGGCTGCTCTGTTTGTTTGCTTTGCACTAGGGCTGGGCAGAGGCCGTTCCTCCTGGCAGATGTGAGGCCTGCGGTTCCCCTTGCCTCTCTGCGGGTGTGGAGACCTTCGCCTGGCAGTCTGTGCTCCCCATCCTCTTGAGCTGGCTTCCTCCCTCTCCCTGATGGCTGCCAGGTGCCAGATACCGCGAGGCGGGGGAGGCTTAGCCCTCAGCTCTCCGGAAGCCACCCTCAGCCTGGGGACCAGGGGGATGAGTAGGAGGAGTTGCCCAGGCCTCTGTCCATCCAGCCCAGGCACTCTCTGGAAGATGGGGGGGAGACTGAGTCCTGAGAGGGGAGAGGACAGAGCCCCAGCCCCAGCCCTAGGCCTACAGCTTTCTGTTGCCACGTGGCTGTCTAGGAAGGTCCTCAGCATCCCCAGTCTCTGAGGGTGACCGGCCCCTCCTTCTTTCCCCCTCCTATTCCCGCACTGGCTCCCGCCACCCCTGCTTGTTTTGTAGGGTCTGAAACAGCTGAGTTCTCCACACGCCCACCTCGTGTCATCTCGGAGCCTCTTTGCACAGATAGCTGCTTTAATATGCAAAACCAGACAACAAGAGGATGACTGGATTTTTTGTAGAAAATTGGGAAAATTACAGCACTGCCAAAAAACAAAACAAAACAAAAACCAAGGAAAGGCGCCAAAGAGGAAACCAAGCCACTACGGCTGTAGCCGCGCTGTGTCAGATGTCACTAACTGATCGCCTCACACGGTGTGACTGAGCGCTCTAGGCAGGACAGAACGAGTTGACTGGGGCTGGTGCACAAGGGAAGCCTGTCGTGTTTTGTTGGAGACGGCTCATTTCCGTCTCTCTTTTTTTCCCCCTTGAACATTTAGTGTTTCTCAGATCAGGGTGTGCGTGGCAGTCAGGGTCTGTTGAGTTTGTTAATGTTCAGTTCAGGCCCTTGTTAAGACATAAGGAAGACTTGGCCGGGGGTGGTGGTACATGTCTGTAATCCCAGCACTTGGGAGACAGAGGGAGGAGAATTGTGACTTCAGGCTAGGCTAGGTCACGTTGTGAGACCCTGTTTCAAGAAGGGGGGGCAGGAATCCCCAAGAAACAAAAGCATAAGGAAGACTTTATTCGGGTCCCCAGAATTGGGGCAGAGCGTGGCCGTGCAGTGAGGGTGAGTGGTTGACCGTGCTAGGGGCGACCCCCAAGGCCGGGAGAGCCCCTGCACTGACTCAGGAGGTTCAGGCTCTCCGAGGGCCAGCCAAGGTCGGGGCCTCATCCACTGACGGCTCTTGGAGCCTGACCTGGTATGTCCAAAGAGGCCCTTGACTAATGAGATTGTGCTGTGAATGAAAAGAGGACATAGGGCAAGTTGCCCTCCGACCCCTGTGTGCTGTGGACGTGCCACGCACACCCTACTTGTTCTTTCACAAGCTGTGGGGGACTCCTGAGCCGGATGCATTGCTTTGAGAGCTGGTCTTCCAGACGTCAGCCCTGACTGTGCCATTCTCCACCCTGCAGGGTACTGAGCCTGCGTCCACGGGGCCACTGTCCTCAGCCTCCCTGAGGGCATGCTTGGATTGTGCCCGATTCTGTTTTCTCAGCCAACATTGTTTCTACAAAGCACTGCCATGCATGCACCTGTCCTCTGCCTGGCCCTCCCTCCCCGCCCTGTGGCCAGCAGGCATTGGAACTGGTGAGGAACTGGGTTTCAGGCAGATGGCTCTGGCTGTCACAGCCTGTGGCCCTCCCAGTCCTGAGTGTGCTGGCTGGAAGCAGGCACGGCTGGGGAGCACTGTGATCCCAGCAAGTCTGTGTGGGGAAGAGAGGACGTGCAGAGGACCTGGGTGGCGGTTTGTGGCCCTTCTGTGTGTTGGGTGCGGCCCCACAGTGTCCTCTGACCAGATCGACCAGACGGGCAGGGTGTGCCTCCCTGTGCCCAGCAGCAAGAAGGCAGCAGTTGCACCTGCACTTGCTCACTGCTCCTCTGCTTTCCACAGGATGTGGGACTTCTTGAGTACCAACACCACCCCCGGGACTACGCATCGCACCTGTCACCCGGCTCCATTATCCAGCCGCAGAGGAGGAGGCCCTCGCTGCTGTCTGAGTTCCAGCCGGGGAATGAACGGTGAGGAGAGGCGCGTGCCTTGTGCGAGCTTGTTCTCTCAGAGGAGACGGCGAGGCCCTGGAGGGTTGGTGGTCAATGAGGACTCTTGGTGCAGCCGAGACACAGGCAAGGAAGAGGGCAGGCTAGAAAGAGCCACACAGCCCTGGGACATTCAGTGGCCTCTGGGTGTGTGGCTGGGGCAGGAGGGGCTGAGGGGCTGAGTGCCGGTATGGGAGGGTATGGGACTGGTTGCTGGCCTAAGGGACATACGTGTCCACTCTGGCACAGGACCCTCCTTCCTTTCCTCCCATTGCCCTGCCCTTTTGGGGCCTTGCGGCCCAGGAGGGCATCTGAGGCTGGAGTGGGAATTCTGGGCCACTCGTCACTTGCTTGCTTCTGCTTTCCTGGGACCTCCTGCTGGGGATGGCCAAGGTGGGGGAATTGTGCCCACTTCTGAGAGGGGACCACTGAGGCCACGGGCTTAAGGGACAGCCCTGTGCCCTTCATAGCACTATGTACCCTTTGATGCCCTAGAGGCATCCTAGGGCCATGGTGAGGGGCCACCCTGCTGAGGCCTCATTCTCCTGAGGTACAGGGGTAGTGGACTATGGGATGTAGATGTCTGAAGGTGGAAGAGGCGGCCACGCCTACATCCCCTAGGCCTGCAGTGGTTCCAGGCTGTGTCACAAAATGCCACATACTAGATGTCAACTCAGCAGCGATGCAGCCACTCAGTTCTGGGGGTCTGGGCTTGCGGTTGGGTGCCTGCTGCAGGCTGGGTCCCCAGAAAACCCCTGGGGAGCCTGTCCAGCTTCTGGTGGCCCGTGGCCTTCTTGCACTGTGGCTGCCTCTCATTCTCTGCCCCTGTCCCTCATGGGGTCCCTGTGTCTCCATGACCTCTTCTCCCATAAGGACTCCTGTCATCGCTCTTAGTACCCCGGGTCCACCCCATCTTAGCTTCACAATATCTGCAAAGACCCCGCTCCAGGCCAGGTCATACTCTGAGGGTCCTGTGGCTGAGTCTTGGGGGGCGCATTCAGCTCTGCAGTACTCTTTCTAGGTCTCAGCGGAAAGCCCACACTCCTGCCAGGCTCTTCGTAATAGTGAAGTCTTGGGTCCCGAGACAGACAGCACATCTGGGGACCCAGAAAGGGACTTGGGACTTGCTGTGCCTGCCCAACCTACATGGCAATTGGTAGCATTCAGTCTGTATGCACTGATGGGGCACCTGCTGAATGCCTCATACTGGGATAAAGCAATGATACAGACGAAGGAACCTGCCTTTGGGGGGTGGACACACTGGTGTCAGGGAGGCCACCGTCAGACTCCTGTGGCCCACTGAGCAAGTGGGGAGGGCTGGCTGGTATCACTTGCACAGAGGCGTGAAGGAGAGGGGCAGCTCGGAAGGAGCTGGTTTGTAAGTAGTCCAGGCAGAGTCCCACCAGGTGCAAAGGCCCTGAGGCAGCAGTGCGGTGGGTGAGGTGAATAGGGGCCAGATTGGACCTTTGGGTGAGGGCAGTGAGCTTGGGGTCTGCTCTGAGTATGTGGAAAAGCATCTAGAATGTTCCAGGCTCTCCTGTGGGTGGAAGCTGGAGCCCTAACTCTGCAGGGTGTGCTTGGGCAGGCCACGCCCTCTCTGTGCAAATGGGAAGCCATCAGGAGCAATCAGACTGGACAGCTCCAATCACGGAGCTGCAGGCCAGGTTTAACAGAGGGAGTGCTGTGATCGTGAGGACATGGGGTGGCTCATGGTATCATCCATGTTAGACACACAGCACTTCCTGGACCCCACTGTGCCTGAGTCCCTGGGGATCCTGTTGAAAGGCTGATGTGGCTTAGTATGTCAGGGTGGACTCTGGGTCTGCATACCCAATCAGCTTGGTGCTGTGCAGCGGGTCCCCGGCCCACACCGAGTGGCCAGCAATGGGCAGTCACCATGGGGATTTCTGTGTTGGCACCAGCATGTCCCATTCCCGCCAGTGTCCTGCCTTGCTGTGTGACCTTGGATGGGGCACAGCGGGGCCTTGGGGTCCCAGCCCCTGTCTCCTGTGTGATGTGTTTCCCTGGCCTCCCTCAGGTCCCAGGAGCTCCACCTGCGGCCTGAGTCGCACTCCTACCTGCCCGAGCTGGGCAAGTCAGAGATGGAGTTCATGGACAGCAAACGTCCACGCCTAGAGCTGCTGCCCGACCCCCTGCTGCGGCCATCACCCCTGCTGGCTGCGGGTCAGCCCGGTGGATCTGAGGACCTCACCAAGGTAAGGCCTGGCCCTGGCTAACTTGGGGTCTGCTGCCAATGAGGCTGGGGGTAGGGAAGGGTGGGTGTCCTGGGAGAGGGGTTGGCTCGGGCACAGGCACAGACGTGGGACCAAGCATGGAGCTGCAGTGGCCAGGCAGTGAGAGGAGGCATAGGACAAGGTCTCTCTGGAGGAGAGAGGGGATGGGAAGAACCAGGGAGGGTGTTCTGGGTGGCAGGAATATGTGCAAAGGCCCTGAGACAGGACTGGGCTTGTCGCATGGTAGCTGGCTAGTGAGAGGGCAGATAAGGTTCTTGGGGACGCTGGAGCAGAGAGCTGGGCTGTGACAGGCGTGAGGCCAGCCTGTGTCGAGCCTCAGCACGTATACCATATGCTTAGTTGGGGCTGGTCATTTGGGCAATGGGTTTTCTGGAACAGAAGTTGAGGACCTCTTGGGTCTGCACAGTGGGTGATGCCCAGGACTTGAGCATGGGTGCTGGGAGGCCTCCCAGACTTCTGATGCTGGAGGGGCAGAGTGGGGGTCTCAGAGTCTTCTGTGAAGAGGTCGGGGAGGGTCAGGTCAGTACCAAGGGTCAGGGCGTGGTCTGGAGTCCCAGAGCCCCCAACAGATCCTCCTTCCTGCTGTCTAGTTCTGGCCACTTTTTGACAAAGGTGCCTGGCAGTGCTGGGCTGAGGGGCCCCAGGGTGGTGTCTGGCCTGGGGAGCTGGGTAGCACCAAGCTTGTCTCTGTCTCTGTGGTGGAGGCCCCTTGCATTCTAGGTGACCTGGCCACCCTTCCTGGCTCTGCCCTCCTTCATCCAAGAGCCTTCCATTCCAGAGCCTTCTGTCTGTCTGCCCCAAGTCCCCACTCCACAGCTGTGTTGCCCTGGGTGAGGGTCCCCATCTCTCTGAGCCCTACGTGCCCCTCCCCTTGGGAATCTGGGGCAATAGCAGAATGGACCCCATGTTACCCATGTCACCCAGCATGTCACCCACGTCACCCAGCACATCACAGCCTGTCACCCAGCCTCTGGTTAGAGTGCCTGGCTGTGAGCCCCACACATCGGGTGTGTGAGGCACCTGTGTGTTGAATGGCTGGTTGTCGCATGTTGGGCCAGGGGCCTGGGGAGAGACTCAGCTTATGTAGGAGAGAGAAGTGGTCTCTGTGGACCCCAGGGTGCTTCTGGGGGCACAGGGCTGCAGGATGTGGTCAGCAGTCCCAAGGCCAGATGGCTGGGTTTACCCACTTACTTGGTTGAGCTGTGGTCCCCTGCTCCCCTGCTGGATACCCGAGGGCCACCCTGGGATCTTTGGGCCCTGGCACTGGCTCTGCCCGAGGGCTGACACCTCTCCTCATGGAGCTGCTTTCCTCCTTCCTTCCCCCTCCCAACTCAGTTGTGCTGCCAGGCCTCCCAGCACCCGGGGCCCAAGGTGGCTCTGGCTGAGGCAGGACCTCCACCATGTCCTCCAAGGTGTGAGAAGCAGCCACTGTTGGCAGCCCTGCTGAGACTGTGTGTGTGGGGAATCTCTGTCATGGAGTTTGGGATACACATTTGAGTCTGGTCTTGGGACAGGTGCAGCTGCCGGGCTCCCTCCTCTAGCACTGCACTGAGCAACTGGGTGGGAGGAAGGGGGTCTTGGCTCTTCATCCTTCTACCCACCCATCCATCTATCCATCCGCTCATCCGTCCATTCATCTATCCGTCTTCCATCCAACCACCTACTCATTCATCCGTCTATCCATTGCTTTTCTCTGCCTGTCCCTCTGTCAATCTGTTCATTCATTTGCCCATCCATCCCTCCCTCCATCTTCCATCCATCCACCTACCCATCTGTTTATCTATCTGTCCATCCATCCATCCCTCCATCTTCCATCCATCCCTCCCTCCATCTTCCATCCATCCATCTACCCATCTGTTTATCCGTCTGTCCATCCATCCATCCCTCCATCTTCCATCCATCTACCCGTCTTTTTATCCATCTGTCCATCCATCCATCCCTCCATCTTCCATCCATCCATCTACCCGTCTGTTTATCCGTCTGTCCATCCATCCATCCCTCCATCTTCCATCCATCCATCTACCCGTCTGTTTATCCGTCTGTCCATCCATCCACCCCTACATCTTCCATCCATCCATCTACCCATCTGTTTATCCGTCTGCCCATCCATCCACCCCTACATCTTCCATCCATCCATCTACCCGTCTGTTTATCCGTCTGCCCATTCATCCATCCATCTATCTTCCATCCATCCACTTACTCATCTGTCTATCCACCATCTTCTACCCATCCATCTACCAATCTGTTCATCCATCTATCTGTCCATCCTCTTATCCATCCACCCACCCATCCATCCATCCATGCCCAGACTCCTGCCCCTCTGCCCCGTCACCACCATCTGCCATGCCTTGCTTGGCTCCTCCACATGCTGCCATGTGTCTGGGGTCCTGTAAGTGACACTCCCTGGATTGGGTACCTGGCCAGTGGCTGTTTCCTATCTGGATGGGGTGGCTCCCCCGATGCGTGTCCAGCCAGCGGGACCTGCCATGCCTCTACTGGCCCTGAGGATTCCACAGAGTGTGGGTTGGCACAGAAGGGACATGTGACATTGCTGTTGGGATCTGTGCTGATGGGGAACTGGGATGGCCCAGGTTCACCCAGTTGCCCCAAGGCTGTGACTGGCTGCTTCCCTGGATGGGGATCATGGCCAGGTGATGTGTTTGTTCAGCTGTGGGATGGCTGAACAGTTCCAGCACCCTGTGACCGGGGGATGTGCACGTACTCATTCACAGGCTCCCATGCTACAAAGTCAGTGCCCCTCTTTGGGTGGGGGCAGGATGGGAGGGGCCAGCTGGGTCCTTGTCCTGCTTGATACCACTGCACGGGTTGATGGCTGGATCTCAGGCCCAGGTGGGTCCTTCTGGGGAGCAAGTGAGAGAAGGCATTCCAGGTAGTATTAAGAGAGCACCAACTGTGTGCTCCCAAGCATTTTTAAAGTCATCTTCATGATTTCCTATATGTGTACAGTGTACCTCAAATATGCTCACCCCATGTTATTTTTTGGGGGAAATTGGATTTGAGCTCGGGGCCTCGCGCTTGCTAGGTAGGCCTTCTGCCACTGGAGCCACTCCACTGGCCCCTTCTGAAGCATTTCCCAGCCCCATGAGGTGCATGGGGTCTCTTGATGGGGCCCAGGCTGAGAGCAGCTAGCTTTGCACCAGCTCTGCCCACCAGCTTGCTCACCCCTGTTCCCCTCTGGCCCCCTTTCCCCTCCCAGAGATCCCAGACTAAGACTACTTCCTTCTCGCCTTGTATGGGAGGCAAGATGGGGTCGCGGCTCTGTTCTTGGGGTGGGGAGGGGGGCCCTGCAGCTAACAGCAGGTGTGTGGGTCTCAGGGATGGCCTAGGGGACTTTGTGCTCTTGTTGGGAACCTGATCCCCAGAGTAGGCCATGGTCCTAGGCACTCATGTCCCTGTCCAGAGCACAGGTCCCAGGTGTCCTGGCCTGCCCCATTGGCTTCTGTAGCTACCAGCTGGTCTCCAGAATGGCCAGGTGGTCACCTGTGGCTCTCCTGAGAGTTCTGTCCCCACAGCCCCTGAGTCCCCTGCTGCCCCTCCCTCTCCTATGTCCCCTCTTCCTGCAGTCCTTCCCTGTGGGGTCTGCCTTGGCCTGTGTCTCTGCCTGATTGTGTGTGTGTGTGTCTCAGTCTCTCTGCATCTTCGTCCCCGTCTCTTGTTTCTGCATTTTCTCTTTCTCAGTCTCTGTATCTGTTTCTGCTTTTATTCTGTTTTGCTGTCACTTCTCTTTTTTTGTTTGCCTTATCAGTCTCTGCTTCTGTTTCCCCGACTCTCTGTCTCTTGCCGTCTCACTGTGTGTTACTTTCTACCTGTGTCTTGCTGCCACTTTCTGTCTTGCTGTCTCACTGTCTCGTCTCTGCCTCTCTGTCTCACTGTCTCTGTGTCTCTCCCTATCTCTTGCAGTCTCACTGTCTCTGTGTCTCCCTGTCTCTTTCTGTTTGTCTGTCTCTGCCTCTCCTGTCTTCCTGGCCCTGGCAGGGGTGGAGCCCAGGCAGTGGGGCCGGCTGGGGTTCTGTGGTTCTCTTGGGCTGTTGGTGGTGGAAAGTCTGAGTGGCTCTGGCGAGGGCCGGGGCCCAGCAGTATTCACATGGAGTTTGCATCTGCTGCCTTGAGTTCAGCTGGAAGCAGAGCCGGGAATTCGAGAACTTGAGCGTGGGTCTGCCCGGCCCCCGCCCCCGCTGTGTCCCTTTTCCTATGAAGTGTTCTGTCCCATGACGCTCCGTGGCCTTGGCTTCGGGCTCATTAGAGGGCTCTTTGGCTCTTTTGGAATCCACCAGCTTTGTTTTGGGGACTTCAGAGCCTTTACAGATGGAACCATTTCTGGAAGTCCCTTGGGCTGTTAAGCTCTTCTGGTGAAATGGACGGAGAGCCCCAGTCAGGCTGGTGTAAGCAGGAACCCTGGCTCCCATGACGGAAGTCACCAAGACCCCATCTGTCATCTTCCGCGTGGTCTTAGTGTGTTGATAAGCAGCAGCTGTGGCTCCAGGCCACGGCTGTCCCCTCCCAGGTTCAAGCCCAGTAGAAAGAAAGAGCTCTCCGTCCCTCCTTCCATCGTGTCTGCTTCTCAGGCGGCATTAAGGGGCCACTGCCTGTCCTGGACTTGTCACTGTGCTGGGATGGGACAAGCAGGCCCTTTCTGTGTGAGCTTTGTTCTTTCACTCTGCCTTGAAGTTTCACACCCAGTGGGGCATTGCGACTCAGTGGAGGACATCAGCTTATTCCTTCCCGGCCTCTGGGCTGACACCAAGGCAGGCAGTCATGGGGAGCTACCTGCCACGTGGAGGCCCCCATGCCCCCTGCCATGAGGGCCTCATTTTGAGTTGAGGGATTCCCACGACATAAACTCTCCCAAGTGAGAGTCCATAGCCTGTGTAGGACATTTGATGCTGTGGCTGTACATTGTCACCATCCCAAAAAGAACCCCTGCACTGACATGAGGTCACTCCCACGTCACCCAGCACTCCGTCCCCACCCCCAGCTGTGTCAGTGGAGGTGCTTGCCCGGACGTTTCCTGCACACGAAGCTGTGCGGCTGTGGCTTTGCATCTGGCCACTTTTCACTCAGCGTCATGTTTTGGAAGCCCAACCTTGAGGCACCATGTCACTTTCATTCTCTTTGTGGCTGAGGCATTGGGCACATCCCGTGTTCTGCTGTCCATGACGGCCGTGCATGTGCGAGGATCATCCCCAAGCCTGCCCGAGGGAAGCAGCGGGGGCAGATGGCAGCTCGTGCCCGCCGAGGACTCAGGGAAACCCGTTCTCAGTCGCCTATGGCCGTCTCTAGTGGTTACCCATGCTCCCTCTAGTCCCTGGTGCCACCCCAGCCTGGGGATGGGACCTTCTGGAGGGAGCATCGATTTTGAGAACTGTTTCTGGATGGCACCACCGGTTTGGTCTCAGGGTTTTAGGATGGCCTAGGACCCAGAGCCCATGTCCTTTATCTTTTTCTCCTGTGGCCTGGGGAGGACATGTTCCCTGCAGCAGGTTATGTCACCACCCTTCGTCTCAAGTGCAGTGAGATGTTTTCCCGGAGGGTTCTTTGTGGGGAGGTAGGGTTGGGACCCTGGCCTCCAGCTCGTCATGTTCCTGGGTAAAGCCAGCACAGTCCTGCAGCCTTGCGGGTGAGAGGGGAAAGAGGGACAGACAGGAACCTGAGAATGAGGAGCTGACAGAGATGGCGTGGCGCTGCCAGTCCCGAGGCAAGGCAAGCAGCAGTCCTGGGCTGCAGTTACTCCAGGGATAAAGCATCTGAGTCCTTGAGGTGCAGCTGTGTGGGCTCGGAGGTGGCGCCCGCCTCTTCTTGGACCTCCTCTGCCAGCAGCTGCCAGCTCGGCATGGAGTCACAGGGTGGGCTGGCTTAGCCTGTGCAGCCAGGCTGGAGCCCAGGTCTGGTAGAACTCTCCTGCCAGGTGGGAACTGTTTGTATCTCTCCCCGTTTCACAGGTAGGGAAGCAGAGGCAGGGAACATGGAGTGGTCTGCCTGAGGTCACAGAGTGGGCCACGCAGGAGAGGACTGGGGCTGTCTTTCTTACTCCTTGTCCCCGGAGTGTCCCCGCACAGCCTGGACGCCCACTCGAGTGTAGCTGGTGGGAGGAGAAGCTGCTGAGGAGCCAAGTGTGCGTCCTTTGGGGTGTGAAACACGCTTCGGGAAATGCGTCCTCACAGCCCTCGGTAGCTTTCCCTCGAGGGGGGAAAGCTAGAGAATCACAGGGAAGTGTGTGGAAGTGCCCCTCATGCCCCCGCCTGGCCCTGATGGCTCTTTGTCTTTCCATCCCATTTCTGCCCGGCTCCTGGGGGTGTGTGTCCTGCAAAGCCAGGGTACAGAATGCACGGGTGGCTCTGTGACTTGCTTGTGTGCTCCGAGAGGTGTCAGTGAAAGTCCGAGGAGGGTCTGCGGGGCCAGGTTGGGTCCTGACGTGTTCTCGGGTTTGACTGCTGGAGGAACCACATGGCGAGCAGAGAACTAGGAGCGCTCAGGCACCGGAGCTGACTGGGGGTGTTACCTGTGCTGACCCCATGTGTCTTCTCTCTCCACCCCAGGACCGCAGCCTGACAGGCAAGCTGGAGCCTGTGTCCCCGCCCAGTCCCCCGCACGCCGACCCAGAGCTGGAGCTGGCGCCACCCCGGCTGTCCAAGGAGGAGCTGATTCAGAACATGGACCGTGTTGACCGTGAGATCACCATGGTGGAGCAGCAGATCTCCAAGCTGAAGAAGAAGCAGGTGTGGGCATGGGGTGGGGACCTGGGGGACACCCGCCCAGCCGGTAGCGATGACGGTGGCCAAGGCGACACTAACAATGGGACCACACACATATACTGAGTGTTCCCCCACAGTCTTGGCAGTGGCCTGTTTTCTTTGGTGGTTCTGGGGTTTGAACAGAGGGCTTCACGCTTGCTAAGCAGGCGCCCTACCACTTGAGCCGCTCCCCCAGCCCTTTTGGCTTTGGTCGTTTTTAAGATAGGGTCTCATGTTTGTACTCAGGCCGGCCTGGAATGTGACTCTCCTGTTTATGCTTTCCATGTAGCTGGATGACAGGCATGCATCATCATGCCTGCTTTGTTGATTAAGATGGGGTCTCATGAACTTTTTGCCCAAACTGTCTTTGAACCATCACCCCCTGGATCTCTGCTTCCTCAGTGCTGGCATAAAAGGCTTGAGCCGCCACGCATGGCCTCTTTTTAATTTGATTTAAAGAAAATTAAACGTGCACTTGAGCAGCTGCAGATACTGCTGAGTGGAGGGGCTGGAGGGGAGGCTGCGGGTGTCCTGTGGACTGAGGGTCATCCCCTGTTGCCTCTGCTCTGGTGCTTGGGGTTGGGGGGCTGCTGCTTCTCTGGGCATCAGGGATACGGCGCTTGGCTCAGGAACCCCAGCGCTTCAGATCTGCCAACCCTGCTGCTCGCAGGCTGTGTGGATACTGAGTCCTTGCAGCGCCTGGAAAACGGGTGACCACCTGACCCCCACCTTACGGTGAGGAGAGACAGGATCTGAGATCAAAAGTAAACCCTTGCTGTCACCATTGAGGCCACAGGAAGACGTGCGAAGGCGAAGATAATACAAGCGTCGATGACATGCATTGCGTACCTGTATTTGAAGTTTTACTGAGTACAGAATGGGTACTCAGGATTACCTGCCCCTTCCCCCTAGTGCCTGCTGGTCCCCTCCCTGGTGTCGTTCTGATCTCTGTCCACAGTGGGGACACCGGCCTCCACCAGAGCTTCAGCTCCAGGCGGCACCTGTGTGATGTCGGCCAGAGGCCGGGTGGCTCACGGAAGGCCTTAGTAGTCAGGGTTTGGCTTTTATTTTTTTCCTAAATTCCATATTGACATACATATTTTTTTAAATGAAAAGTCACAAGCGTAAAATAAACCAATTTGAAGTGAATAATTCAGAGACATTTAGTACATTCATCGCGTTGTCTGTTGTTCAGACAGACACCACCTCTGTCTAGTTCCAAGACGTCATTGTCCCAGAAAGAAACCCTGTACCCGTTTCTCCTGTTTCTCCTGCTGCCCAACTACGGGTCTGCTTTCTGTCTCGGTGTGTTTACTGCTCTGGACATTTCATGGGAATGGGATCATACATGTTGGTCCATTTGTGTCTGCTTCTTTCCCTAGAGCCAGATCGGCAAGGTTCATTCATGTAATAGCATGTAGCAAAACTTCATTCCTTTTCGTGGCTGCGTTCTGTTTGGCCAACAGGTCCATCACCGTTGAAGGACATTTGTGTTGGTTTTGCCTTTTGGCCCCTGGGCACAGGGCTGCTGTGAACAGGAGGATCCAGCATTTCTTTGATTGGCTGCTTTCGGGTCTTGGGTGTAGATCAGGCAGTGGGAGGCTGGCTGTGTGGCAACTCTGAGACTTTCCGGGAGTTCCTGGGCTGTTCTCCAGTGCTGCACTGCCTCATCATCCCAGCAGCACTGAGTGTCTTTGCACATGCTCGCCCAATGCCGGGCATTTTCTTTTTCAGAACAGTTTTGGTTCCCGCCAGCCCGGTGGCTGTGCAGCGCTGTCTTGGTTTAAGCGAGGCAGTGGTCTCGCCCAGCCCTATGGGCAGCTACACTCTGTGCTTTATCTTCTTGGAGGTGGGCACTGGGCACTGTTACCCCCGCGCTTCACTCAAGAAGACACCAGGGGTCAGAGCGGTGACGTGAAGTGACCCAGGCCCCAGAGCAGTGAGTGGAGCCTGGGCCTGGCAGGGCCAAGCTCCCTTCTTCGCTGGGTCTCCACGTGTGACCCAGCCTGCTGTTTGCTCTGGCCCCAGAGGAAGAGGCCAGTCCACCCTTCCAAGCCCTGCACTGTGTGGCTTCATTTTTCACTTTGGGAGCATCTTGCTGCCATCTGGAAGCCACCAGCAAGGGTCACTGTGGGGCAGAGGCCACTCGGCTCATCTGCCCCTTGTTCCAGTGGAGCCAGGTCTCCACCTTCGGGCTCTTTCTGCCTTGGCTCTTGGTCACGTCCAAAGTGTGTGCACATCGCAGGCCATGGAGCTGTGTGCTGATCTCACACACGACACCCTGGCAGGTGTAGTGTGATCACCTGTGTGACCGGGGCCAGTGTCTTGAGCTCTAGTGTTGGTCTCTCTTTGGTGTAAAGCAGACAGCAGCATGAGGGGACCCTCTGTCCAAAGGAAGATGCAGGGCGGGTGATGGCGGCGGTGGTGGTGATGGTTATGGTGATGGTGGTGGTGATGGTTATGGTGATGGTGGTGGTGGTGGTGGTGGTGGTGGTGAGGAAAGCCCTGTTCAGCAACTTTTCCTGTCTGTGCTGCTCTGTGCTCTGCACACGTCAGCTCATTCCATCCTCACTATGGTAAGAGCTTTCTTTCCCATGATTTCCCGACGAGGGAAGTGGGACTCAGAGAAGTTGGACAACTTTTCAAGGTTGCACAGCAAGTGAGTGGTGGAAGCTGTGTTCCGGGCTTGACGGTTTGGCAGAGTGTCTGTGGCCTGTCCTGGTGCCATGGCACTCTCAGAGATTGTGGTGGATCATAACGGTTGGCTTCTAGCCAGCCCAGCTCTGCTCTGTGCACATGTCACCTCGTTTGTCCTTGCTGCAACCCAGTGAGGGAGGCGTGGGCGTTAGCCCATTTTACACACAGGGAACTGAGGCCCAGTGAGCTGCTTGCTTACACTCCCTGGCCTCCCTGAGGCAGGACTGAACCTGAAAAGCTGGTGGCTGCAGCCAGCCAGGGGAGCTGGCCTCTGTGGCGTGGAGTCCCCAGCGTGACTCACAGGAAACGGTGAGCAGGCTGACTTCCTGCGTGTGGCTGCCAGTGGCCGGGCTGCCAGGGCCGCCTTGCCTGGGGGCTGCACCTCAGCTTCCGCGCTGCAAGCGCTTGGCCTCACACTGTCCCCCTTCCCGCAGCAACAGCTGGAGGAGGAGGCTGCCAAGCCACCCGAGCCTGAGAAGCCTGTGTCACCGCCGCCCATCGAGTCCAAGCACCGAAGCCTGGTGCAGATCATCTATGACGAGAACCGGGTAGGTGCCTGCGGCCATGCAGGCCTTTTCACTGTCCCCACCAGTGAACCCTATGCCCACACAGGCCACCTCAGTGTCCCACCTGGGAACCCCACAGCCACGTAGGCCTCTGCAGTGTCCTCACCTGGGAATTGGGAGCCCCAGTGACCCTGCCGCCCTGCCAGGGACTTGGGGTGGCGGTAGAAACCCACTTGCTTGTGCTCAGGGATTCTGCTCAGGTCGTGGCTGGCCTGTGTGACAACATATCCACGGCTTAGCGTAGGCAAGCACAGGCCAGCTTTGTTTCGACTACTTTTCTAACCTTGTAGAGCATTTTGAGGTATCTCACTGTCTCAGCTAGTTGGACAGGCAGTCACCGTGGGCCTACGTGCAGTGCAGATAGGACAATGACAACTACTTAGTCATTAGCAATAACACCTGAGTCCCATCAACCAGCTCTGCTCTGTTGGTCCTGCTGTAGCAGTCTTGGGAGGATGGACACAGTTGTCATCACCATTGGACACATGGAAAAACTGAGGCCACAGTTACCAGCTAGGATGGGATGGCCCTGGACCTTGAACCTGAGGGTGGGCAGACCACAGGACTCTGGTTCCTCAGCTTCGGCCTCCGCTGACTCCTGGCCCTGGAAGGGGTTTTGAGCACAAGCTCGTGGCTGGATGCAGGGCCCCTTGGGGTCCTCAGACTTGGGGAGAGGCTGGGCTCCCGGCACTGTGTTGCCTGAGTGTTGGGGAGGTGGCGCCCTCCATACCTTCCCAGCCAGGCTGCCATGCACGAGGCTTCTGTGATTCCCAGCTGGCTCTTCCCAGATGTGCTCAGGACTTGTGGGTGTCGAGCCTTTCCAGCCCTCTTTATTTCACAGATGAGGAACTGAGGCCCAGAGAGGGACTGTCTGAGTTATCACACGCAGTGTGACAGATGGGAGCAGGGGAGGAGGTCCACCCTTCCCACTTTGGCTTCTCTGGTCAGTCTTCCCAGCTGTGTCTTCCATGAGATCTCCCCTGGCTGGGTCAGGGCTCAGAGTTGGGGCTTTTGACCTGGGTCCTGAATGGTTTCTCTGGAGCCTGGGCACAGGAGGTTGGTGCCTGTGGCAGTAGCCCAAGGCAAGGAACAACTGGATCATCTAGGTTGACTATAGCTCCGCCTCAGGAAGCAGTGGTAGGGTGCAGGACGAGCCTGAACCTGCTGGGGCTGTGTGCCAGGTCACCCTCCCACCCCCACCTTCCCACCCCAAGAAACACTGGGAACGCTGGGAGAAGTGAGGGGCCACGGATACTTCTGCCAGCGTCCTGGATTCAAATCCCACCCACCCCACCTCCCGGCTCTGACCTCGAGCGTTCTTACACCTGCCTGTGCCTCACGTTGCTTGACTGTAGAATGACAGTGTCCGTGCCCTCCACCCCAGAAATGCCCATGCTGCTGTTGTGTCCCCATCGCCAGTCGTTTTTGTTCACATTTTGCAAGATTTCATCTTTTTCAGACCTGTGTGAAACAGGTGCAGTTGTTCTTTTTTGCCTATCAAGACCCAGAGAGGGACAGGGACCTGCCTGAGATTGCACAGCAAATGAGCTTTGGGCCTGGGACACAGAGCCCAGGTGGAGCTGGCTCCATGGCCTGTGGGGAAGTGGCCCATCTGCCTGCCCTGTCCGCCCTCTCTGGTCTGGGGTCGGGGAGCAGGTGCAGTTCTCTTCAGCAGCAGTGGACACAAGTCCGTGGCCTGAGCTGTGGCTACTGTGCTTGTGACCCTCGGCCTGGGGACCTTCCCCGAAGGCTCATTCAGCCAGTTCTTCAGCTGGCTTCACTTTGCTAAAATGCCCCTTTTCGGTGACGTTCCTCTGGGCCATCTACTGAAAACCAACACCTGTCCTCCTTCCTGACTTCCATTTCTCCTCCGCCCTGTCTCTGCTTAGCTACTGTTTGTTTGACAGCTCTGGGGGCGGGACCTTTGTCTCTTATTCCCAGCTCTGTCCTGGGCTCATTGGAGCTGCTCAGGAAGTTTTTGTTGAGCAGGTGCAAGGACAGTGGGAGAGGCCAGCCCCTCCCCACCAGAAGCGCCTTCTTGTTCTGGGGTGTGGGGACTGGACCCTTCTGCCTGGGCTGGGCCTGCAGCCATGGGCAGGGAGGCAGGAGGCCCCTCGGCCCTTTGTCGGAACTGCCAGGATTTAGCACCCCTTGGGGGCCCAGTAAGATTAAATTTTAATCCATCTTCCTTCCCTGCTGGTTCCCCCAAGAGGTGGAGGAAAGCATCTGACTCTAAATGCAGAGCCAGCGGGGAAAAGGCAGCTTCCCGCCGGGCAGAGCCGCCTGGCTGTTCCAAGCTTGGCCTCGGCTCATTAGCCATTCGTGGCAGGTCTGAGGCTCCTGCCTCCCGGTGCTGCCTGCGTGGGCGGCGGCAGGTGTGCAGATGGCGAGGACAGAGCCTTGCCAGGCTGGGGGGCTTGGAGCAGGTGGGTGGGAGGTGGGCTTGAGACCAGCCCACTGGGAAAGAGCAGGAGCTGGGCTGGGAGAAGGGATTCAGAGGATCACAGCACCAGCAAGGCCCAGGTTGGGGATGGGTGCTTTTGATCTTCAGAGCAGGGCTGGACGCAGTTCACAGGAGTGAAGTTGTGCAGATGCGGGCAGGTGAGGAGCCTCGCCACCTGCTGTGAGGGTGAGGTCCTGCCAGTTCAGGGCTGTGCAGCCCGAAGGTGGCACTTAAGAGCGCCCTGAGGGGAGGCGGGTCTCCCCTGGAGTGAGTCTGGATGTGGTCAGCGCGGGGAGACAAGCGGATGTTTGTCGAGAGATGATGGTGGAGTGTTCCTGTGGGGAGGGCAAAGTGGGCACCTTTGTGAGGCGCTGACAGGGTGGGAGGAGGACTTGGGCCCACGCAGAGCGACTCTGAAGAATGTCATCGAGACTCCGTGTGAATGTGAGCCATTTGAGGATCTTGGCACCCTGTCCCCATTTGCAGGGCTTTCTAAGCAGTGGTCTGCCCACCTTGCAGCCCAGTGTCCTCCACTCTCCGCTCCATGTCTGGCTGCTCCTGAGGCCCAGGGTCCCTCAGAGGTGTGAGTTGGCTGTGGTGAGCCTGTTCTGAGCCCCAGACTGCATCTGTCCCACCCTGGGGCTTCTTCAGACCTGGGAGCCCCGAGGTCGGGGCTGTGGGACTGGCTGTGGACGAAGAAACCAAATCACGGGGGTGAACTGCAGCCCAGAAGCTGCGACGGCTGGCGAGGAGTTCTGAGTGGTGCCAGGTCCTTGGCTTGTGGTGGCAGCTGCTGTCCCCACTCTGCAGAAAAGGACAGGGCCACACATCCAGGGAAAAGGAGCTGGCTGGGGCTCCCAGGTGGGGTCAAGCCCAGGGCTGGTCAGGGTGAGCACCAGGGCCGCCGTCCCTGAGGCGAGCCAGCGCGTGTGAGACGGGTCGCATGTGTGGCACACGTGTGAGCACTTGTTTGTGAATTGCTGGTGTGTAGCGTTGTGTGGTTATCTGTGCGTTTACACACCGCTCACGTATATGGAGGACCGTGGTCACTTGTCCATACGTGTGCCAGTGTGCACGAGCAGGCACACGTGTGTGCCGTGGAGACACCGCAGTGCAGTTCTTCCAGGTGGGGGTGCGTGGCGGAGCCAGACAAGGGCCTTTGAGGGAGAGATGGGACCTTCCGTACAGCTGTGTGGGTTTGCCTTTAGCCTAGTGAGCTCCCTGAGCCTCAGTTTCCCCATCCGTGGGAGGGGGCTGGTGTTCGAGAGGCTCAGTGGTCCTGGGAGCTGGGGTTGCCCTGCCTCCTCTGTGGAGGGGCCGAGAGGCCTCCGCGGGTACAGGAGGAGCAGGGCAGCTCTGGATGTGGTTGCTTCCCCTGCGGTCCTCGGTCCTGTGCCTGGGTCCCTCTGGAAAGGCCCTAGGCTGTGGGGAGGTAAGTTCCCAGTCTCCCGGCACTGTGCCAGGGCCTTGAGCGCAGCAGAGAAGAGGCAGAGCCCGGCTTCTTGGACGTTGTGATGCACAGCAGGTGCTGACGTCACCTGCGGATGTCATCTGCACCCAGCATGTGTGTAGACAGCCAGGTGGGAGGACAGAGGAGGGCAGAGGCAGCCCTCAGGAGGCTTATCTGAGGAGAGGTTGCTGGGTCAGGACTTGAGTGAGGGCAGCAGGAGCACATGACAAGGAGGAGTGGTGTTCAGGCAGAGGAAGAGGAGGTGCCAGGGCGCCGGGGCAACTGTGGCTTGCGGCCTGCGTGGAGTGGTGAGGGTCGGGTCAGGGAGGGTCGGCCCTCATTGACCCTGGCAGGAGTGTGGATTTTCTTCTCAGGGTGGCAGTGGGGAGGTGAGAGGGTGCTCCTTTTTGGAGGGAAGTGACAGTGGGCATGCCACGTTGTTCCTGGCAGACTCCCCACCACCCCCAGCTGTGGGGCTTGCTACCTGGGGCAGTGGCTGAAGGCAGGGTCTACCGGGGGTCACAGGACACAGGCTTCTATAGCCCCCGCCATGGGCCCAGGCCCAGAGTTGAGCTGCATCCCAGCCCCAGCCATGAGATGTCACAGTTTCTGGTGGCCCGGCTGCTCTAACCTGGGTTTGTATCTGGACGAGAAGTTGGTACTGACGCTCATAGAGCCTCATAATGCACACCGTCCCCTATTCACCCTTCAGAACCCAGCTCATGTAACTCTCCTGTACCTTTCTGAGGGAGTGACATTTGTCCCCCGAGTGCCATGTGCACTTTTCTCTGCCTGAGCACAGGAATCTGCCATTAGCTGCTCCTGACCAGGCTTGGATTTGCTGATGGCAGGGGCTGGGTCCCCTTTGTTCCTTGTCTCTCTTTGGTGCTCAGTACAGAATGAGTGCTCAAAAATGTGTGGGGGACTGCCCTGTCTTCACCCCACTCCAAGTCCAGCTTCTTGCTGTCCTGGCTCAGGACCCTCTCATCCGCAGGGCAGACACTTCCGCTTCCCAGGGGGTCTGTGGTAACTCTGGGGTCACTACAGCTTGAGGACCTCCAGTGGGACCTGGCCCTTTGTGGAGCGTGGAGCATAGGGACTTCCTTTTTGTAGTGTTTCTGTGCCTCAATTTCCCCATCTGTAAAATGGGGGTGTTCCTCTATGGGCCTCACATTTTTTATATGTGGGTCAAGTTCAGTACGTATGTCCAGCTCTTGGCTCAGGTAGGAGTGTGCTGAACTGGGAGTCATTATAACATAATATTGCCAAGCCAGTTTGCTCTGGCTTTCCGGCCCCTGGCCTCTGTTCATCTTGGGGTTGTGGCTCTGAACAAAGGGAGCCCTTGGGTGGGCTGGGGCCCTGACCTCTAGGCCAAGGCTGTTCTAGGTGCCAGCTGGAGTCTACCTACAGCCCACTGCCCTGGGACTGGGCTGGGGCTGTCTGCCTTCAGCAGGGGCTACCTGGGCCTTGGCTCCCCAAATTCCTTGTGTGCCACATTTCCCAGGTCTCTGGATTCCCTGCTGTTAGCAAGTGTGACCTGGGGACCACTGGGGGACAGTTTCCATGTGGTGCCGGTGACTTTTGTGGCCTGCCCTTCCAGCCCATGTCAACACTGAATACATCCGTCCCCCCAGGCAGGCTGAGTCATGGGGAAGAGACTCCCCTGGGCGCCCACATGGCCACTGTGTTGTCCAACGCGGGGCTCAGGCCTCCCAGGGTTCTGCTGTCCCTGCACATCCTTTATGAAGCCCCTCCGCTCCTCTCACTCCTCTGTCCCTGGGCCATGCTCCAGGTGGCTTTCGAGCAGACCCTGGTGGTCCCAGGCCCGGCCAGCAGCCAGGCGGAGGTACAATGTCGCCTTCATGGCCCAGGGCCTGGCCAGGGGCTGGAGGCCCAGCCTCTTGAATTAGCCCCGAGCCCCTGCTGCCACATGCTCTAGTTTTCTAAGAAGTCCTGGACTGTGACTGGGGAGGGGTGGGGAGGCTGGCAGCCCAGAAAGAATCACATGATCGTGATACCAGGGATCCAAGAGGGCATTGGAGCCCTGGTCCCTTGCGTACATCTCTCGGCTTCCAAGCCTGGCAGAGGCTCAGCTGGCGAGGAGCTGTGCCCACGTCTCCAGCCGGAGCACGGGGAGCCGCTGAGGCTGCAGCTTGGGGTTATAGGCCCCCTGCGCTGTTTCCCAGCCTGGGAGGGCTTGGAGGGGACCCAGGGCTGCCAGCCCAGTGGTAGCCCTGAGGGCCAGGTTGGGCAGCTGCCTGCCGTTCTGGGAGCCTCTATTTATAACCTGTTCTGTGTGTTTTTAATCCCACCCTCCTCACCCTGCAGAAGAAGGCCGAGGCTGCACATCGGATCCTGGAGGGCCTGGGGCCTCAGGTGGAGCTGGTGAGTGGGGTCTGGGGTTGGGTTCTGGGGACTGGGCAGGCGAGGGAGGGCTGGGAGGGTGGTAGGTAGGGTGGGGGTGGGGAAGGAGGAAGTTGTCCATTGCCCAGTGCTGCCTGGCAGCTTTCACGAGGACAGAGGAAACACATCATCCTGATAAGAGGGCTGGCAGATAGTGCGGGGGTGGCTGGTGGCCAGCGGTGACCACAGGGACTCCCCGTGTTTGCCGTACAGCCCCAAGGCCCAGCCAGTCGGGCTGCGCATCTGTAGTTCAGCCCCTTGGCTCCAGCTCGACACTGAGAGCCCATCCTCTGGGCCGGCTGACTGTGGTTCTACTCCCGTGGCTGGCACTCCATGGCTGTGTGACCCTGTGTGGGTCCCTTAAACCCTCTGTGCTTCAGTTTCCTCATCTATAGTGTGGAAATAGTAGCACCCATGTCACGGTGAGAATTAACTGTCTGTACAGCACCGAGGACCATGCCTGTGGCAGGAAGCGCCGGGGATGTGACCACTGTCCTTGCTATTACTGTCACGGATCTCACTAGCTGGTGGCAGGGACCATGGTGGACATCCCAGCCAGGAGGGGAAGGGTGGGAGGAAGCAGATTCCTCAGCCCCAGGAGAAGCACGGGAGCCCCCACTGCCCGGACCTGCAGGGGGACCCGTGAGCTGATGGCAGTGTGGGTGGCAGCGGTGGGCAGGCATTGGGTGCTGCTGACCACACGTGTGACCAGAGTGGATGTCGGGTGCACCTGTGAACCTGGACCTTTGGAGCCCAAGCCCAAATCCCACCCCACCACCTGCTGACCATGAGGGTCTGGGAAAGGGACGTACTCCCAGGACCTTGTTTTTCCCATCTGTGAAATGGGAGATCCCACAGGGTCTCGTGGGGTCTGTAGAGGTCAGGGGAGGACCCATGTCACACGGTACCATGGCCAAGCGAGCTCTGCCTCGAGCTCTCTGCAGGCCGCTTAGTGCTGTGGAGCGACAGCTGTCTGTCCCCGGAACCAGGTCATTGCCTTCTAGTCCTCAGAGCAAATAGACAAATGGGGGATCCCGTGCACCCCCACATCTGGGGGCTTTTCCAGCAACTTCTCCCTCCTGACCTCTCGGGCACGCAGACCCCGAGCCCCACAATCCCCCATTAAGTGCAGCTCCTGGCCCCCGGTGCGGGCCTCCGTCACGGCCACGTCTGAGCGTTCATCATCTCGGACAAGCCCTCTGCCTGTGTCCGTGGATTTGCATTTCTGGGTGTTTCCCGTGAGTGGAGGCTCACAGGATGTGACCTGTGCAGTAGCCAATACCAGCCCTTCATCCCCGCCTCCCCCCAGGGTGTTGAACTCAGGGCCTCACACTTGCTAGGCAAGTGCTCTACCGTGTGAGCCCCACCCCAGCCGTCTTGTTTGTGTTTTGTTTTCAGGACAGGGTCTCCCTGCCACCTTTGCCCTGGCAGGCCTCCACCTCTGGAGTAGCTGGGATTACAGGTGTGCACCTCTGCACTTGGCCGTTCCATTCCTTCTTTTGGCTGAGTCCTATCCCAGTGTGCTTAGGCCACGTTTTAACTTTCCATTCGTTACTTGGTGGACATCTGGTTGTTTTCGGTTTGGGCTGCTGTGGATGTGAGTTTCCATTCCTCCTGGCAAATGCCTGGGAGCAGATGGCTGGGTCCTGTGTTAACTGTTCCGCCTCCTCAGGAGACGCTCGGCAGTTTCCCAAAGTGGCCGCACAGCCTTGACATTCCCACCAGTGAATGGCACCAGGCCTCAGTTTCCCCTTTTTGCCAAATGGGGATGGCAGGATTGGATGTGTTACACAATCATTTCCAGGCTCCAGCCCTCACTCCCTTTCTTCTTGATCCCCTGGGGCTCATCCAGGCCACTCAGGCCTGAGGATGTAGGGCAGGAGGCTGAGACAGGGTCCCTGGGAGCCGTGAAGTGGCCGTTGGTCTCAGGCTTTGGAACTGGGCATCAGAGTGAGCCTCTGGTTGTCTGGGGAGACGGGAATTGTCTCTTGCTGAGGGTCTTGGGGCAGAGGCCTCTTCAAGGCTGGCAGCACAGGAGGTTGAGGTGGTAGTGTCGGTCTTGGCTGCAGGGCTGTCAGATAGCCGGTCAGTAAACCCTGTGCCTTAGTTCTCATGGGAGTGTCACTGTCCCTGTTTTCTGGGTAAAGCTCAGAGAAGGTAGTGCTTTACCCAGTATCACACAGCAACAGATGAGGCAGGGAGCGTGTGAGCCTGCGCCGTATGGCTGGCCAGTTCTGCCCAGGTGTGTTTCTCCCTCTCTCTCTCTCTCTCTCTCTCTCTCTCTCTCTCTCTCTGCAATGCCCTGGTGACCAGAGGTTTCCTCTACATGGAGGAGCTCAGAGATGTGCCCTGCATGGTTGCTGTGTGCCACACGGTGCCAGAGCTCAGCCTGCAGCTGGTTTGGTGCTGCTGCCGCAGGGCTGCGGTCAGTGGGCCTCTGCGTCAGAAATCCAGTTCCAGGGGTCTCCCATCTGCAGCTAGGGCTCGGGAACCTTTTTCTGTCCCTAGGATCTCTGTGGCCTTTGCCTGGTGCTGGTGTCCTGTGATCCCAGGGAAGGCAGTGTGGGCTCCAGGGAGGAAAGTGCACCAGAGAGGAGGAATGCAGTCCAGGAGAGACAGCTGGGCTCTCTGGGGGCCCTGGTGCTGTGTGGCACTGTCCCTTGGTCCTGGGCTGGCCTGTGCATGGTGGGGACTGGGCCAGCTGGGGCGGCCCCTTCATTGCTGTGAGCCGCTTGCTTCCTTCCTGCTCAGAGGTGTTATTTTAAGAGCGTGGTGTCACCCAAGGGCTAAGGCCCTCTATTACCAGCTCAGTTCCCCGGGATGCCTGGCTTGAAGCCAGGCCTGGATAGGCCTCCCCTCCCCTCCCCTGCTGTTTTTGGGTCTCAGCATCCCCTTTCTGCCCAGGGCTCTGGCCAGAGCACCTTCCCCTGTACCTTCTGTTTGTACCCCATCTTTAGAGGGGGGGACAGGCCCAGGTCAGGTCCTTCTGGCTACTGCACTCTGCCTGTCCCAGGGGCTCTCCCTGCTCCTCCCCTTGCTTCTGTGGATGGGAATGTTCCTGTCAGCTGCCAAGGCCCAGAGGCCACCTTGGGCTACCATGGTAGCAGTGGCCTCAGGCAGGGAAAGGGCCCCAGCTGGAGTGGCTGCCTGACCTCATGTGGCCCTTGTGCAAAGGGGATGGTGGTTTGTGTGGAGCCCCACCACCTGCCTCCAACAGCATATGGCCACCAAGTGTTGTCCTTGGCCCTCCCCAGCCCCACCTGCTCTGTCCCTCCCGGGATGGACACAGCCATTGCTGTGGTGTGCTGCTCCTCAGGTGTCCCCTTGTTCCCAGCTACAGTTCGTTGGGAACAAACTGCAGGAAGTTATGTCAGGGGCTGACTGGGGATAGGTGGCAGGTGTCTGCTTTCCAACAGGATGTACTGGGGTCCGGGCTGACTGGGTCCATGGTCTCTCTGCCTGTTGTCTGCCCTAGGGTCTGTATGGGGTCCCTTGACCCCTTCCTGGCCTCTGCAGGCTTCTTGCCATCATTAAAACCAAACCAGGGCAAACCAGTCACCATGCCTAGAATTTTCCTGGCTATTTGAAAGCCCGGCGAGATGGTACTCTCTCTGCCCTCTGCCATTTCCACCTGAGGAAGCTGAGGCCCAGCTGTGGAAGGCACCTGTCCAAGTTCACATGCGTGAGGCACGAGGAAGGAGCCAGTGTTAAATCAGGTCTCCCCCATCCCTGGAGCCGGACCCCCAGGCGATGCACATTCATCCTGGCCTTCGTTGTTTTGGCATGGGGTGGGATCATTTTCTTCAGCGTGGGCATCTTCACGGGTCCTGAGACAGGACTGAGGACCTTCTGTGAGGACGTCTGCCCGTCTCCTGTGGGCCATCCTCCCGGGGTGGGTGTGGGGATCCCCCATTGCAGGCCAAGTACCATGGGAGAGTGACGTGACCCAGTCTGGGGAAAAATGGTCCCTGCAGCTGCTGGGTGACCTCTTTGTCCCCAGGAGAGCAGCCGAGCATGGGGCCTGGACTGTCTGAGTGCACAGGCATGAATCACAGGGTGACAGGTGAGAGCACCCCGCCCTGGGCAGCAGAAGCGTGTCTTGGGGATGGGGCTGTTTGCCTGTGCTCCTCCTGGGGATGGGGCACTTGGCCTGTGGTCCTGTACCCTGGGCAGCGCCTCACTGGTTCATCAGGACGCATTAGGTCCAGGTGTAGGGAGAAGTCCCTGGATGGGCTGTGCCTCTCGTGTCTCTTCCTGTGCCATTAACTCTGCCCCGAGGCCTAGGACACCTTGTCCCTTTCCTTCCCTGTTCTGCTTCACCTCTTCTGCTCTGTGTCATCCTGCCAGTCACCCATGGCTGCCCCATCATCTTCCTGCTGTGCATGTGTGTGAGGGAGAGACACACACAGAAACAGACAGACAGACTCAGGTAGAGAGAGTACAGATAGCCTCCCCCCCGCCCCCCCATGCAAGAGTTGAGGTTCTGGTTTAAGCTCCTCTCCATGCTAGCTGTGGGCAACTGTTTCCACCTCTTCAGGACTGGGATTTCCTATCTGTGAAGTGGGAAGTGATGAATGTATCTGCAAGCTACTGCTGTGTAACAAAGGAGCCCTACGCTTAGCAACAGCCACTCCCTGCCTCTTCCAGTCTAGAAGTCAGTTCAGGTCATCACCCCGATGGTCAGCTGGAGGAGATGGCAGTGCTCCTGGCTGGGCTGCGACTGGGCTTGGGGGAGCTGCTGCACCCCGTGTTGTCTCACCTGCTGGTGTGGCTTGTGCTCTGGACACGGGAAGCGGAACTGAGACCCACTTTTCTAAGCCTCTGCTTAGTTCGGTCGGCAGCTGTCCCCTTGGTTGCAGCAAGGGTGTGGGTGACACAGGGAAGTACGGGAAGTCCATGCTGTTAGCACAGTCACTGCACCATGGTAGCGGCAGTGACACTGACTCTTCCCAGGCATTGCAGGCCATGGGATGCTGGGCATGGAGCTTGGAGAACATTGCTTTATTTGATGTTCACCCCGAGTTCAGTCCCATTTTACAGAGGAGGAAAACCAAAGCCCATGGACTTGAAAATGCAGCAGGGTTGCCAGCTACAGGGTTTGAACCAGGCTTTGCCCTTGTCCATAGCCACAGTGCTGCCTTCCTGTGGGGAACCCAGTGCAGTTAGCTCAGCCCCGGCCACAGCAGCCCCTACAGCATCTGCTTCCTCTTTGTGGGCGCCGTGGACCTGGCTGGGTTTTCTGCGCTGTGTGGTTCCCCTGGTGAGTCCTGGGTCTGCTCCTGCACAGCACTGTGTGGACACAGCAACCGCCCCTCACGGAGCACAGCGCCAGACACGGGAGGGGCTGTGTGCATCCCCACGGTTCAGCAGGGGCTGCCCTGCTCTCGAAGCACATGGCTGTCCACACTGCCCGTGCCTGCAGCTTGCCTCACCACACCTGGCGTCACCTGATCTGAAGAGGCAGCTGCATTTCCGTGGTGGCCAAGAAGTGAGGCAAAGTTCCACGCGAGTGGCTGTGGCTGGCCACTGTCGCCAAGGGGTGTGTGGCTTTCCCTGGGTGCTCTGGCTGTGGCCCCTCCAGGCCACATTACTGTACACCTCACAGAGCAGCCACCTGGGCCAGAGGCCCTAGTCACAGCCTGTTCCCAGCTAGACTGTGTTCCTGTTCGTGTCTGCCAGGGGCGATTGCTCAGCCCAGGGGACAGCTCCGTGGCCACAGGTGCTGGGATTGGGCCACCCGGTCCAGTGCCGCTCTGCCCAGTGCCACCTGGCCCAGTGCCACCCAACAGCGGCTCTGACACGCTTCTCTTCCTTTGCAGCCACTGTACAACCAGCCCTCGGACACCCGGCAGTACCATGAGAACATCAAAATGTGAGTGACGTCCCCAGCCAGGCTGGCACTGGGGAGGGGGACTGGCCTGGCAGCGGCTGCCATGAGCTCCAACTGGGGCAGAGCCTGGGGTCAGAGCAGCCTTGGTGGCTGGGCAGAGGGCCTGGCCTTAGAAACCACAGGAGTAGGCCTAGGGCTGGGGAGGACAGGCAGGGGGCTACCATTCTGCTTCCTCATCAGCCAGAGAGGCTGTCAGCTGGCGGGGGGCTAGAGGCGTGGGGGCAGCTCAAGGGGACAGGCGTGGCCCTGTGGCCCCATGGTTTGGGCTGCAATGATGTGTATCCAAGAGTGCCCAGGTCTGCTTTGGTATAGCTGGTGCAGTGTGGCCAGGGGCACTGTTCTGGGGGCTCTGGATGTGGTCAGCATGACAGGTACCCATGAAGGGGCTTCTCCCACATGGAGGCTGAGGGGAAAATGTGTCCTTTAAGTGCCACACAGCCTGGCATGGCAGGGGCACCAGGCTGTGCAGGCAGCTGATGTCCTGGAGGTGTGGCTGCCAGAAGGAGCTCAGCGTGCAGTGCAGCTGGCCCGCTTGCCCGGCTCCCTGGCGGGAGGCGCAGAGTGTGGCTGTGCTGAGTGCCAGGCTCACTGGCAGAGGCCATTGTGTTGTGGGTTCTACAGTCAGGTCTGGTCCCAATGCAGTCAGCAGCTGGCCGCCTCCTGTGGCTCCCCGTGGCCCCTGGAGTAGCCCAGGTTGTGCCACCCGTTGGCCTTTGGGCACCCTTTTTGCCTGGGTACCGAGCCACTCTCCTGGGCATAGTATGTTCCTGTCAGGCCTCCTGGGCCTTCTGCAGCTCTGGGACCTGCTGCACCCTGGGCCCCGCTGGGGTGGAGGCGCAGGGGAGATGCATGAGGGCCAGGGGCCTTGTGGACCTTGTCACAGCTGCCTTAGGGGACAAGCGGGGGGCATTCCCACTGAGTCCGGGCTGCTTGGGCATGCACTCATTTACTATGTGCCAGGTCCCGTTCTTGCCTGGAGACTCTGGAGACAAACACAGGCCTGTACCCTTATCAGGGTTAGTGAGTTAAGTAACCAAGAAACAACTGGCCTGTGGACAGTGCCAGGGACGCCTGCCACCCTTAGTCTTGATCTTGTACCCGGTTGTGTTTTGCCCTGGATGGGACTTTTAGTAGCAATGTTATTAAACCAAAAAGTCAGCTTTTGTCACTTAAGGTAGGTGATATTTCAGGTTGGGTGACGTGATACTAAAAATAGCCAGGAGTATGGCGTCTGGACAGGTGTCATCAAAGAGGACAGACTCCGTGTGTGTTTACACCACAGGCTGTGCCTCTCATTAAGTAGTGGAGAATTACAGGCATGTTTATTTGATGTCCCACGGTCTAAATCAAAGTGGCTTGGGCTGGGGGGGTGGTGTATGCCTATAATCCCAGCCCCTGGAGGCAGAGGCAGGAGGATTACAAGTTAGAGGCTAGCCTTGGCTACACAGTGAGGCCCTATTTTACAAAATCACAGAGAGAGAGAGAGAGAGAGAGAGAAAGGGAGGTCGGGGAGGGGTCTGTCTTCCATTGAGTCCATGTTCCAAATCCAAGACACAAACAAGTTAGAACGAGATGGGGAAGTGAGGTTGTAACACAAGTGACCACTTTACATCTGGGAAGTGGCTCTGTAAGTAAATTATTAACTGATTTGTGCTTAGAATTCTGCAGTTGTTTTCCACATATTTTAGTAGAAGCATCATCACTATTTTTAATTCCAGCGTCACCATTATTAAATCAGTATGGTCATTCCTTTACTTAAAAAAGTTCTGTGAAGGTGGACCAGGGTGATGGGAGAGGGGAAGGGGTGACTTCAGGTAGCATGGCCAGGCAGGACATGGCAGTGAGGGGTCCTCAGGCTGGGCAGTAGTTGGTTGTGGGACTAGGCAGTGCAAAGGCCCTGGGGCTGGGCCGGGGCAGGATCAAGGGTAGGCAGTGAGACCATCAGTTTACTGTTTGCAAAATCAAGTCTGCGATGGCCTTGCTCCAGGAAGTCAGGATTAGATACTTGTCTTCCAAAATCACTTTGGTGGCCACAGGAGCCTGGGCCTGGGGGTCTGGGAGAGGCCTGCAGGAGCTGTGAGCAGTGGGATGGGGAGGGTGGGACAGGGAGGTCCAGGGGATGTCCAGGTCAGGGCTGGGAAGATGGAAGATCACAGCCTTAGGCTATGGCCAGTCAGTGTCCTCAGCCCTCTCCACAGTTAGGGAGACCCCATTCCTGCTGCCCGGCCCTGGCCTGTTCCTGGAAGCCCTAGAAGGCTAGAGTGGAGACAGGAGGCTCATTTTTGTGCTTTCTTTCTTTTTTTTTTTTTTTTTGGCAGTACTGAGATTTGAACTGAGGGCCTCACGCTTGCTAGGCAGGTGCTCTACCACTTGAGCCAATCTGCCAGCCCTGTTTTGTATTGGGTATTTTTGAGATAGGGTCTTGCAAACTATTTGTCTGGGCTGGCTTTGAACCTCAGTCCTCCTGACCTTTGCCTCCTGAGTAGCTGGGATTACGGGAGTGAGCCACCGGCTCCTTTTTGTTTTCTTCACAGCTTTATGGAGATGTAACTAACACACAGCACCCCCATTAGTGTGCATGGCTCTGTGGTTTTTAGACATTGGCAGTCACACTGGTCTCCACTGTCTGTTACAGAATAGTGTCACCCCAAAAGAAGCCCTATGTCCTTTTGCTGTCACCCCAGCCCCAGTCCACTCCATGCTCCCCAGGCAAGGGTGCCTGCTGTCTGCCCTCTTCTGTGGGCTTTCCCTGTTCTGAACGTTTCCTGTGCACATGGGCTAGGCTGGTCCAGCAGCTCGTGGTCCTGGGGTAGGTGCAGTGGACAGTGCTCGGCAGTGTCCCCAGTCGAATCTGAAGGGTGCAGGTGGCTTTGCTCGGCTTCTGAGCACTCACAGAGGGGCCTTGAAGGGTGCTTCCCACGACAGGTGTGATGGACACCTGTGGGGCTGGAGCTTGGAGGGAGAGGCCCTGTGCCCCTAGGCTTGCATGGCTGAGCTGACCATTGTGAGGGGCTGGGACTTGGGGGCCTCGTGTGCTGCCAGGTAGGGAATATGAGAAAGTCCAGAAAGCCCAGCCCAAAGAGAGGGGAAGGGTGTCGCTAGGGGGAGGCTGGGATTCCCTGGAAGGCAGAAAGGAGACCCTGGAGTGGTGTGGCCAGCACACTTAGGTCTGGAAAAGTGGAGCTGTGCGGTGCTCTCAGAGCCACAGAGGTGGCAGTGAGCGCCCCATCACCAGGGACGGCTTGTGTGGCAAGCGTCTACCACCAGTCTACCACGCTCAGAAGCTGCAGTGTCCGTGCCTCACGCTGTCATGCTGTGTCCTGTGTGCGCCAGACTCCAGAGCTGCCACGTGCAGAGTGAGGACAGGGGTGGCAGTTTTCGGCACAGGTCCCTCTGTGTGGGTGGACAGGGAGTCTCAGGCTGTCTGCCCTCCTGAGCTGCGGTGTGGCCTTGTGGCCTGTCTCTACTCCTCATGCCTCAGTCTCCTCATGCCTCAGTCTCCCCGTCTGTAAGGCAGGAGTGATGCTGGCCTGGCCTCTAGGGTTGCTTGAGGACCTGCCAGGCCAGAGCACCCCACATGCCGAAGTCCATTCCCCCAGTCCAGGGAAGCAATCTGCGGTTTGGTTCCTCTGAATTTTATCTGCAGAGGTGGACAGAGCCCCTCCTCTGTCCCTCGCTCCCTCCTTCGTCCCTCTTAGACTTACCGTGTGTCTGCTCCATGCTGGGCTCTGGGGAGACAACAGTGGACCAGGCCTGACATACTGGTGGGGGAGACAGATGCAGGCTCTCTTTGCATGTGGCATGTGACAGCCTTGACAAGGACAGCGAGATAGATCCAGCAGGGTCAGTGGGGAGCTCTGCTGCCACCCTGGGTGCAGAGCTGCCTCCAGGCTCTCGACCTCCTCTGCTGGGCCGGCCCTACTCTGCCTGCTGCTGTAATTGCTGTGAGGTGGGAGGTCGCTCCCTCTTTGGGGACCTGGCCCCTGTCACTTTAATTTCTCTGGGTCTGTGTGCTGGGCTGCAGAGTTAAAGTTAATTTCACGCTTGGCTTCTTGCCACACATGCATTTTCGGACGTGTGGAGGTCACCTGTGCTTATCTCGCTTCTCTTCCTCTGCCACCTGCTCCGGGAGGTGTCAGAGCTATTGCCTGACCTGTGCTGGTCTGTCTGCTGCAGGGTCTGGGGCCTGGCTTTGGGGGAGGTGCTCAGACCTCGCCCACGCGGGGTCGTGGGTCAGGATGTGCTAGCGTGGTTCATGGAGGGCGGTTGGCCTCCTGCAGGGCCACCAGGAGGTCTACGACTGCAGCCAGGTGTGATTCAGTGAAAGGCGTGAGACTCAGCACGGGTGCCTAGGGCGGGTGCACTTGGCTCCTGGGCCCAGCCTTCCAGGCATGGTGTCCTCTGGTCCCTCGGGCCTGGAATCACCTCACGGTCTGATTTCTCCTGTCTCCTCCTGCCTCACTTGGGGTGCGGGGGGAGTGGTCGGTCAGGACCCAGGCTGCAGCTCACACATCTCCTTGGTCTCACCCTGGAGTTTCAGGGATGTTGACTCACTTCCCCAGGGCCACATACAAACCTGTAAACTACACGACCAGCGTGTCTGTGCTGGTCACCTCCTGGGTCCTGGTGACTTGGGCAGCCACATCACACCCTGTCTTTAGATTGGCCTCCTTTGGGTGGCACACAGCAGGTGGTTTCAAGCCATCAGTCACCTGGGTCTGACAGGCTCTTCCCAAGACATTTGGGGCCCTGTAGGGTCCGTGTCTCCCTCTGTCTTTTCCTGGCAGTCGGGGTTGGATCCTCCCCTTCAAGTCCACCTCCTACCACTCCCTGTCTCTGGGACCGTCACTTCCCTCTTCCCTCCACATTCCTCTGCTCAATCCTCTCTCCTCCAGGAAGACCTCCTGATTGCCTTCAGCTTTCCTCCCCAACCCCCACAGCCTCCCAGAGTCTGGCAGACCCTCCTCGAACGTTCACCAGAGTTCTGCCCCCCCGTTCCCATTTCTTCTCTGTAAACCAGTGTTGGTGGCAAGCCTGTCCTTCCTGGCACCTGGTACCTTTCAAAGCCTGACTTATGGAGGTCTGGGGACTCTTGCTTCCCTGGACGCAGGCCCAGCTGGCCTCATTTTTGCTGGACAGACGCTCAGCAGATCAAAAGCTGCAACTTGCTCTTTGGGCCTCCCTCCCCACAGCCCTGTGAGGAACCACTAAGAACCCGTTTGCAGAAGGTGTGACAGTGACCTCCCATGCCAGGAGTCCAGGGGGTGTGAGCCATGAGAGGCTCCAGGGCAGGAAGGCCAGATGGAGTGTGGAGGGCTGGGTGAGCAACAGGGAGCAGCGAGAACTGCGGTGAGGTGAATGGCACTCTTGTGACTCTGTAGAAAGGGCAGCAGGCCCCGTTTCCCAGCCAGTAGGAGCCGGGGGTGGGGTGGGGGGGGTGGTCACTGAGTTGTCACCAGAAGCTGTAAATTGCCCTTTGGTGCAACAGCATCTGATTTTGATGCTAGCAATGACCTTAGCTGTCAGTCCACAGTCCAGAGGACAGGCTTGTGGACTGCTTTGGCCAGTGAGCCACGTGTTTCCCACCTGCCAGACACTTGTCCTCTTTGGCAGTGAGGGGACGCGCTGGGTGCCAGGCAGGCACCATGCACTCTGTGGACGGGGACTCGGCTGAGCCAGGTGCCCCCGTGGGGTGGCGGACTGACACTGTCCCCTGTCCTGGGCTCTGATCTGTGGACCCACCCATTCATTACTGGGAGCATCTCAGGATGGCTACACAGATGACCACAAAGAGGCACTTGAAACTGACCAACCAGAGTGTCTGTCCTGATAGTCCCTGGCTGCCAGGGTCTCACGGGCTCCGGGGGACACCCTCCTCTCCTCCCTTCCCCCAACTTCCAGGCCACTGTCTTCACGCATTTCTTGTGCCATGTTTCCATCCCTGCGTGACCCTGCCACTCGTGGACTGGACTGGTGGGGGAGGGGGAGTTGTCAAACGTCCTCCTGGCCCTCGTGTGTTGGGCAGGTGTTTTCTTGTGATGAGACAGTGGGGTGGGACCGGGGGAGGAGTATGAAGTCCTGTCCCCATGTCACACCAAAAGCATAGCACCAATGGGAGTGACAACAGTGACAAAAGTCACTTGACCCCCACAGGGTCTACCGGAGGTCTCCCCATCCATGCTCTGTTCTGTAGAAGCCAGTCCCCAAGTGCACCCTGCTTGCTGGGGTCAGTGGCACTCCCTCTCCATGGACAGTGGTTAAAAATGCCACCATGGCCACTAGACAATGGGGACATTATTTCTGTCTCACCCACTCACCTGTTTGTCTTGCCTGAGGCTGTGGCTCCCTTGCCACGTTCTCCGTGACTTTCTCTGCCCCCCTCTCTCTGTGACTGCTGTCCACGGACCTTGTCCCTCTCCCACTTACCTATTTACCCAGTGGCTTATGCGAGCCCCACGAGCCTGTAGGGTTCATTTTACTCTCCACTCAGCATCTGGTCGCTCTTGTTGTTTCAGCTTTGGTCACCAGGGGCTTTCAGGGTGGGTCCTGTGTCCTTTTCCCTCTCTGGCAATTCATACAGTCTTTCTGGCCTTATCTTGTGGCCCTGGAGCCGCCGTTCCTCCAGGAGGCCTGGCTGCCGTTCCCAGAGGACAGCATTAGAAACCAGGCCTTCAGTGCTGCCGCACTGCCTGGCTCTTAAAAAGCCCAAAGCCTTTACCGTAGCCACACTCGGACTTTTTTCTTCTTTCCTTTCGTGAGGGTTTGAACTCAGGACTTTACACTTGCAAGACAGGCACCCTACTGCTTGAGCCACACCCCCAGTCTCTGTGGCCAGACTCAGATGGCCACACACAGCCAGGCTAGCTGACCTGACTTGTCACCTCTTCTCCATTCCTCTGTCTCTCCCCAACACTCTCCAGCCATGCAGCACTTTCTTGTTCTTCACGTGAGTTTACTCCCACCTCAGGGCCTTTGCACTTGCAGTGTGGCCTTCCTTCCTTCCTCCTCTCCCCTCTCCTCCCCTCCCCTCTCCTCCCCTCCTTCCTTCCTTCCTCCCCTCCCACTTCCCTCCCCCTGGATGTCCCACAGCCAGTCCTGCAGAGGAGACCTGGCTCAGTTCCGTATCATCTCCCCAGGGAGACAAACTCCCCTATCCCCTCACAGTGTAGTCCACCGCCCTGTGTACGCTTCCAGGATGCATGGTGTCAGGATCGCGTAGCTTACTGTCAATGTGAGCTCCCCCCCCCGCCGCCACACATACTCTGTGTCCCTCTGCCCATGCTGAGGTCTTTGGTCTCAATTCCCCCTCTCTCTACCCCTCTCTCATTATCTGTCCCCATGTCTCTCTGGGTTTCCATCTCTGTCCTTGTCTCTCCCTGTGCCTCTGCTCCCTCTCCCTGTGTGAACGCCTGTGTCTTCTGGGTGGCATGGCTCCCTTGCCATCTCCAGGGCTGTGAAACCCTGCTGCTGTTTCCTCAGGTCTGTGCCCTACTGGCCCAGCAGCCGCCTGGGACGCCCAGGCCCCTCCCCAGCCCTGGGGGTTGGGCTGCTGGGTTTGGTCTTGTTTGTGACTGGGTCACTCCTCTGGCCCTTGGCCAGGGGGCCTGTGGGCATTGGGGAAGGGGGCAGGTCATGGAGGGAGGAGGCCATAGAGCACCCCACCTCTGCGGGGTTGCAGATTGGGCTCAGCCTGGTCCACGCCGCCTTGGGTGGGCGAGGAAGGATGTGTGGGCAGTTGGGGTCGTGCTGGGGGACAACTGACCCCTCGCTGACCTTCCGGTCTGCCATTCAGAAACCAGGCGATGCGGAAGAAGCTGATCCTGTACTTCAAGCGGAGGAACCACGCGCGCAAGCAATGGGTGAGTTGGCCTGTCCTGGGTCCCGGAGCCAGGCGGGGAAAACGGGGGCCTTGAGGGTGGATCTCTGCAGCCCTCTTCGAGCTGGAAGGGACAACAGCTCCTAAACAGCCCTCAGGAGGTTCTTTACCTTTTTCTTTTTCTTATCCCTCAGGAGACCTTTCGTAGGCTCTTCAGATCAGAAGTTTTAGGGTGGAGTGGAGGTGAGGGATGAATGCCAGGGACTCCCTGAGAATGACACTTTCCTGCCCCAGCCAGGTCCCCTGGCCCACGCTGGTGGGCAGTGACAATAGCACAGAAGAAAAGGTGGCACTCTATGCTTGGCATCTAGGCCCAGGAGGGCAAGGTTGACCCCATTAAACGTTGCAGCTGAGAAAGCCCACTGGTGTGGACTTCAGGAGTGGCTCGATCAGGCCTTCCCTTCTTTCTGTGCAGTTTTCCTACTCTGTGTGTTGGAACATTGACAACGCTGGCTGGCCTGTGTCCCTGAACTCCCATAGGTTTGTCAGGGTGGACAGCTGGAGAGCTGCCCTGTCTCAGCCCACAGAGCTCTGGTGAGGAGGGCGTGTGTCCCTCTGAACAGTGGCCGATGCCAGGGAGAGGGAGTTTCGCTGATTGGTTTGAGCTGAGGATGATGTCATCCACTCCACCATGGCTGCTGGGACCTGGTGAGGGAGGGGACAAGACTAGGGAGGCCAGGAGAGCAGCCTGGACTCTTGGTAGGAGAGGCAGAGGCTGGCCTGTGAGGGGTTGCTGTTGGGGGTTCCCCTTGCCTGCACCAAGCCCCGGGGAGGTGGTCAGCATGTGTAGATCTGCAGTGCACAGAAGGCAGTGACTAAGTGCTGCTGGAATTGAAATGCACTGGTAACAGAAACACTGGTACGGATACTGAGGGCACTAATCTGTCAGATGTCTCCAGATGCAATCATTGAGTACCTGCTGTGTACAAGGCTCCTAGTTGCTGAGACACAGGCTGTAGGGACCCCATCATGTGCACAGGCAGCTCCCTCCAACGGCACTGCCTCCTGGTTCTCTAGGCTGTCTTCCGAGAGACTTCCATGCATCAGTGAGAAGGGGGGTGGGCACCTTCTCAGCCCCTTGTTTCAGATGAGGAAGGTGAGGCTCAGAGAGGTTAAGTCAGTTGCCCCACAGTACACAGCTGTGAAGTGGTGGAGTCTAGTTTTGAACTCAAGCTTCCCGAATCCAAGTCCATGGCCTGGGGTTTCGAACAGAAAGCGAGGTTCCAGATGACGAACTTGGGAAGGGAAAGGCGTTCTGGGCTGCAAAGGAGAGCTGAAGTCATATGCAGGACTAGAACAGGGCAGCCCAGTGAAGGGCACAAGGAAGGGCAATGTGTCCACCTTAAGTGCTGAGGACAAGTGACAAGAAAGGACAAGTTGTGTGTGTGCAGATCTGAGGGTCAGAGTGTCAGGCTGAGGATACAGCCAGTGCAGAGGTCCTAGGTGGGAACCAGTCTGGATAGCATGGGACAGAATGCAGCAGGCCTGTGCAGTGCATGGGGTGGGGGTGAAAATTCCAGATGAGATCACACGGGAATGCTGCTCTCGAGCCGGGTGGGACATTGAGGCTTTATTTTAAACACAGCAAGACAGCGTATCCTTAATAAATTTATTCTTAATGAGGACAGAGTGCAGTGTTCCCTCACCTAGAGTGAGCTGTGGCTAAGGCCCCCCTGCCGTGTGTGCAGCAGGTTAGAAGAAGGCAAGTGGGGAGGCCCCGCCCCCAGCAAATCCCCTCTCTTTTCCACACCTGAAGACTTCCTGCGGCCCCACCCTGACTTTCCCACTTCCAGGAGGAGGGTGGGGGGCAGGCAGACGTGCGTGTTGAAGGGTTCCCGAGGCTTCAGGGTTGAGGTGGGTTGAGGTTTTAGGGAACCTAGTGTCTTTAGGGGCTGGGGAAGGAGGGCCCTGGCTTGTTGAAGATGAACAAGAGATCCCAGACCCAAACTTCTCAGGAATGGGGGTCAGCCCACTATATGGAAGGGAGAGGGGAAGGGCCAGAGCCCCTGATTTCCTACTTTTCACAGGGCCAGGACAGGGCTTGGCCACAGGGCTCCCTGCCAGGCCTGGGGTTCCCTCTCTAGTGGGACTGCCCTTCCTACCGTACCTCCGCCCGGCACCCTACAGACTGGCGGTTGCTCCAGCTCCAGTCTCATGTGCGTGTGTGTGCATGTGTGTGTGCTTGCATGCGTGTGTGCGTGCGTGCGTGCGTGCGTGTGTGTGTGTGTGTGTGTGTGAGAGAGCGTGGCGATGACTCTTCAAGGAATTCCTGCGGCATTTCTTTGTTGTCCCTGCCCAGGGCAGCCCCAGGCCCTGAACTGGTGACTGGCCATGGACTCTGGCCTTGTGTAATCTCGCCCTTTTCCTGGCTGGTTTCTTTTGCATTTTTCTTGCCTCTTCACTGACAGTTGGGTCTCTGCTGGGCTAAGAGACCTGGGTGGTCCCCTTGCTTAGCTGGGGGCTGTTGTCACACTGCTGCCAACATGTACGGCCAAGTGTCCCTGGCTACCAGGTGTCAGGGCTGTTGGGGCCCCTCACCCACCTGAGCCCAGTCCTGCCCCTTAGTGCCAGCCCAGCCTCCCCCGGAGCTCCTGGGACTCAGGCTGCCCTTGGTGGGAAGTGAAATACAGGATGGGTGGGTGGGCGGGCTTTCTCATTTCCCTGAAGTTCCACAACTGTGTCCCTTGTTGCTGCTGGAGGAGGAGGGACTGAGTGTCCTGCGTGTCTGGATGGTATCACCTTGGAGGTACAGGGCCAGGCAGCTGTGTTTTGGCCCAATTGAGGGAGCCTGCTGCATGGTGATTAGACACGGAGAGGGAGCTGCTGGGGTTTGGGTCTTTGGGGTGGAGATTATGACTGAGTCTGAGGCCAGAGAACAGGAACTCCCCGGAGAGTAGGAACTCCCCGGAGAGTGGGCACTCCTGGGAATGCCCCTCCTAGGCCACACAGTCCAGTGCAACTTCCTGCAGTGATGGGAGCAGGCCCCGTCTGTGTTGGTGGTGCAGACAGTGGCCACTGAGCATTGGAAATGTGGTGGGGACCTCGGCGCCTGAATGTTGAGCGACATGCGATTGTATTGTGGAACTGTAACCGCCGCTGTGGCTGGCGGCTTCTGTGCTACCGACGCCAGTCTGGGCAGTTGGTTCATGGGGAGGCCACACTGCTTAGAGGAAGCCTGTGTGAGTGTGGGTGTGTCTACCTGTCCACCTTCTGTCTGCCCATGTGACCAGGTGTCCGTCTGCTTGTGTGGATGTGAGTGCGTGTGTCTGCCGTGCACCCCTGTCGGCGTGCGGGGCGGAGCAGGGTCCTCATCTCCGCCCACGTGCCTTTCTCCCCGGCAGGAGCAGAAGTTCTGCCAGCGCTATGACCAGCTCATGGAGGCCTGGGAGAAGAAGGTGGAGCGCATCGAGAACAACCCGCGGCGGCGGGCGAAGGAGAGCAAGGTGCGGGAGTACTACGAGAAGCAGTTCCCTGAGATCCGCAAGCAGCGCGAGCTGCAGGAGCGCATGCAGAGGTGAGCGGCGGGAGGGCTCAGCAGGACAGGACACAGCGGCTGTCCGTCCTGCTGCTGGCCGATGGGCCAGCAGGGGGTACAGGGGCTGTGGTGTCTACAGAGCAGGTGGGGCTCATTCGGAACGGTGGTCAGAGCCACTGGACACCCCAGCCCACCGCTCCTGGAGTTTCCATGTCACTTTTTATCCCAATTACCCAGGAGGAAACTCAGGCACAGAGGAACTTTGCTCCCAGTCAATGAGGCAGAGCTGGAATTTGGGCTCAGGTGTCCGGCTGTGTCCTCAGGGTGGCTCAGGAGAGACAGGGACTGAGTCCTTGCAGCCTCAGGGTGGGCAGCTGGGGGGTCCCTGATTTCCCTGACCCCTAGGAAGGTGGGAGATGCAGCCCTCTGGCTCTGCCCTCCCCCCACGTCACCCATACTTGCTCTGAGGGACATTGTGGGCTCATGGCTCCCCCAAGGTGCTGGCCCAGCACTGGTGGGTCCTGACTATGTCCATTTGGTTTCCAGCAGGGTGGGCCAGCGTGGCAGCGGGCTCTCCATGTCGGCTGCCCGCAGCGAGCATGAGGTGTCTGAGATCATTGATGGCCTCTCGGAGCAGGAGGTGAGTCTCCAACCCTGGCTCAGCCTCCCACTTCCCCTGTCATAGTGGGAAATGCAGCTCCCTCCAGATCGTTTAAATTCAGGGGCTCATGGCGGAGACGTGGCAAAACGAATGTGGAATGTGGAGGCCTGTGGCGCCATGAGCAGCCTGGTCTGTCCCGAGCCTGTAGGAGTGACTGGAGAGAGGGGTCCTAGTGAACCATGGCCGGACGAGGACAGGAGGGTCACTGACCTGTGTGGCCTGTGATGCCCTGGCAGGTAGGAAGCCGGGGATGAACAACCATGTGGTTGGCATTTCCCAGTGGCTAAGCTGAGGCAGGGTAGTAGAGAGGGTGAACGGTGCAGCACCAGGTCAGCTCTGGGGTCCTCAGCATGGTGGACCGGGGAGTATAATCTGTTTTGTTCCAGACCACCACTGGTCATGGCCATAGACAGCCTGCGCCCCCCCCCCCCCAATCCTCCATGCTGAGTCTCAGCTCGACCATACTCAGTCCCCCAGGGGAGGGCAGCTGGTGCAAACCATAGTCTACCAGAATCCCATTCAGCTGGCCCGGGGGTCTGCATCCTGCCATGCTGCCATTGTGATTCTGATGTAGATAATTCAGAGAACATTTGGCCTTAAAAAAAGAAAACCCTTCAAGCTGGGCATAGTGGCTCATATCTATAATGCCAGCTTCTGTGGAAGTGGTAATCAGGAGGATTGAGATTCAACACTGACCAGGGCAAAAAAAGAATGTATGTTTGCAAGACCCCATCTCAACCAGTAAGAGCTGGGTATGGTAGTGGGCACCTGTCATCCCAGCTATGCAGGAAGCGTTAATAGGAACATTATAATCCCATCTCCAAAATAACCAAAGCAGAAAAGGGCTGGTGGAGTGGCTCAAGAGCTTCCTCCTGGCAAGGTCGAAACTCTGAGTTCAAACCCCAGTACTGCCCTCCCCCCCAAAAAAATTCTTCAACGCCACAACACCAGTTTACTTCAAAACTGCAGCCAGTGGGCAGAGGGCAGGCCTGGGAACATGTCTGGCCACAGCGGTGAGGCCTTGCTGTTTCTCACCAGGTACCCGTCCCACAGACGCTATCAGGTGTGGACGTGGGTTTCATGTGGAAGCAGAGCGCACATGGTCCTGCTGTGTGCGTCTGGGCTGAGTGTCACACAGGCCAGGAAGCAGCCTCTTCCCTGGTCCTGGCCATACAGCACACTAAAGTCTGTTGAGGGAGCTGTGCTTAGGAGTGAGGATAGGAATTGTGGACAGAAGCTTCCCGAGCCACCCTGAGGTCCCCTGGGGGAGCGAGGGTGCAGGGCAGGAGAGACACTGCCCATCCTCCAGGGAGATTTCCACCATCAGCAGCTGCTCGGTGGGGACAAGACAGAAGGCAGCCATGGGGGGTTTCCAGCTTGTGCTGTGGCATTGAGGGCTCTGCCATGCCTGGCGCTCTGGCCTCTGTGGGCTCCTCTCCCCACCGGCTCAGCGCTGGGCTCCACTCTCTGGCTGGGTGTCGTGATCACCAGAGTGAGGAGGTTGGCTAGGGGTGGCTGGGTCACTCGGTGTAGGTGACCTTGGTCATGCCAGGCCTGTGGGGATCTAGTTCATCTCCAGTAATTGGCTGGCTGTGGAGACTTGGGGAAATGAGCCCAGCTGAGTGACTGACAGCTCAGAGTCCCTTCCCAGGCGTCACACACATCAGGGAGCCGCCAGCCTCCTGCTGTGTGCGGTGCAGACTGGGTCTTGATTGAGTGAATGGGGGAGCTGGTATCAGGGCTGGGGTGGGATGGGGTGGGAAGTGGTTCTGACCACCCCTCTGTGTGCCCTTGGCTTCCCGTCTTGTGTGTCTGTCCCACGAAAAGTGGACCCTGAGGCCCATCCACTTGGCTTCAAGCCTGGCAGCACCATCTCTGGAGCATGGGGGGCCAGCTGTGCTGAGCATCTTCCCCGCGGTGTTTTATGGTGCTTGCCTTTCCAGAGGGAAGATTCATCGCTGCCGCCTGCTGCCGATAAGGCTGCTGCTGCTCCCTGCCTTTAATTTATAGCCCTGCCCTCCATAAACCTGTCCTGGACACCTTTAAATTCTCCCTCCGCCAGCACCAGCTATCGTTAGTTCTTAACTCACCCAGGCTCCCACACTGGCACCTGCTCCCCATCCAGCCACGCCCTCTGACCCCAGCCCTCCACCACCTCTGCTTGGTTGTAGAACCTGGAGAAGCAGATGCGCCAGCTGGCTGTGATCCCGCCCATGTTGTACGACGCCGACCAGCAGCGGATCAAGTTTATCAACATGAACGGGCTGATGGACGACCCCATGAAGGTGTACAAAGACCGTCAGGTCATGAATATGTGGAGCGAGCAGGAGAAGGAGACCTTCCGGGAGAAGTGAGTCCTCCCTGCTGGCCTCCGCCCTGCCCTGTCACCAAGCTTCACTACCTGGCGGTCCAGGGTCCCTGGCAGCGGCTGTTGGAGCAGGTCCTCCATCATCAATGTCTCCTGCTCTTTGTGCATTTGTCCCAGTCAAGCCATCATATCACACAGGCACTGAAATGGAGACTCAGAGAGGTTAAGACACGTAGCACTGGCCACACAGCTTGCACAGTGTGCTCACTCTCCCCAGTTGGAATGGAGAGGGTATGGAGAGGCTGAGTGGGGGAAGGGGACGGGCAAGGAGCAAAGCTCCTGTGAGGTGAGGGTGGAGCTCCTAGGTGGAGAAAGGACTTCTTTCTCTGCGCCCCTCCCCACCAAGTTTGACTGGCCAGCACATCCTTGGGTGAGGACAAGGGATGTCCCCTCCCTTCCAGGTCACGGGTCCCAAGAGACACAGTCTCACACTGCTCTGGCTGACATGTGGGCCTCACGGTCTGTCCCTGAGAGCCATCCCTTGCCTTTGGGACAGTACACTCTAATCCCTACCATGTAAAGGCAGGGTCCCTTCCCCAGGGAGCATCAGGATCCCCAGGAGGCAGGAGAGTGAGAAACTGAGGCACAGAGGCCCACATGTCAGCCAGAGCAGTGTGCTGGGAGCAGAGCTCGCCCCCCTTCCCTGGTGTCATTGGGCCGAGCCGCTGGCTTCTTCCCCTCTCTCTGAGTACGGCCTTGTGTGTCTTCTCCAGACACCTGCCCAGGGACCAGAGCCCAGGGTTAGGGCTGTCCCTGCCCTTTGGGGGACCCTGTGGGACTGGCTGACTCTGGGTCACAGGTGAGCTGGTGATGAGCCCACTTAACGTGTTGGATTCCAGGACACACAATCAGCACAGGCACCACCGAGGGTCCTTTGTGGGAATGGCGTGTTCAGAATAGCCTCTGGTTGTGGAACTTTTAAAACACATAAAAATAGGGGGATGGTGGGGTGGATCCACAGGTCAGCAGCGGGGATCAGTGACCCTCACAGGAAGTGCACTGCCAGCAGCCGCTCCTGAGGCTCGCGGACGCATTCACCCCTGCGTCCCTGTGGCTCGAGTCTGGGGCTCAGAATAGGTGTGAACATTGTGTCGGGTCCAGTGTCACGTCTAGTGTGTTTACAGCCTTAACTAGGCAGGTGACGGAGGACAGTGGCGATGCTTCAGTGGTGCTGTTAAGTATAGCAGGGTTTACTGTTTTAATTTGCTATGTTTTTGGGGTGCTTTCTATGGCCACATGCCACATCTCTTCCTGGAGATGGCCTGCTGCTTCTCAGGCTCAATGAGTTCACACTCCATTAATTCTGCAGCTGACAAACGGGGAGCCCAGGCTGGCCCACGAAGGTCTGCTGACCTGGCAGCTGGCAAGGCTCCCGTCACATGAGATGTAGCCACCACATGGGGCTTCAGTTAACAGCAGTCAGGTCTTTGGAAATCCTGCGTGGATGGCACAGGGCCCCACCACTCACTGGTGCTCGGCTCCGAGCAGGATGGCCCTTGCCAGCGTTGGCTTCCTTGTCTGTACAGTGGGTACAGCAATGCAGTTCTCTCTCAGGATCTTCGGGGGATGGGGTCCAGGGACCACCCCCTCCCCCATACACACCAAAACCCAAAGATGCTCGAGTCCCTTTTGTAAGTGATGAGGATTTGCGCAATCCCTGCATGTGTCAGTCATCCCTGGCTTGCTCACAGCCTGGCTTAGCACCAGTGTGTGAATGGCGCTGTTTACTGTGTAAGTCTACGTCACTAGTTGTCAGTGTCTTTGGGGGATGGTGACAAGAAAGAGTCTGGCCATGTTCTCTATGACAGTGGGTTTCTTTGGGAACTTTTTTGACCTGTGGTTGGTTGAATCCGCGGATGTGGAACCTCCCCCACATACGGCTGTGTTCCCTCTCTGGGCCAGTCGTCACAGGGGCTCTGGGCGCAAGATGTTTTCCATGATCCTTGGCAGAGTTGCGAGTGGTAGGCAAGGAACAGGTACCCTGGGGATTATCTCCAGTTTGATTCCTGGGCTCTTGGAGGCTCCATCTGTGTGGGGAACCCCATGGAAGGGGTTTTGGGGGAAGGAAATGTCACTGATGCAGGGGAGGAGGGAAGTGTGGAAGGACCATCAATACCTGGAGAAGAGGGGCTCTAGACAGTCTCAGCCTTGCCAGCCTCCCAAGGGCACCCTGCCCTGCTGCCCCGTCCAGGAAGAGGCCTTTCTGGGCTCTTGGTGTGCGGGAAGGACCCACTGCCTAGTCACCTGGAGGCCAGGCAGGCAGCACTGAGCTCTTGCTGGTCCTGGGTGAGCATCAGCCCCGCCTTGCCTGTACCCCTTATGTCTCTGACAGAAGACTGGGGTGGTGGCAGGTCATAGGGACAGTTGGATAGGCCACTGACTTTACCCTGTACCCCTGTGGCCCGAGCAAGGCCTGACCTACTTCCCGCCCCCACTGTCCTCCTGCTCCCTGGCCCTGACATTCCAATTGCAGAGTGGATTCCCATTAACCCTCGTGGCTTCGCGGGAAGCTGGCGGCGTGGCGCCAGCTTCTGCCACGCCCTCTGGCTGCAGTCCACTCCTGCTGCCTCCTGTGGACCCGCACCCCCACCTGAGGAAGCCACGACCTCACTCTGGGCAAGCCTGCTCGGGCCGGGCAAGGCCTAGCTTCCCAGACCCAGCTGGGGAGAGAAACAAAAGCAGATCTTGGTGGGGGGGGAACCCCACCACATAGCTGCATGTAATGTCCTCATTTTTCCTGGAAGCCTCCGGCAGGACAAACAAATACATTTTCAAAGGCACTGTAGCTGGTGACTCACTCCAAGGAACGCCCTCCGCCCTGGGCCCAGCCCGCTTGCCGCAGCCCTTCCCACACCCCCAGCTGGACTGCGCCTAGTGGGTCTGCGCCCGCCGAGCCAGGCAGTGGGGATGGCAGGCGCCCCGCAGGGGCCCCCGCAGCCTGGCCTCACGCCCGCCTTTCTCTGCCCGCAGGTTCACGCAGCATCCCAAGAACTTTGGCCTGATCGCCTCGTTCCTAGAGAGGAAGGTGAGTCGCCGTCACTGTTGTTGGCCTGGCAGCCGCCTGCTCCGCGTCCTCTGGCTGTCCACCGCCAAGGGCCAGCGCCCAGGCTTGGGAGGAGGAGCCTCCCGTCCTGCCTGGCCCGGCCTCTGCTGGCCTGGCCTGGGCCTCTAGAGGCCTGGTCCCGCTCTGGCTCTCCCCACCCTCTCCCTCCTTCCCCTGGGAAAAGTTGCACAGCCCCGCCCAGGGCAGGGAGGAGCCTCAGGCTTCTGGAGCCCTGGAAACTCAGGGGAGCCCATGTGCTTTGCTTCCTGCCAGCTCCTCACAAGTGGCTTCGAGCCTTCTTGCAAACTGGGGACCAGATCTGAAAGAATTGCCACGTCTGGCGTCCTAATTAAGACTTGTGGACAGGCGTGGCGTGCCTCTGTGAGGCCCTTCTTGTGGTCACTGCCTGCTCTCTGACGTGTGGCTCACACGTCCCATCTGCTTTGGATAGACCTTCGTGAAGAAACAACACTTGAACCTGACCTTATCCTCCAAGCCAGAGCCCGAAGTCCTATCTTTTTGGACTGGGCTCATGTTGGCAGGTAGACACAAAGTGTCCCCACAGCGGTTAGCTCCTCTTTGCCCACGATCAGGCTGGCTGGGCAGCATCCGAGAGGCCACAAGTGTGGGGGGGTAGCACATGGGCAATGGCCTCAGCTCTGGGAGCCCCAGTGTCATTGTAGAATAGCAAGATAGGCTGCCTGCCGTCGTTCACCTTCGGGAGCTGTAGTTTGGGGGTGAAGCATTGTCCCCAAGTGTGGTTCCTCAGTGATGAGGTGTCCACTCCCCCCATCCCTGCTCTGGAGCCTCAGACTTGCAGGCTGGGCGTAGGTCCAGGCAGCTATTGTAAAGGGTGACGGCTGTTCCCAGGCATCTGCCCTCCATGGGCCCATGTCTACCCCGGGAGGGACATGGAGCAATCTGGGGAAACAGCTGTCCGAGCCTGAAAAACCAGTGTGGAGAACTGGCCCTATAAATAGCCCGCCTTCGAGTTGGTGACGTTTGGCTGGGTGTGGATGACCCGGCCAACTGAAGGTTAGGGCTCCCCAGGCGGAGGCTGGGTGGCTCAGATTTGGGGATTGAGCAACGCCGCCTGGGAGAAGGGGATCGGAAGTCCACATGGACAGGGACCGCTGAGAAGGGCCCGGGATGAGAATCAGCTTCCAGAAAAGCCAGGACCGGAGGTGCCACTGAGAGGCCAGCATGGACCAGTGGGTTGTGACAGTGAGCAAAGCCCAGCAGGTGGAGGCCCAGGGCCAGCTCCTCACTGCCCAGCCTGGGAGGCCCAAGTCAGGCATCCTGGTCTGGTTTGCAGATTTTGGCTTACGGTTGTAAAATGTTCTTCTTGCCTGGAGGTCACAGTCATGGGCCCCACGGGCAGTCTCTGTTGATATGATTCCATGAGGTGGCCTGGTGGTGGCTTTGTGCTTAGGGCACCGGGAGTCTAGCCCTTCCGCAGTGGGTGCAGGCTCAGCGCAGGCTGGAGGATCACAGGAATTTACTGAGCACCAGCAAGCTACCACCCACAGGGGCTCTGTGCCTGCAGGTGGACGTCGTGGTTCCTTCTTTTGGTCCCTGATGTGTGAAAGGTGGAAGAGCTGTTCAGGACCCTGACACCAGGGAAGGGGAGGCTGGACTTAGAGAAGGGAGCCCCAGAGCTCACCCTGAGAAGGGTGGGGTTGCCAGCTGTGTGCAGAGAGAGAGGGAGGGAGGGAGGGAGATCTTGTCCATGCGAGCCAGGGAAGGCCTGTCTTAATACCCTCATTATGCCTGGCAGTAGCAGCACTGGTGCCTGCGCCAACAGCCAGCATTCCCTAGTGCTCGCTCCGTGCCGGGCTGCACCCCATGTGCTCCTCCTGGAGTCGCTTCCTTCATCCTGGTGATAGCTCTGAAGTGTGTGCCATCGACACCTGCATTTTACAGATAAAAGTTGAGGTTCGGAGCGGTCACATAACCTGCCAGGGTCACTCAGTTGCTCCATGGAGGACCTGGAATTTGAACCCAGGCCTCCAGCCCCTGGCTTCTGCTTTGAATGCTGCTGCCCCATACACTCCTCAGCGCTGTCCCCTCTGTCCTGCAGACAGTGGCCGAGTGTGTCCTCTATTACTACCTGACCAAGAAGAATGAGAACTACAAGAGCCTGGTGAGAAGAAGCTATCGACGCCGTGGCAAGAGCCAGGTAAGAGGTGGTGCAGGCGTCACCCTCGGGGACGGCTCCCCACACGCTCAGCAGCCACTTGCTCTGTGGTCAGTGGTGGTGCCTGGCCAGAGAGTGGGGGCTCCCTCAGGGGTGCTCACCCCACCAACCACTGCAGGCATGGCCAGCAGCAGAGGACAGTGTCAAGGAGAAGGGGTCACTTCCTTCTCAGCCTGGAAAATTGCTGGACTCTGGACTAGGTGGTCCGTGGTCCTTGCAGTTAAAAGGTCACATTCCCAGACGAGGTTTCCCAGGACAACTTCGGATGGTACACAAACTTAACATAGTTTAAATTTGAATAGCTTTGTTTATTTTAACGGATATTTGAGAGAGAAAATATGCAGTGCTTCACTGTGCCGTTTTTCACGGGTCACTGTCTGAGTGAGCCCGGAGTGCTGGGATAGTACAGCAGGGCTGACAAACAGTCACTGACTTGGGGGCTGAGTCTGGCCCTCTGCCTGTTTGTATAAATAAAGTTTTATTATAACACAGCCCTGGCCATTTGTGTGCATAGTACCACAGCGTTTGTGTTGTCGTGGCAGTGGTGACAGAAACCATGTGACCTGCAGCCTACAATACTTTCTGGCTCTTTACAGAAAAGGCAGGCTGATCACCCTCCATGTTAGAGGAATACAGAGCTGGCTTCAAAAATGTCCATAAATGGCCAGGCATCAGTAGCTCACCCCTATAATCCCAGCTACCCAGGAGACAGAGATCAGGAGGATCGCTGTTCAAAGCCAGCCTGGGAAAACAGTTCCGTGAGGTCCTATCATGAAAACCCCTTCACAAAAAAGGGCTGATGGAGTGGCTTAAGGTGAAGGCCCTGAGTTCAAACCCAGTACTGCAAAAAAAAAAAAAAAAGTTCAGAAATGCAACAGAGGCTTGGGGCTGGCAGCACACGTTTGCAGGGCGTCCTGAGTGGTTGGTATTGGAAGACAGAGAAGAGGGGCACGCCCCCTTGGGCCTTCACTTGTAAGGGGGAGAGAGGGGTGTGCTGTCCCAGGAAGCAAGGGAAATGCAAGGCGGAAAGCTGCAGGATAAACCACCCTCTGTAGTCCCACCAGGACAGAGCCCTGTCCTGACCCCCCAGATCCTCAAAGGGTGGTTGCATTTGGTCTGTGGCTAGGGTTTCTTCATCCGGTTTTATGCAGCCACAGATGGCCAGCCTGCTCGCCCTCTGACAGACGTGTGACTCTTGTGGCACAGAGCGATATGAACCCAGAGGCTTGGCTGCAGCTTGAGAAAGGGAAAGGGCATTTAGGAATCTTCTACCAAGAGACAAAGTCAAGTAGATGCCAGGCGGGGAGTGTGGGTATGCCAGCCGTGGGGTCTCAGGAGTGCCTGGCCCTGTGGCGTGGAGGGGACTGGGATGCCTGTCCACTCTGGTAGTGGTGACCATGGTGATGGTGAAAATGACAGCAGTGTTTCGCAGTCACTGTCTATAAGTGTCAAGGGCTCCATGGAAAGCAGCTCAGGACAGAGGCCCCACAGTGCACACGGGGACGGGAGCACAGGGAGCCAGAGCTGCTTCCGCAGCACTTGCTGGGGATACATTCGTAGCACTCTTGGCTATGGGAGCCGAAGGGTCCTGGCCACCCCTCTGGGAGTACTTGCCATGGAGCTGGCCTTAACCTACCATACAGTCTCCGGTCTTCTCTGGTTGGCCTGGTGTTGCATGGGCCCCCTGAAGAGGGGCTACTGGGATGAGGTGCTGTCCACCCATGGGTGGGGGACAGGAGGATAGCCGTCTGAGCCCATGTGGGGTTCTGTTCTGCTTGAGAGCCCTCCCGGGGCCATGCATCCTGGTCATCCTCTCCTGTTACTGTCCCAGTGTGCATCGCTGTGGGTCACCTGGGGTCACCCCTCTGTCCGGCTCTGAAAATCAAGGGCATGCATTGAGTGCCTGCTGTGTGTGGGGGTTGCCGAACTCCACCTTCAGGGACAAATCAGACCATGGTGTGTCAGGAAGGTTCCGTGAAGGCCGGGGAGCTGTTTCCACTCCCCACACTGTCCTGGGGAAGGACGGCAGAGGTGGATATGGAAAGGGACTTCCAAAGTGTCAGCAAGGGAGAGGCTCCTGCCCTTCCCAGGCTCATGTCCCATGTGCCACCTTGTAGAAGACAAGCAGGCTGGTTCAGCACCTGGCTGAGAGACAGGGCCTCCTGTCCCTTCCTTCCCTGCCCAGTGGGATGGCAGTGGGTGTGAGAGAGGAGGCTGGGCAGCCTCCAGTGCTGGCAATAGGAGTGACTCTGGGGACATCCGGGCTGAGCACGTCCCCAGTGCCCAGCCCTTCTGTCCCTCAGGACCATGGAGGGCTGTGGCAATGGTGGTCACCGAGGCTGTATCCCACATGCACGGTAGGGGGTGGGGGGCTGGCCCTCCCTCCTGAGCGTGGGGTAGGAGTGAAGGGGCTGCTGCTGCTCCCACAGTCTGTGCTTGGTCTGTAGAAGGTGAGGCTGCCAGCTAAGTCTGTGTTTCCCATGAGCTCCCAGTGCTGGGGGCACGGGGTGGGGGGAGGGGGAGCGCATCCTGAAGACCTTGGCCCTGGGGATCAGCCCCAGGGCAGGGAGCAGACAGGTAGAAGGCAGTCATAACATCCCTGTATCCCTGTCCACCCACTGGGAGCGTTGGAGCTGCATCCTAGGCGGAGTTGATGCCTGCAGGGCTGACAGCTGAGTGTTGTAGCGAGTCCCTGTCCGAGAAGCTGTCTGGCCTGCCCGTCCCAGGAGAGCCCACTGTGTAGGTGTAGACGTGGCCTGCCCCAGGACTTAACCACAGTGCATGCAGCAACATGTCACCCTGTCACTTGGGCATCTGTCCTGCAGCATTGGCTCAGGTCCAGGCCTTGGTGGCCGGCCCTTCCTCACCTGCCCCCCTCCACCTCCACACACACACACACACCCTCTGCCAGAGCCTCTCTTTTGCTTGTTACTATTACTAAAATCATGCGTGTCTGTAAACTGGCTATGAAACCCCTTCACAGGTGGGCATTGCTCTCCCTGGGCTCAGTCCTCAGTCCTGTGCAGCCTATGGCCATCTTTACTCAGCCTGGCCCTCCCTGGAGTTGGCCTTGCAGACACCTGGAAGTGAGGATGTAACCGGCCATTTAGAGCGCAGGTTCCACCTGCCATCTACCTTCCAGAAGCTCCTCTGTGCTTTCAGAGGGAAAGTCATCCCCTTCACCCCCACCCCAGGCTCGGTCAGGAGGGCCTGCCCCAAGCCGGCAGAGTGGCTTGTTGGCTCCAGCACAACCACAGCCCTGGCAGCCACTCCTGGCCCCCCGGCCCCGCCGTCTGCCCTGAGGTGAGTCATGGAGCGAGGTGTGACGGCACTGTGGTTTATAGTTTGTGATTCACGGACAGAAGGCCGTGTTACTTGGCTCCCCTTAACTGCAAAGCCAGAGCCTAGGACTGCTTGGGCAGCAGACAGCCTGGCTGCACGTTGCTGGGGAGCCGAGCACCGACCAGCAGCAGGTCCGTGGCAGTGGTGGCCAGGGAGGTGTGGCCAGGGGGGGTGAGTGTCGGTCCACCCCCCCAGGGCCATTGGGATATGAACAAGGGGGCAGCTAGGGGGCCCGGGTGAGCCAAGTCTCCTGGTAATCTCTTCCCATGGGAGGATGCCTTCCCTGTCTCTCCTTTCCCCCATCTCTCCCTCTCCTCTCTCCCTCTCCTCTCTCCCTCTCCTCTCTCCCTCACCTTCTCCCCTCACCCCCTCACTGCCTCCCCATCTCTCCTTCCCCCTCCCCATCGCTCCCTCACCTCTCTCCCTCACCTTCCCCCCTCACCCCCTCACTGCCTCCTCTGTTTCTCCTCTCCTGGATCCCTGCCTAGGGACAGATGACCTTGTTCTTGTGGCTGTGGAAGTCCACTGGCAACTTGGGGCAGCTTGCACACAGATCAGGGTGACTAGAAGGGGTTTCTGGGTAGAACCAGCCAGGCTGGGCCCACACGGTGGAGTAGCCTCTGTGTGGTTGGCGCCTGGCTGCCCCAGCGCCCACGGAGTCACTCGAAGGCTGATGGTGGGGCCTGTGGCAGGCCAGCACACATTGCCCCAGGTTGTTTCACTCCTGGGTCATGTGGCGAGGGTGTGTGCTTGTGTCTGGTCTCAGCCTCTGGCCTGTGGAGGTGGCGGCGTCAGCTCTGCCAGGCTGAGCCCGACTGGGCAGTATTGGTGTCGATTCAGGGCCAGGTGCGTCTCTGGTTCCCTGCCCAGCTCTGCACCAAGTGAGGAGTGTCCCCAGCCCCACGGTCCACCAGCCATGCCTAGGGGGAGGCTATGCCCAGGGCAGGTGGCTGGAGGTGGCCATACCGTTGGGGCAGGGCTAGGGGGCCAAGAAGAGGAGGGAATAGGGAATAAGAGGAGGGAATATGGCCTTCACAGGGGAAAGCCAGCTCCCACCAGTCCTGGGCAGACCACGCTAGAGAGGTGGAAGGAGATGAAAAAATGTGAGCAGGCAGGGGATCAGTTCCTCTCCAGGGGGCCAGAGGTGGGACTCCAGCCCCTGCCAAGATTGAGCAATCAGTCACCAGACAGATCAGAAGGAGGGGAGGGGAGTCGCAGACTGTCCCGAGGATGGGGGCCTCTCACAGATGACTCCCCAATTACAAGAAAAAGGAGACCACTGGCATTGTCACACCACAGGGAGGTGGCCATACACAGACAAATTATGCAACCACTGAGCTGGCGCGGGGGGTCACAGAATGTCAGCCCCCCTGCTGCCTTCAGGGGCAGCCTACGTGAGGGAGGGCAGCTTTCAGGGAGCCGACCCTGAGGGCCTGTCTGAGGAGGTGTCTTTGGGCTCAAACCTTTGTGATAAGAAGGAACCAGCCAGGCAGACTTGGAGGAAAGTGCCCCGGGCAGAGGGCACAGCAAGTGCGAAGGCCCTGAGGCCAGGAACACCTGTGACACTTTCCATGAGGCATGTCAGGATCCCACGGAGGTAGTGAGGTGAGCAGGGGCTCTACCACCAGGCGGTGATGACTGTGAATTGCATTCTGGGTAGTGGGGCAGGATCTGAGTTGGGATTAAAAATGGAGCTTGGGGCTTGGGATGCAGCTAAGATCATTTGCCAGGCACATATGGAGCCCTGGGTTCCCTTCCTGCACTGGGGATAAATGAACAAGTGAAGGAATGAGTGAGAGACCAGTCAGGGTCCCAGCTCCAGCCCTGCGGGGAGGTCAGAGGTAGCTTTGTGAATGTCCCTTGTGGTGTCAAGGCAGGGGAGCGAGCAGAGGTGTGTGCTAACAGCCAGTGTGATGGGGGCGGACAGTCTGTAGCAGGTACCAATTGCCCAGGTGTAAACAAAGCCTCCCACAGGCTGACCCCTCACCCACAACGCACATACTGTCCCTCATGAGATGCAAGCACAGAAATGACCATAGGAGCACGGATGGCACCATGCAGACACTTGGGTCACGGTGCATTTGAGCACTTACAGCTTCAACTTTATCCTGCTGGGGTTGGGGAGGTGCACAGAGACCACTATCCGCCAGACCAGTACCGAGTCTGAGAAGCACAGCTTCCTGTCAGAATGCCGGAAGTCACGTGGGATCGTGGGGTTCCCCATTCACCCCAAACCCTCAAGCAGGTCAAGGTGTCACCTCTGCTGGGGCAAGGGTCCTGTGTGTGCTCTGTGGGACAGGAGCCCCAAATGACTGCCCATTTGGCAGAGTCTTGGTCCCCACCCCAGCCCCGTCCAAGGGAAATCCCAGGGCCTCAGGGTACCTAGCACTAGTCTATAGCAGGTGGGCAGAACTTGGCCCCTGACCTGCTTCTCTAAATAAAGCTTTATTGGCACACAGCCTTGCCCACTCACGTAAGGGCCACTTTCACGCCCTCATGGCAGAGCTAAGCAGGTGCCTTAGAGATCCACTTCTTACCATCTGGCCCTTCTGGGGAAGCTTGCAAGCTTGCTGGTCCCCAGCTAAAATGCTGGTGCCTGGGGCCCAAGCCAGGGGGCCTCCTGAGACCCAGAAAGTGAAATTCTGTAGCCCCCCCAGCTGGGTGCCACCCAGAGGCACAGCTGGCCAGTGTCAACCCTGCCCGAGTTGTATCAGGCTTTAGGGGACCAAGAAGGCTCATGGGGAGACACGGTGCCTTGCGGGGAGCTGTGAGATGGGGCCTGCGTCCTCCTCCCTGGTGCGTGCACATCTCCCAGTCCTCCTCCCTCTGTCGCCCCCCCCAGCTGCCCGTGGCTGCTTCTCCCTGCTCTCCTCCATAGTGGGGTGCGGGGCACCTCTCCTTGGAGATGGGGTTCAGGCCATAGGGTGTTGGGCTGAGGAGGGGGCTCCCTAATGTGTAGGGAAGAGGAGGCCATGGCGAAGGGGCGGCTGCCCTCCTATGGGAAGGGATGACATCACTACTGGTGCCTAGCACTGAGCCTCCCCTGGGCTGGGTGAAGGTTCCACCCTAGTCGGTGCGGACTGGGGGCACAGGCCGGTTCACAGACACTGTGCAGCCTGCTGAGGAAGCAGCAGTCGTGGAGGCTGTCCTGGCTTCCCTTACAGGACGTGGGGTTTCTGGGGGAAGGGAGGACAGCTATAGGGGAGTCTGGGGTGGACACAGCTATAGCCTCGTGAGCCCATGGTTGCTGCACAAGTCAGGCCCTCACTCTTTTTCCCATTGTTGCTGCCCCTGGGTGGACCCCGTGTGCAGCTGTCTTAAATGAGAGGAAGCCTGATAACCCTGACTGGGACAGCCATGTGCTCTGGGTGGGAAAGAGCAATGGATGTTCTTTCTTTGTGGTACCAGGGATGGAGTCTGGGCCTCAGCTTGCCAGGCAAGCTCTGTACCACTGGGCCATCCCCCCGGCCTATGTCTGGGTTTCTTTTCCCTCAGTTTGGGTTTGAGCATTGGCGTGGCTGCACACTGTAGACGCACAGAGGCTTTGCCTGGCTTGTTTTCATTCCACTGGGCCCCGCAGGCTAGGAAGATGGTCTGGTTTGGCAGCCGCCTGTGGGGAGGACCTTGGGGTGGCCAAGAAAACCAGCGTGCGCCTTTAGAGAAATCAGCTGGGCCCAAAAGGAAGCCAGGAAGCAGCGCTGGAAGGGGCTGGCCTGTCGTGGCACCTCCCTGTCCTGGGAGGCCAGGGCCACTGGGGCAGGAGATGGCAGAGCCAGGCAGAGCGTGGAGCTAGGCTTTGCCTGAGCCTCTTGGATCTGCCCTGTGAGATGGCCTGTTCTGTTCCCTCTGGGGCAGCAGGAGAGAAAAACTAGCCCAGGCAACAAGAGAGGCCATCAGCCTGGCTGCCACCATCCTCGGGCAGGTGTGGGGCTTCCTGGCAGCTCTGGGGAACTGGGTCCCTCTTCCTAGTTTACAGACTTGAAGGTTTAGAGAGGTGGCCTGAGTGCTGTCAGGGGCCAGGCAGGGCTGGGCATGTAGAATGGCCCCCAGGGTCCCTGATGCTAACTGCTCCTGCCCGGGGTGGGGATGGGGCTAACAAGGGCACTCTTTTACCGTGGTCTCTTAGCGTGGGCTGCTTGCGTCCTACTTAAATGTCCAGCTGCTCTGTGTGAGTTCTCATGTTGTCAAAGGTGAAGAAATTAGAGCACAGAGAGGTTAAGACTCTCACCCTGGGGCACACAGCCACCAAGTGGATGAGGCAGGAATTAAACCTGGGGATGTCTAAGCCCAGTGCTTCTCACATCTCACCCTGACTCCTGCCTCTCCTGGGCCTGCCAGCTGTGCCTGGACTTCCCAGACGCCCCAGCCTCTGCAGGGCACATGGCGTTATTTCTCCCTCCCCCATGCCCAGCCCTGCGGTGCCCAGGTGCGTCCGGTCACCCGCCTCACGGTCCCCTCCCACTCTCTGCCTCCCCTGGCAGCAGCAGCAGCAGCAACAGCAGCAGCAACAGATGGCACGGACCAGCCAGGAGGAGAAGGAGGAGAAGGAGAAGGAGGTCGAAAAGGAGGAGGAGAAGCCGGACGTGGACAACGACAAGGAGGAGCTCAAGTAAGGCCGCCAGGATCTGCACTCAGCTCCCACCAGGGCCCGCGAATCCGCGTGGCCTGGCACTGGCCTGCTGCCCACCAAGCGGGTGGGCACCCTCCGCCCGTCTCCCTCCACCAGCCCCTTCCTCCCGGAAGCTGCTCACCCCCCTGCCCGCTCCTCTCCCCTCTGCCCGCCACCCCCTGGAGACCTCCAAGACTGATAGCTCCTGTGAGCTCTGCTCCTGAGCTAATAAATCCACACCGCGACTTTGGAACTCTGCCGCCCGCCCGCCACCCCCTCCCAGTCTCCTGAGCTCCGGGAAGGGAAGGGAAGGGAAGGGAAGGGAAGGGGGAAGGGATGGCGGGTGCAGGCAGCTGGCAGCTCCCACCTGCAGAATTACCCGTGTCAGCGGGAGCCCTGCAGATCAAGGCCTGGCTCACAGCCAGCTGGAGGTGGGGGCGAAGGGGCTGCACGGAGTGCTAGGTACCTGCGATGGGCCCAGGAATGCGGCTCCGGAGAACATCTGGCTGCCTTTCCTGTCTCCCGGCTCCAGCCAGGGCCTTCGGGAAGATGAATGGGGAGGCATAGGCCATAAATCTGTCCTGAGCTGCTGCTGAGACATCCCAGCTCTGAGCTCTGAGGTCCCGCGCCCCACGCCTGGGCGCCCCACACCTGGCCAGGCCTGCTTAAACCGGCAGGAGCTGTTCTTGCCTGGGACTCCCTGAGGCGCACACAGAGCCCTCCATAATCCTGAAAGCAGGGTCCCCGGAAAGAGGTTCTTTGCGGCCAGCAAAGTGGCCCCGTAGATTACTGCCGGCCCCCAGCCTGGCCAGTCCCTGGAGTTGGCTCACAGTCCAGAGCAGCTCTGTTGGGTGTAAACGTGGTCTTCAGATAGACACCAGCCCGAACCCCCTGTGTATGCACCATGTGCCGGCCGAAAAGCACCAAGCACCTCTGTCTGGGTGAATCTAACAGCCACACAGCTAACTGCCGTTCTGTTCCCTACCTGGGGCATAAAGCAGTCGATAGCTCCCACCTTCTTCCTGATACGTAAGACGGCACTGCAAGGGGCTGCCTGCCTGCCCACCAAGCCCCTTCTGGTGGGCAGGAGCCCTCCTGATGGCGGCAGCAGCAGCGTGCAGCACAGGCTCCTCCCTTGTCTCTTGCTCCGGTTCGCAAGAGCCCAGGTCTACACCAGTAACCTGCGGCTTCTTGGCCCTAGCAGACCCGTCCCTGTGTCCCCTGTGGCCTTAGGGAGAAGACTGATGACACATCCGGAGAGGACAACGATGAGAAGGAGGCAGTGGCCTCCAAAGGCCGCAAAACCGCCAACAGCCAGGGACGGCGCAAAGGCCGAATCACCCGCTCCATGGCCAATGAGGCCAACAACGAGGAGGCCGTCACCCCGCAACAGAGCGCTGAGCTGGGTGAGTCGCCAGGGGAGGCTCTTGTAAAGTTTCGTGAATTTGAGTCAATAGACCGCAGCTGACGGGCGGTTTGGCGCTAGGTCACTGTGTGACCTAGGGCCAGTTCCTTAAGCTCTCTGAGCACTCTCAGCTGCAGAGGGAAGTCACCTATGACAAGAGAGTAAATGACCTAGAGCTCTGCCTGCTGTGTGGGCGGAGCTCAGGACTGGCCGTCACGCCCACTTCAGGCCCTACCAGGTGTTTTTATTTACATCAGATCTGGCTACAGGCGTGTAGCAGCCACCCTTTCTTAGGAGGCCGTGACTGTCATTGTCCCTGCCTGCCCTCTGCCCTAGTGGACACCTGGGTTCCCATCTTCACCTTCACAGACCTCAGTTTCTCTTTCTGCCCAGGATCCCCTTTCCCCTCCTGCAGTTCTCCAGTTTGGCCACCAGGGGCAGTGGTGTGCACCTGTCCTGTCTGCTGCTATTTAGGCTGTTTGGGGCCCTTGCAGGAACCCCCTCCCCAGGCCCCAGCTGCCAGGGCTCTTCCCCAGGTGCAGGGGGTGCTTCATTGCTCCCCGGGGTCTGCACCAGCCTCTGTCTCTTCCCGTGATAGGTAGCTTGGACCTCTTTATACGTGGGCTCAGAGAAGGGATGTCTCCTCAGGTCGCAGATATAACAGGATTTGAACTCAGCTCCATTGGCCCCAAGCCCCATTGGCCAGTTGCTCTTTAGCGATAGCATACCTGGAGGCCCAGGGTAAGGGCTTCCTGCAGAAATGTGCAAGCACTCCCGGTCTCTGTGGACTGCCCTCTCGGGTCCCAGGTGAGTGCTGGGCTCCGGGCTGCAGGGTGGAAAATAGCCTGGGCCTCCCACAGGCTCTTCCAGCAAGATCCACTCCAGCTCCTGCTTTCACAGCCTCCCCTGGTGGCCCTGTGGGAAGGAAGTGGAGAGTCGGCAAGATCTCAAAGATGTCTGGGGTTCGGCAGCAGGGATGGGGAGGCTACCGCAGGGTGGGGACTGTTCCCTGCTCCCGCTGGAACTGCCCGCTATGCAGCAAGCCTTTTTCGAGCACATACTCTGTGCGTGGCATTGTTGAGGTGCCGTGGAGCCACCCCCTCCCAGGTCCCGAGCCGCTGGAAAAGGAGGGCCAGGCTGACCTCCAAGTGACCTGTCTGTTGGAGAGGCTTGAAGGTAGTGCCTCTGCTCCACCCAGGGCCAGGCTGTAGCCCTTCTAATCAGCCCAGAAGGTCCGTCCTTGCTCTGGCTGAGTGGTAGTTGTGGTAACACCTGGCCTCTGTGATGGTCACAGTTGGAGTGGGCCGTGAGCATCTGCTGGGTGGGTGTAGAGTGGTCCCCGCAGTGTGATCTGGGTCCCCAGGACCTGCCCACTTGAAGCTCATATCCTTGTCCCTGCCTCACTTGGTCACTGTGTCACAACTGGGCCACTGCCTTCCCAGCAAAGCGCTTGCTGACCCAGGCCGTGACTGCCTTGGTTTCCCCATCTAGAAGGATGTGGGGCACGGCCTCGCAGTCCAGCAAGCTGTCTGGAACTGTGGTGAAGGCCGTGGAACTACTCAGCACAGGACTGAGCCCAGTGGGCGGCTAGAGCCGTGGGCTACACACTGGGGATCAGCAGAGGGACGAGCCACCTTCAGAAGGCAGAGCCATGTCACTGCCCTGCTGACCATCTGTCTTCCTTTCCAGCCTCTATGGAGATGAATGAGAGTTCACGCTGGACAGAAGAAGAGATGGAGACAGCCAAGAAAGGTGAGTGTGCGGCCACACCCAGCTGTGTGACACTAGGGTTGGCCCTGGGCGCCCAAGCTCTGTGCTGGAAGTGGGGTTCACATGCCCAGCTTTGAGCTGGGGGCTGTGGAGAGGCCCGGGAGGGGTTGTAATTCCGGTGTTCATCGTCTCCTCAGAGCCTCAGTTTCCCTCTGAGTAATGAGTTTGCGTGACTGCATGGCCAGATGCAGCCTGTGATGTCCAGGTGCTGTGATTTCTGGGCTCGGCCCCATGGCTGGGGTGTGTGCAGCCAGTGAGAGGCCTCTGGGTGGCCTTTGTGACCAGCACCGTCTCTGGGCCTTGTGAACGGTGACAGAAGCAAACCTGAATGCCTTGGGGTGTCAGAGTTTGCTGGCAGCCACGAAGGTGGGGGTCACATGGTCAGTGACACCCACAGGGCTTTTGGTCTTCCCATGAGTGTGTAGCTCCTATGTGGAGCCCCAGAGGCCCCATGCTGGGGTGCCAGAGACGTGTCTCAGTTGGACGTCTGATGGCAGGTCTGGTCTGCTGGGTTGGCTTAGGAGCTACCCGTATTGAAGGCTGAGTTTGGGGGTTGCAGGAGCTGGCAGTGTTGGTGTCGAGAGTGGAAGCTGTTCTCAGCTTGCCGGTGACCTCGTGTTGTGCAGTGTGGCAGGGCTGGGCTGAGGTCATCCAGGACCCCCAAGCCTGGCCTCTGGAAGCAGGGCTAGGGTGGCAATTGGCGTGGGCCCTGGTGCCAACACCACGTCTTCACTGGAAACCACAGCCTGTCCATGAGAGCCAGAACAGCTGAGCCCTTCATTCCTCAGCATGGTGACCCATCTTTGGGCCTCGGTTTGTCCCGTCTGTGAAATGGGCACGGTGCCCAGGTTGGTTGTGAGGACCCTGAAAGAAGCCATGCTGAGGGCTGCAGGATGGGCAGCTCTCAGTCAGAGCTGTGGGTGTGAACTCCCCTCTGTCCCTCTGTCCCTCTGTCCCTTGCCCTGTCTGGGAGACATGTTGGCTGTCCCTCACCTGTGCTTGGCACAGGGCCATCAGAACCACAGTGATCCTGAGGCTGGCGAAGGCACTGAACTCCCTGATTTTTGTGCTGGGTCACCTTGACCTCCCCCTCCCTGAGAGGCCTATTCCCGTCCTGGTCCCTGTCCCCATATCAAGGGTGGGGATTGCCCAGAGTCCTGGAGCTCAGTGTGGGGCCTCCTGATCCTCGTCCTCAGGGCTCTGCCCAAATGGAGGCTCTGTCTGTGTGTACGGCTTCTTTGTGTAGAAAGCTCCAGGTGTGATACTCGGTGGGAACAAATGGCCTTTATGCTAGAGGTCACGTGTGGCAGGACTAGGGTGGCCCGGGAGCAGCCACAGACATGGAGGACCCTTTCACAGTCCCCCTTTTCTGGACCCCATCCTTCCCCCAGGACTGCCTTCTGGGCATGTGCCTCCCGCCCCCACCCAGCACGCTCCTCTGTGGGCTGGGCATCCTTGGGGCCCTCTGTGAGAAAGAGGTGACACTTGGCTCCTCTTGGAGGTCCGGCTCTGTTTTCAGGGGGTCAGAGAGACACTCAGGTCTTGGCGTCACCCCCACCCGTGGGCACGGGTGCCATCAGCTTGCAGAGGGGTCACCCCGTCAGTTCTGTCTCTTGTATCCATGGTGTGGCCTGGCATAAATTGAAAAGAGGCTTTATTTGAAGTCGTGTGGTCTCTCTCCCTTTATTTAATCTTCGTAAAGGACAGATGACGTCGTTTACTGTCCTCGCCACTGAGAAGTGAACCGTCGTCCGGTGGCGTTAACTACATCCACAGTGTTTGCAGCCATCACCGCTGTCTAGCTCCAGAACCTTCTGCTCCTATCGGAAATCCCGTACCCATTAGCCGGCACTCCCCTGCCCCATGGGCCCCGCCAGGCCCTGGCAACCGCTAATGGACTGTGTCCCTGAGGATGCGGGGGTGAAACGCGCAGCTTCGCGGCGTGCTTTGGAGGTTTCTCACGTAGCGTTTTCTGACTGAGTGCACGCCCATGTGACCGACCCCGTTTCGTTTAGTGGCTTGTGTGTTGGTGGACAGGCACACCGGGCCCCCTTCGGCTGCTGTGTGTAGACAGGAGGACATCCGTGTTGATGTCTACAGGTTTTTAGCCACACGCCAGGTCCTGGGGTCTTGGTCCCGTGGCTGTGAACTTGCCTGGGGAGGCACCTCCTCGTGGATGTCCTTTGGCCTCTGTGTCCCCTCCCTAGTGTCGTCACCACAGCCCCATTGCTGTTGCCTGGATGCCAGGAGGCGGCTGCCCTCTCTCCCTTCTGGAAGGGCAGATCGGAGGCAGGAGGAGGAGGGGATGACTCACCAGCAGCCATGGCTATGAACATAGCATGGAGCCCTGCCGGCCGGCCTGCCCCAGCCACCTCAGGGTCGGGTCCATGACGGCCGTGAGCTCATCCCGGGTCCTGCCCATGGAGACGGCAGCGAGCGAGCCCTGGGGGCCGTGCACAGCGGGCGTGCTCGTCTGCGTGAATTGCAGCAATCTGGACAATTACGAGCAGGGCGGCTGCTGACAGCTGTGTGTTCCCATGGCGGGGGTGGAGAGGCAGGTGCACACGGCCCCCGGCGGCTTCTTCTCCGCAGCCAGTGGGGGTGAGAGGCTAGGAATGTTCCAGAGCCCCCTGCCTAGTGCTGAAGACCCAGAGTGAGGAACAAGACCAAGACAGCTGTGCCACCGTCCTTTGGCTGGTGTGGGGCAGGGGTGCACAGTGCCAGCCCCAGAACTGGGGACTGCAGAGCCAGTTTGAGCATCCTTGCTCCAGCCTTGAAAGGCCCTCGCCCTGAGGGGAGTCAGGCCTCTGCCTTTGTAGTTCCTAGCTATGTGACTCCAGGCAAGTCACCCATCTTCTCTGGGCCTCGAACCGTTGATGTAAAAGCAATAGGAATTTACTGTTCTCACACTTCTGGAAACCAGAAGTCTAAAATCAGCCTGCAGGGCTGGCAGGGCTGCTGTCCTAAGGGAGGCCTCAGCTGCCCCTAGCGTCCTTGGCTCATGGTGGTTTCACTCCGCTCTGCCTCCATCCTCACCTGGCCTGGTTCATGCAGTGTGACTTCATCGCACTCCCGTGACACCTCCAGGGCTGTGCCGTTCCTGTTCTGGGGGAACGGGATGTGTGTGTGTGTGTGTCTGTGTGTGTGTGTGTCTGTGTGTGTGTGTGTGTGTGTGTGTGTGCGCGCACACGCCGGTTGGGGGGTGGCGGGGAGGCGGGACAAACAACTGTGAAAACAACAGAAGAGCAGGGACCGTGATGCTACTGCCGAGGTCCCTGTCACCTTGGAATGCTACCTCCCAAGTAGAACCAGCCCACAATGGGCAACCCCTGATATACAGTAGGTGCTCAGAGTCTTCAGGTGCCGTGCAGCGTAGACTGGAGCTGTCTGTCCTTCCTGGGTTTAGGTCCCTGCTCAGCCTCCCAAGGCTTCTGACCCTTGGCCTCCTCTGTGCATGGGCAGGGGGTGGGAGGGCTGGAGAGAGTGACCTGTCAAACAGGTGTACAGGGACAATTGGAGAGAGCCACAGCCAGAGGGGTTTTCCTGAGAAGGGGGCCTTGGGCTGACTCCCTAAACACAAAAGCAATATCACAGCCCTGAGCAGTACCAATGTGAAAAGTCTGGGGTGCCAGGGATGCCCAACACTTAGTGCTCTGCCTGTGGACACGCTCAGCTCCCCACTCTTCAGGTAGCTGCTCTTACTACCTCTTTTATTTCAGATGAGTAAGTCTAGGATTAGAGAGGTTTAGTGAGCTGCCCAAGGTCACACAGCTGTGGAGGGGTGGAGCTGGGATTAGAACCCAGGCCTCCAGTTGCAGAGTAGGAACTGGGGTGACATAAAGATTGAATGAGTTCATCTCTGGGCCTGGCTACTGTGAACCAGGTGACAGAGAGAGGAAAGGGCAACCCAGCAAAGGGAAAGACAGCTGCAAAGGCCCAGTTGCAGAGGCTGTGTGGTCAGGTGAGACACTATGGAGAATGAGACAGTGTGAGACAGAGGTGGAGGGCCCGTTGGAGCCTGGCTTTGTTAGCCTAAGAGAATGGCATGGGTCTGGGGGCGGGGCGGGCAGTACTGTGGCCCCAGGTCTGCCCTGTGTGTGTGGGGTCAGGGCTGCCTGCCTGGGCTCACACTGGGTGGGGACTGAGCCTCCCCAGGAAGCTGCCTCCCCAGGAATTGGGCAGCCCCAGAGAACTGGCCTGCTGCCCTCGGCCTGGAGCCACACACGGAGGGAGGGAGGGAGGTGTGGGTCCAGGACGAGGGACTCTGGTTCCCAGCGAAAGGTCCTGAGCCCTGACCCAGCAGTGCGGGAGGCCCAGGGCTTGGCTGGCAGCTCCTGCCCTGGTACAGAGCCATCCGTGGGGGCAGGGGAACCTTGTATACCACTCCAGACCAGGAATGGGGCAGCCCTGCTGCACACCAGCTCGTCCCTGGGAAGGAGTGGAAGTGAGTGGCCGTCTGGCTCTACCTGGGGTTCGTGCCTCTGGCGGAATCCACGTCTCCTTTGCACATGGCAGTAATTCCCATTGTGCACCAGTGCCCCAAGAGTCTAAAGCCTGGGAAGGGAGGCATGAGCTCCCCACCTGTTCTTTGGCAAAACTGTATGCTGTCCCTACTGTGCCAGGCTAGGTCCACCTGGACCAAGGCTGTGGTGGGGCAGTGTGGCCCAGGGTTTAGTGCACAGAATTCAGGGGAGGGAGGGGCAAGGCACCTGACCCTTGCTTTTCCCAAGTGCAGATGGCACACAGGTGATTTTCACCTCAAGGAGTGTGTCTCGGGGTGTACTGGCACAAGACACAGCCACATGGCATCCTACCTGGGGTTGAGAGGCACAGGGTGGATCTCAAGCAGGGTAGAGAGGTGGGAGGAGCTGGGGTGAAGTCACCAGTCCATATCCCCATGGGGTATGGGACTGGCAGGGTTTTAGGAGCCCCCACAGGACACGGAGCAGGGCCTGGAGCTTCAGAGATGAGGAGGTGGCTTAACTCCTCCTCCTTTGGGCTTCGGGTGCTCTGGGCAGAAGGTTTTGTTTTGCAATGAGTCTTTTTGTGGAAAGTGGGGGGGGGGTTCTGCTGCTTCCTTGGAGGAACTAGGAGCCTGGGGCTGGAGGGAGAGCTATTCCTGGGGAGCCCCCGTCCTTGGAGGGAGCAGCCAGTAGGTGGTGCCACACCCTGGGGGAGAGGCCAACCTTGCAGAGGACCACCATTGCCCCTGAGCCAGGGGGCTGTGTGTGGGCAGCTTACACCCCTGTGCTTGGAAAGATGCCCCTGTGGTCTACTGTGGTCTACTGGAGCAGTCTTTGCTCCATGCCACCACCCTGAGAGACATTTCTTGGGTTCCCTCACCTCTGCTCCCCAGTCCAGCACATCCATGACTCAGACCCCCGGGCTGGACTTCCTGTCTTGGTCAATTTCACTTCCTAGTTCCTGCCTCCTGCCTCCTCAGAACGAAAGTCCTTCCTTAGAAGTAGAGTCGGGGAATCCAGCCCACAAGGCAAGAAGCCGGTGCAGCCTGGCCTGCGAGAGTGGGGCTGTGCTGTGGGTGTGGGTGGCGCCCCAGCTTCTTCTAGGGGCCTCCAGGGCAAATCCTACAGCCCTGTCTTCCTGTGGGAGCTCCTTCCAGGATCCCTAAAAGGTGGCAGAGATGCCTGTGGGGTGCAGAGGACCCCAGGCTCAGATGCTTGTTGTGCCCAGTATGGGTGGAGGGATGTGCACTTAGCAGGCAGTGTCTGGGCGGGGGGGGCGGGGGGGACACGGGCAATGCAATGTCATGGGGACGACATGGCCCAAGTGATGACCGGTAGCTTCTGGATGACCAAGGAAGGCTTCTCTGAGGCGTCAGCTTCTGAGCCAAGATTGCAGGCCAGAGGCAGATCTATGAGAAAGCCATACAGCCAGCCAGGACAGCAGGTGCAAGTGCCCTGTGGTGCACTCAGGGCTCAAGTGACTGGAGCAGGGTGGGGGTTGGGGGCTGGCAGGGCCCCTTCTGAGGGACTCGTCTGGGCCATGAGTGCCCAGTGGTCCTGAGGTTCCCAGCAGAGGTGACAGGCTGGGAACCTGCCCCTTCTCAGCAGCAGCTGACCCTGGAGCCCCAGCTGTGGACTCAGTGGGAAAGCCCAGGATTCCCAGTAGGTCAGGGACTTCTGTCTTCCCCCACTGGGATCCTGACTAAGACGGGCTGGGTGCAAGGGACAGGGACGCCTGTTACCTTGGGGCTTCCCAGGGCAGGATGGAGAGGCCAAGGGTTAGAGGCTAAAGCAGGTCAGTGACCCCAGAGGTCCTGACCCTGACCCTGACCCAGGACTCGCTCCGAAGTGCAGCTCCCATGCCACCTGGGAGTTCAGAGCAGGTGTTCCCGGGGCACAGCTGACCTGGTTGTCAGGCTGTTGGGTGTCTGGAACACAGGGGGGCAGCCCTGGCCTTTTTGGAGAGCCCAGACCTTTTCCCCTCCTCAAGTGGTTGGAGGTCTCATTTGCACTTGGAAGAGGCTCCCTGTCCCCCCCACAGGGTGGCTGGCGGGTGGCGGGGGTTGCGGGGGGGGGGGGGGGGTAACTCAGGTGGAAGCACCGGGAGGCTGGCAGCGGAAGACGCTGTTTGCTCCCTGGCTGCCGGGGGTGGAGAAGCCCTGTTTTTCTGGAACCCTCATCTGTTCTTGCCGCTGCTGACGCCGCCGCCAAGGATGGGGAGAGGGAGGGGAAGCCGGTGCCAGTTGGCCCGCCCCTCCCAAACCTGGGCCTGTGCCATGGCCCCCGCCCGCCGCCCCCGCCAGCCTTGTCTGGAGGTCACATTTGGTCCTGACGCGGCTCAGTGGGTCAGGCAGCAGGAAGAGCTGAGCCGAGCCACAGCTGCTGGATCCGTCCGGCTTGGGGCTTTGGACTTTGTGCTGCTGGTGGGTCTGGGGTCTCCTGGTGGTGCCTCTTGCTGAGCGTCCTCCCCGGGCACACTGGTGCCTGAAGGAACTGTGGTGCTGGGAGCCCTGGTGACGCCTGGCACAGGGACACACAGCTGACAACTTCCCGCTGCGTCCCCTCCCACCCCCACCCCCACCCCCACCCCCCGCGGGGAAGGACACCTCGCTCCCTCGCTCGCTCGCTCGGCTCCGGCTCCGCAGCAGCTGGGGGACGCTTCAGAGGTGGCAGCGGCTGCCGGGGAGCCCGGGCCACCACGGGTGGGCAGGCGGCGCTGCTCCCGCCCTCCCGAGCCAGCCTCCGCCCGCCCTTCCGCCCGCCCTCCCTCCCTCTCCTGGCGGTGGACGAGGCAATGTGAGCAGAGCCGCCAGTGAGCGAGCAAGAGCAAGCGGACGCCAGCCAGGAGCCCGCACAGTGGGGCCAGCCCCGCGCCGCCCGGCCTCTTGTCACTTCTCCCAGCACCGCTCCCTGGAGCGTCCTCCCAGCCCAGCCGGATGTTTCCGGAAAACTTGGCCGAGGGGGAGCCGCCGATGAGAGGATGTGAGTGAGTGGCCCCCGGGGGAGGGTCGGGCTGCGGGTGCTGGTCGGCGACAGAGACCTTGACTTGGCTGGCAGGAAATCTTCCCTGGCACCCGGGGCGGCGGGAGACTGGGAGTTCTGGACACAGCATGGTGGATCGCACCCCCTCCCTGCCTGTCAGGGTCCAGCTGGTTCCCTTGGAAGGAGACCGGGGCCTGCCGCTACTCCTGGGCGGGTTTAAGGGTGCTGGGTACTCCGAGGTGGCCACCCAGCTAGCCTGGACCTGGGAGAAGCCTGTCTTCCCTCCCTGTCCCTGTCCTGGCCAGCCCTTCACACAGCAGTGAAGTAAACTGAGGCTCAGTGAGAAGGGACAGTCAGGGCCATGCGGCAGGGCTCCCCACAACTGCCCAATGCCCTGTCACCAACCACAGGTGTTCAGGGAGGGCTGAGTGACCCCCTATTCCTGTTTAATTCCAGCTGCTCCTTGAGCTGAGGGCTTGGCCCCAGCACGCCCCCCATGGGAGACCTGTCCCCCATCCCTATCTCCTGCCTGGGGTTCTGGCCCACAATCCTTCTGGCCTGACATTGGCTCGGGCCGATCCTTCTGGCCTGACATTGGCTCGGCCCTCTTGGCCCCGACTGGGGAAACATAAATAAAGGCATGTCCCCGTCCGCCCGGTTCTGGAAGCGGCAGCTGCTGCTGGCGCAGGCAGCGGGAAAGGTCAGGGGGCTGAACTACACTTGATCCCACGCCCTGCCCCCTCCTGCCTGTCCTTCAGGAGCCCCGGGGAGCAGAGCCGGTGTGGAGCCACGTGGCTCCCATGGCTGCTGCAGGCGGGCAGGTGTCCTGTCCATCCGGCACCTCCCCCACCTGATGGGACCAGAGGCCGATGGAGCGGGAAGCCAGGCCCCACACCCACACTGCCCCCATGGAGCCTGGTGACACAAGTGAGCCCTGAGTTTCCCTTGTCTTGGGGATGCTGGAGCAGGAAGGACAGACAGACCCTGAGGGTCACTTGGCCACCCATGGCATAGACGGGTGGTCTGTGGTATTTCTGCTGCTGCTTATTTTGGTTAGTGCTTTGTGGGTGACAGATGCCAACACGTGTGTGAATGAATGACGGGGGTGGGGGGGATTATGAATGACCCTGCAATGTGACAAGCATAGCCCTGTGCACAGTTCGACTTGATGTGAGAAAAATGGCTCAAAGAACTTGATTAGGGCGAGTCTTTTGTCAAAGTCGTCTTGGGTCCTGCTCTAGGGTTCTGTGGCCCTGGTGCCCAGCACTGTGATTTCACCTCTGGACCTCTGTTCCCATGAGGCACGTCTTGCCTGCAACCATGGGCTTTACCTGTAGCTGTGTGGGCTACACAAGGTCAACTGCTGGACAGGCAGGACACACATAGCCGCCACTTGGGCAGGTGGGCTGAGCTGCCTTGGCGCCCTGGCTACCTTTCTGCTGAGCCTGGGAATCGCAGGCTTAGAATGGAAAGGGCTGTCTGCTGGCCCAGCTCCAGGGTGAAGGTGCGGGGGGAGGAGGAAGGAGTGTTCTGTGGGCCTGGGGTGGGGGCTTTCTCCCCACACTGGGAGGCCGTGTGAGCCCCTGGGCAGTGAGTGGTTGTGAGGTGGGGGCAGACCCCCACCCAGCTGCTGACCTAGGCCTGGTAAGCTCTGAGTCTAATAAGGGCCTGTGGCTATCCATGGGGGATTTGGGCCTTGGTGGCACCCTGTGAACCTGGGTTCCATCCCAAGCTTGTCCCCATCCTGCATCTTCCTATCCCCGCTCACCTGAGTATGGCCAGAACACTGTCTGGTCTCCTGAGACCTTGTCTACAGCTGGAGTGGGTGTCAGTGCCAAGTTGGGTAGCTGGGCTCCCCTGCCCCACGGGGAAGGAAGAATGGGTGGTCCGGATGGGGCCTGTGTCCTAGACAGTGGTCTCTTTGGGGTATCTGCCTGTTATACTCTGCTCTCGTGCACCCCAGTGACCAAGAAGCTGCCCCCGACTCAGGGCTTCCTCCGCCCCTCACTGCCCTCTGTCCCGCAGGTCTCCTGGAGCATGGCCGGAACTGGTCGGCCATCGCGAGGATGGTGGGCTCCAAGACCGTGTCCCAGTGTAAGAACTTCTATTTCAACTACAAGAAGCGGCAGAACCTGGACGGGATCCTGCAGCAGCACAGGCTAAAGATGGTGAGCCCCATGCCAGCCAGGCTGGAGAGGGGCCATGTGGGGTCAGACGAGTGGGGCCACCCCTCTTCCCAGGCCTGGCCTCTTGGTGCCCCCCTCCAGCCCCTCTCTCCCGCTCAGATGCCTGTGGTGGGGGACGGAGCTGGTGGGCCGGGCCCTGACTCAGCCAGGAATCTGAGGCCGTCAGCGCCTTGGAATGAGACCCGCAGGCAGATGAATCCCGGAGCGAGCTCCCCGCCCGGCTGCCCTCGCTGTTTTAGGGCCTCAGAGGGAGAGGAGGACAGGTCTGGGGCAGTGGGAGGCTCAGCCCTGCCTGCCTTGGGCAGTGTGTGGTGGGGAGGGCTGGGGTGTCTGGTTGGCAGTACAGAAAGGGTCTCCCAAGAGCCCCTCTTCCCACTGGGGAGGCTTCAGGCCTTTTTCCTTCCTCCTTCCTCTCCCCCTTCCTCTGACACATTCCACGAGCATCTTCACCATTTCAGAGCTGGAGAAACGGAGGCTCGTGGGTGACTCTGGCACCCCTGCTCCTAAGCCAGGGACCACATGAATTCCCCTCCCTACCTCCCTTTCTGCCCTGCACGGGGCTGGGCTTAAAACCGTGTAGGCCATTCTGGACAGACAGTGCAGAATGACTCCTCTCGTTGGCCTGCTGAGGCTCAGAGAGGATGAACAGGTCACAGAGCAGCACATGGCTGCAGGCCAGAGACAGTGCTGCTGCTAGAACTCTCCTTGGTCCCTGTGTGGAGCCCACGGGCCCCCTTCCCGAGTGGGTTCCTACCCAGTGCATGTGTGAGGCTGATGGGGGCTCCAGGGCTGCAAGGGAACCACTCCGCGTCCCTGTCACTTCTAGTTAAACAGGCTGCCTTTTGGCCTCGCCTGCCCTTCAGGTGGGCGCTGGAATCTGCCCCTGCAGCTCAGCAGAGCCCCTCATTGCCTCAACGTTCTGGGGCTCTAGGGCAAGTTGGGTGTCTTATGCTGGGGAGGGGGAGATGGTCAACCAGGTCCACCTGGTAGTCCCAGCCTCTCAGAAGTGCCGTGCTCCCCACCTGCCCACCCTACTTCCCTTTCCTCCTTCCAGCCCACCTCTCCCTATTCCCCTCCCCTCATTCCAGCCCTGTCTCCCCCAACCCTGCCGTACCAGACAGGACAGCTGGGCAGAGGACCTGGGGACTCCAGCAGGGTGAAGAGTGGAGGGGGTCAGGTCCCAGTCTGTCGGTTAGCACCCGTGTGATTGTGGGCAGTGGCTTCTCTAGCCTGAACCTCAGTTTCCCCTCTGTCAAGTGAGGGATTCATAGCTTTGGCTGCAGGTCCCATAAGGAATTCAGGGCCCACCGAGGGGAGGCGCTCCATGGGGCTCATTGTCTGCTCTCTGCTCCTCTGTCCCCTCTGTCCCTTAGTCCGCAGCCACCACCCCTCCCCTTTCCTTCTTGGGCAAGCAAGGCCTTCCTGATTCTCAGGAGCAGTGACAGCCAGGACACGCTGTGAGTTGGCGGCAGAGACTCTGGGCCAAGGAGACCCTGGCGTGAATCGAGGCTCTGCTGCTTACCGGCTGTGTGCCCTTCGACATGTGACTTGTTCTCCATGCCTCAGTTTCTCCTCCTGTGAAATGGGTAGAGCAGCAGCACTTACCTTCTTCAAGGAGCTGCTGTAGACGTGCTCTGCATGAGTGCCCATCATGCACTCAGAATAGGGTGACATGTCCATCGCTTATGGATGTTGGCACAGGCTTGTGGCAGCCAGGTGCCTGGCGGTGTGGCGCATCTGTCTTGGATGGCTGGACACATCAGTTCATTGATTCAAGCAGCCTGGAGGCATCTGCAGAGAGGGCCCAAGTGGATGGGTTTGCACTTAGCGTCCGGTGGCTCAGGGTCCTCAGCTCCCCTCTCTGAGAAATGGGTTTAGCACGACGACTGACTCCTGGAGTGCGGGAGGAGTGAATGACTTGTGCCCTAGAAAGTAGGTGTTGGATGTCATCCAGCTCAGCGCCTGCTGTGTCCTACAGGGTGACCTCAGACATCCCGAGTCAGAGGTACTCATTGGTTTTTTCTGCTGGGATGAGGAACTGGGTGTGCTGTCAGTGGACCCGTAGGAGCCATGGATGGGCAGCCAGGTGGAGTGATAGTCTGAGGGAGATGGAGTCCAGCTGGTCTGGAGCGATCCGGCCCTGATCTGAATATCCAGGTGGAGGCTACAGAGCTGGCAGTCATGGAGGAGGCCAGGCTGCTCCCCAAGTGAGAGCAGGTGGCCCCAGAGCATGGGGTTAGTCTGAGAGTCACAGAGAGAGCAGCGTGCAGAGGCAGGGCTCCATTCGGGAAGTCGGGCCCAGCAGGATCCCTGTCCTGGCTGGGCAGCCTCCCATCTCCACCCAGCACCCTGCAGCCCTGGGGAAGGGGCCCATATGTCACCTTGGCCAGTGCAGGGAGGCGGGTTAAGCAGAGAGTCAGCAGTACCTCCTCTTGCTCACCCCAAGCCTGGCCTCAACATGGCCACCGGGGACGTCAGCAGGAAGCAGGACCGTGCGGGTGGAGCATGTCCCAAGTTACGTAACGCCTGGCACCCTGTCCTCTCTGAGACTCCCTCCTCCGTGTGGCCGAAGGTTACCCTTTCCTCACATCTGCGTCTGGCCCCTGGGACCCAGCCTCCGCCTTCTCAGTCTGTGTCCTGCTCAGCCGGGCTCGGCCCTGCCTTATTCTCCTCTGTGTTCTCCTCCCTCTGAGGCCACACAGAAATGCTCGAACCTGACCTGCATTCAAACCAGGGCTTCTGGACGCCTGGGCTCTGTGGTCTTGGGCAAGTGTCTTTGCCTCTCTGGCCTGGCGCCCTTTTTCTCTGAGCCTGATTTGTCCAATGACAAATTAGCCCCTGTTCTGTACCAGGCATGTTCCAGGTGTGGTGGGAATCAGTGGAGAACAGGGAAGGGTTCCAGGAGCAGAGTCCAGCACGAGAGAGGACCCAGCACAGGCGATTTCCATGTGGTCTGAAGGTGCAGACGCAAGGGACGGAGAAGAAAGTGACCATGGTGGGGTGGAGCGATGAGCTCATTTTGGCAGGGAAATCAGGGAAGACCTCTTTGTGGAGAGGCGGTGAGGAAGTGAGTCATGCGCTGTCTGGGGGAAAGGTGTCCATTGGGCAAACAGCCAGTGCAAAGGTCCTAGGGCCAGGGCATCCTAAGCAGGGAGGGAGGTGTGTTTATAGCAGCATGCTGGAGCAGGTGAAAGGTGAAGAGGAGCTGAGAAGGGTGGGGGGGAGCAGATTTAAACCGTGCAGGGCTCTGGGGAAGACTTGGGGTTATATCCCAGGTACTGGGGATCCCTAAAGACTTTTGAAGTGGGGTTGGGGTTGACATGCACTAAGTGAATTAATACATACAGCAGGCCTGGCACATGGAAGGTGCTTAGTAGATATCAGCTGCAAGGATGGATTCACGTTAGCATCGCTGGTGTTACCTGTTCTTCACGCTCCTTCTGATCCTGGGGTGCTGGTGACTAGAAGGATTTCCTGTAGTTCTCGCTCTCGGGCTCAACCTCTGGGGGACTCAGGTGTGTCAGGGACGCTCACAGAGAGACCCTGCCTCTCCGGCAGGACATGTCTCAGCTAGGCTAATGGGTCCCCACTCCCTGCAAGTGTCCCCATGTCCATACTGCCTGGTCCGCGCTCACCTGGGTCCTGCCTGTTAAAGATAGAATGAGGAGAAGGGAAGCCCCTGCTGTGCCCACAGAACCGCTTTCTTGCGCCTCTGTGGCCTCAAGCCAGAGGCTCCCAGGAGATGCAGCTGGGCCCTTGGGTGGCAGGGCGGGCGTCCCTGTGACGGGCTGGGAATGCTTGGCAGGGTGGGCTCTGCTTTGGCCGAGTGTTAGTGATGGAGACTGTGACTAACGGGTGACAGGCATTCCCTTTTCCTCTTGGTGCTGTGCTCTGAGGAACCCCATCCCACAAGGAGGATAGAAAGAAAGGGTTCCTCCCCTGCCTAGACTGGGACACAGGACACCCCCTGTCCTCCAGCCTGGCAGCAGTGGTGCTACAAGACAGACACAGCCTACCTGGCCCCAGAGAGCAGCCACGCTGCATTTCCATGTGGGTGGCTTTGCCTGAATCCGGGGTCCCCTGCAGAAGCCATGTCAGCTTTCTGTGACTGCTGTGACAGCACAGGCGGGAGTCCCATCCCAGCAGGTTTGACTTGCTCCGCAGGCCTCCCATGGTGGCCATCTTTGGTATCCTTGGTTGGTGGTCCAATCCCATGCTCGGCCTCCATGCCTCAGGTCCACCCTTCCAGGATGGCCACATCTTACTGTTTACATCCACAAAGACCCCATCTCTAGTCACATTTCCAGGTCTTAGATGGACACAAAGTTTGGGAGACGCTAACCCAGTCTGAGGGAGCTTCACCAAGAGCTGTCAGGACCTCCAGGCATCCTGTAGCTCCTGACCCCATTCTCAGCCTCCAGAGAGCTCAGGCTGCGTCTGCTCCCCTAGGAAACTGCAGCACACTCTGTCCCCACATGCCCCAGCTCTGCTGGATGCGTGTTCAAGCCCAGGGAGGCCTCAGCAAACTGCCCAACAATCGCTCAGTGAGCCTCTGCTGAGCCCAGCATGGAGGATAAAGAGACAGGGCCCTGAGGGGTCAGGGATGGGATGGGAGCTATCCCTAAGCCCAGTGCTGAAGAGTGAGGACCCGACTCCTGTGTGTGAGGAGCCAGGGGAAGTGGGACGTGGTCTGGGGGAGTAACAGGCTTTGCAGTGTGGGCTTCTTTCTGATCCTCCAACAGTGATTCACACCACAGGGCTTTTGCACATCTGCACGCTCCCTAGCCCCCAACTCCCCTGCCCAGACCCTTGCCTAGCCAGTTCCCTCTCCCTTCAGAACTTGGCTTAAGTGTCACCTGGCCCAGCGGAGCGCCACACCTGCCCTCTCTTGGCCTCCATTTGATCCCTTTGAGGCCATTAGCAGCTGCCTGCCCCGAGGGTGAAGTCCTCATCCTGCCTGTGCCCAAGCCTTGGCACGCAGCATCTGTTGTTTGCTTCTCAGGCAGCCCGCCCACCGGGATCCAGGGGCATTTGTTCATGACTTCACCTACTGATGGCACTGCCAAGGGGCCCCAGGGAGCAGGGTCACGGCTGTGGCCTGGAGGCGTGGGGACCTCCAGACTGAGGCCGTTCTCGCTCAGGCTGGACACAGGGAGAAGCCCCGGGTAAAAATAGCCATGGCAGGTTTGGGCACAGTGGCCCTCACTGCCACGTGGCCGGGCAAGCTGGCCTTGGTCACAGGGAGTCTCCAGGCTGACAGCACTGGCCCGGCCCTGACCCTGACCCCGGTGTCCTGTGTCCCAGGAGAAGGAGAGGAACGCGCGCCGGAAGAAGAAGAAGACGCCAGCCGCAGCCAGTGAGGAGGCTGCCTTCCCGCCTGTGGCTGAGGACGAGGAAATGGAGGCGTCGGGTGGGAGCGGGAACGAGGAGGAGATGGCCGAGGAGGCAGAAGGTGAGGGACTGACGAGGCGGCCAAGCGAAGGAGGGAGGGAGGGAGTCTCTGCCATGCTGGGCCTTCATAGAGAGGCCTCGAGAGGCAGAGCGTCACCACCTGAGGCTGCCAGTGAGGACCAGGGTGACGGCAACCACAGCAGCACAATAACCCGCTTCTCTGGGAGCTCAGGCCTCGTCCAGTCTTCCCAACCCCTGAGCCCTTCTCACGCTTGGGTGACTGTATGGCCAGGACAGCCCCGTGGGCACCCGTTGTCTTGCCCTCCCATCTGGTGTTGTGTCCACTTTTGAAAATAGCTTTTTAACCAGAACTAACTAACGAATCCTGCAGTGTAAATAGAACCAATCGCATCAACTGATACATACGGGGTGGGGGCTGCATCCCCTAGTAAGGGCAAGTGCCCAGCTCCAACCCCAGCATGCCACAAAAAAAAAAGGAAGAAAAATAGAAGGGCTGGGGTGTGGCTCATGTGGTACAGCACCTGCCTAGCAAGTGCAAGGCCCTGGGTTCAAACCCCAGTACCACCACAAGCAAGTACGCAGTGCCCTCCCCACAACTCGGGGAGGACTCTGATCTTAGGACATTGTCCTGCCACCTGATGTCAGTGCCCGGGTCCTACGGCTCCGTGTAGCACCTTTGTAGACCCAGGAGTCCTAACACCAGCCCTGCACTCCTGATGAGTGATTGTCCCCTGACCCGCACTGTACCTCTTTCTCCCCGTCAAAGAGGAAGCCAATTCTGGACCTGCACCCCTGGCCAGGGCAGCCCAGCTGAGCCCTCGGGCTCTGGTAGACAGCACCTTCCCTCCTGCTCTCCTGTTACCTGTCTGGGGCCCCTTCCTGTCACTTTGTCTACCTCTTGTGTCTGCCTTCTTAATTTTGCGGGTGTCTGCAGCATGGGGAAGAGGGTGCAAGTTGCCTTGTGGTTCTGTGAGCCAGGCCCTGCCAGCCCCCATGAGCTCACCAGAAACAGATTGTCAGACTGAGGCTGAGGCTGCCTGGGTCTCTCACTTCAGGCTCCCCCTTGGGTAGTGAGAAGAAGGGATACTGAAGGCTAGAAACCCAGTCCCCTGGCTGAGCATCCTCCTGGCTGCCCGCACAGGCAGATGCAGGGTGGCAGGGAGGCTTTGGGAGCAAGGGTGGCTCTGCAGTGACACGGGAGCAGTAAGCTCCCTCTACCTGCAACCACCACAAACTGGCTAGAAGAGCAGGTTTGGGCTGGCCAGGTCTTGGCAGCCCCCAGAACAGCAGTGTGGATGGCCTTGACTGGCCTCCTGGCACCCAGGGTGTTGTACTCATCTTATGGATGAGGAAACTGAGGCCCGGGGAGAGGAGAATCACTGACCTGGGTGAGGACCGTGTCCACTAGCCCTGCCAGAATTCACCGTGTGTCTCCTGAGGCCAGGACAGAGGAAGACCCAGGTTGACTGAAAAGCATCTCTAAGAAAACCCAGATAGCCTGACAGCACTGGGGAGCTGTCCACAGAGGTGGCCACAGAGCCTCATGGCATCCAGGCTATAGCTCACCCAGCCAGGGCCAAGGGATCCGCTCAACCCAAGGGTTCCCAGTGACTGACGGTTGTGACAGCCACACGGCCCTGATCATCCCCTCAGTCATCACCACATCCCCACAGAGGAGGTGCCATCACCCCACCTCCAGAGGAGACGGAAGTGTGTGGAGTCACCGTGGCACACTGGTTGGTAGCCCAGTGTGCTGCCTTTCCTGTCACCTGGTGTCGTATGGTGGTTTTAACGCCTGCTATGAGCCAGGCACGGCACAAAGTTCCTCACCCCAGACCCTGGCCCTGACCAGCGTTCCCACGGACAGACGGGTCGGAAGTGCCGAGCCTTGGGCCACTCCATACCTTCCCGATCCGAGACCTTTGGGGTCACAGAGACCTTTGGGGCAGGGCCCAGCGATGTGGCATCACAACTCTCTGGATGTCTCTGGGGGCCACTGGTGTAGACCTGCCCGTGAGCTGTGAGAATGACGTGCTGCCGGCCACTCTGTAGATGAACAAACAAAGACTCGAAACTTGGGGGCTTAGTCACTTGTCCACTGCGTACTCTAACGTCCTGGTGTCAGGCTGGGTGGCCAGGAGGGAGCCGCTTTGCTTGTCACCAGGCAAGGCAGGGAGTCCTGCCTGTGTGGCCCCCTGCTTTGTGGCCTCGGACAGCTTGTGGTTCAAGTCTGCCTCAGTTTCCGCATCTGTAGATGGCAATGGTACTTGTCCTGACCTTGGAGGTCATGGAGGATCAGATGTCCACGTGTACCCAGGGCCAGAACCATGTTGCTGTTATTATTTCTGGAGGGGTGGCCCTGCTCCAGGTCCCCAAAGGAGGCGAGAAACAGAAGCTGGGGGATGGTGGAGTAGGGAGCAGAGAAGTTGGAAGGGAGTGTTGGTCAAGGGTCCTGGAGCTGGGACTCACAGCAGGCCAGTGACCCCTGCAAGGATACCCAGGGTGGCCAAGCCTTGCTTCTCATCCCATGTGGTCCATCACTGGCTGGCTCTAAGCGTCCTTGGTCTTGCCGGTGGGGGCTGCTGATGACCTGGGCTACAGGAGGCGGTGGAACTCGGTGGTGGGGAGCGAGTGACCGTGGAAGCCACCAGAAGTCCCCTGTTGCCTGGTGGCCCAGGCCCCTCTGCTGGCCACACCTTCTTCCTCCCTCCCCACTGCCCCCACCTTCATCTAACTGTTTTCTAACTTCCTTCCAGCCTTACACACCTCTGGGAATGAGGTGCCCAGAGGGGAGTGCAGTGGCCCAGGTATGAATGTGGCTGCCAGCCTGGGGGCAGGGTTTGGGCCAGGCAGGGGAGGGCATCTGAGGTCACCTGCCCTCTGCAGGTGGCCCCACTCTGGAGGAGCATGCTTCTGCTGTGAGCTCTGCCATGTGCTGCCACTGCCCTTGTGCCCCTTTGCAGCGCAGTGTCTGTTCTCCGTGCTGTTCCCCGGCTCGCTTCTGCACAGGAGTGTGCCTGGCTTGACAGTTGTGTGGTTTTCACTAGTGCTTGCACCTGGGATCCTGGCCTGGTTTGATTTCCCCAGCCTGGTTTGGCACCTCGTTTCCCATTTGTCTCCATTTTGTAGAAAATGGGGCCATTGAGACCCAAAGTTGAGGCAGGAGTGGGTTTGGGGGCTGAAGAGTCAGGGTTGGTGGAGCTGAGGTCCTCTTGTCCTCTGCCAGAGACATGTTCCTGCAGCTGTCCCTGTCAAAACCCATGGGGAGGGTCAGCTGGTGCAGGCCCTGCCCTGGGGCCTCCTCCTGCACATTGGTCTCTTTAGCCCATGTCTTGTTGCGATGACCACAGTGGGGCAGCACGCAGTCACCGCTGCCCCATGCTGTCGTGCCTGCTGACTTACCCTCTCTGTGAGGTGAGCGCTTCCCATTCTACTGATGGGAAAACCAAGGTCAGAGAAACCACTGAGTGTCCCACAGGTACCCAGCAGGGAGGGGCAGAGCCAGGTGGTGCTCAGATGAGAACGGGGAGACCCTCAAACAATGGCCAGGATTGCACTGGCCCTGTGGAAGCACTGGCTGTCAAGAGGTCCCAGGGCTGAGAGTGCCCATGTGGTGGGCACCAGGACAGTGATGGTGCTGGCCACCCAGGGTGGAGGGGGCTTTGTGTGAGGGCTGGGGCGCCATGCAGGTGGCAGGTGTTTTGGTGTCTGGTGATGGAACCCCTTGGGAGGGCTGCCTCTGCCTTCTATCCTGTGTGTCACTCACCCACTCTCTGGTCTCACCCTGCACAGCCGCCATCAACAACAGCTCGGACACTGAGAGCATCCCCTCTCCACGCACTGAGGCCACCAAGGACACAGGGCAGAATGGGCCTAAGCCCCCAGTCACAGACGGGCCCCCAGCCACCGAGCCACCCACCTCTCCCCCAGAGGATGCTGTGGCCCCTGCTGAGCCTGCCCTGGACCCCGAAGCCAGTGGCCCACCCACGCCCCCACCGGCTCCCCCGTCACCTGGTACAGCCCCTCCTGTGGTCCCCAAGGAGGAAAAAGAAGAGACGGCATCCACAGGGCCCCCAGTGGAGGAGGGGGAGGAGCTGAAGCCCCCTGTGGCTGAGGAGCTGGCCCTGGACACAGGGAAGGCAGAGGAGCCACGGGCAGCCCCAGAGGAGCCAGTCAAAAGCATCAAGAGCGAGTGCAAAGAAGAGGCAGAGGTGGAGGAGGAGGGGGGCGTGGACAAGGGCAAGGGTGCCGAGGTTGGCCCTGAGGCTATCCCTGAGGGTCCACTCAAGGTGGAGACGAAAGACGCTGGGAGCAGCAAGGCCACTGCGGTCAAGGGCTCAGGTGCCCCCCAGGACAGCGACTCGAGTGCCACCTGCAGTGCTGATGAGGTGGATGAGCCTGAGGGAGGTGACAAGAACAGGTGGGTAGCCCATGCACACCTGGCTATGGTCTTTTGTCCTTTCGTGGATTTGCTCTGCACTTACTGAGCGTTGCTGTGCAAGACACAGGTTCTGCCCACCCTTGGAGCCCCGCAGCCATGTCGGGGCAGACATGGGGGAGAGGCCAGAAATATTGCTGTACGCTGGGAAAGAGGGGCGGGGTGGGAGGACCCGCCAGGGCTAACTCTGAGCTGAGACAGCCATGGAGTCTTCAGGGGGAGAATGTGTCAGGCAGCTTGCCTGACCTTCCCTGGGTAGCACCCAAGCTGGTCCTGTCACAGAGTTCTGGATGCCAGTGGTCCAAATCCAGGCTTCGTCCTGATGCAGGCTCGGGTTGGTGGTCTCTCTGCCTCTTCCACCTACGATGGGTGCTGTAGCCTTTTGCTTGTCGATGTGTCACTCAAACCTCTGCCTCTTTTGGTCACTTGGCCATTTCCTGTGTCTTGGTGTCCCCGAGGACACCAGTCACTGGATTAGGGCCTGTCCTGTTCCCATCGTCACACCCACAGGTGTGCCCAGCCACATAACGCAGGAGCTTCCACGCAGCAGGAACTGCACGTGCAAAGGCCTGGGGCGGAATGCACCTGGTGCTTACAGGGGTGGCTTTTGTGGACCCAAAGGCAGGCTGGGCTGCTGCAGCTGTCCTCAGTGCGGTGGGAAAATGGGAGCTTGCACCTGAGTGGGCTGGGCTGTGAGTGACACCTGAACCTGGCTGCCACGGTTTGCAGGCACAGTTACAGTTGGGGTGGTCCCAGGACTGATGATGGAGACGTTGGTGACAGTAGGAAGGAGAAAAGCTATAAATTCCAAAGACATGGGTGACTCACCTCCACAGTCGAGGGCCCCGGGCTTGGGCACTTGATCCCTGGCCAGGCGACCCTTTCAGCCTTACCCCTGGTGTGACAGCAGGTCTTTCTGGGACAGGTCTGCCGGCTGGATGATCAGGACCATAGCCAGCCTGAGCAGGTACTAGTGTCTCTGCGCTGTCTCTTCTGTCCCCACTGTCTTTGCTGTGAGTGGGGCACCTGTCCTGCCCTGGGTTTGCCAGGTTTTAGCCATTTTCAGGGCACCTGCTTTGAAACCCGGAGCCCTCAATCCACAACCAAAGCTGACCACCTGAGTTGGGGCCCATCTGGGTGCTCGAGGACAGAGCCATGGAGACCATTGGGTCCCATTTGACTGGCTGGAGGAACTGTTTTCAGAGGCAGGTGACAGCATGGCTTTGACATAATGCAGAGTTCCTCTGGGAACAGAGTAGAGCCAAGGGGATGCTGACCTGGAGACTGCACTGCCACCTGGCTGTCTTGGGGACGTTGAGGTGGGCACTTTCAGACTGTGTTTGTCGGTCCTGAACTCTGGCAATCCTGCACTCCTCCAAAGCAGGGTGCAGAAGACCCTGGGGTCTTCTGCCCCCTGGGTCCCCATAGGGACCACCGCCCACAGGAGCCTCACCTGTGTGTAGAAGCAGCAGCCTGGTGGCTCTGGTGAGCATAGGCCTGGCAAACAGGTTGCTGAGGGCACCAAGTTTTCCAGCCTTTGGCCCCAGAGGGACAGCTTGGAACATACAGGACTAACGTAGGGCTCAGGTTCCTGCGGACAGGATAGGATCGAAGCTTTGCGCCCCACTCCCACCGGCTGAGGACAGAGCCAGGGAAGCACAAGGTGGTTCAGCCCTGTTGGGAGGCGTGCTGAGCTCCTGAGGCAGCGTGGCCTCTGGGGTCTTTGCTGGCCAGGGCTGCCCCAAGCCCCCCAAATCCTGGGCTCTCTAAGGCCTCTGGCTGCCCTAGCTGGGCTCTATCTGTCCCTCCACTGGGCCGGTGTCCACCCTCCTGCCTGCTGTCCAGCAATCATCCCCCGGGAGCAGGGGCCTGGGCTGGGAGTCAGGACACCTGGTTGGTCAACGCCCCGTGTGACTGGGCTGGCCCCTGCCCTTGAGGCCTGCCTTCCCTTCTTGGAGAGGGAGGCTGGACTCGGGCCAGCCTGCTGACCGCTTCCTAGCTGGCAGCCGCCACCCTTCCCTCTGCCAACCACAATGGTGCAGGACCAGGCGGGCATCAGGGACTCAGGCGAGATGCGTCAGAGCAGGCCTGCCCCACGACCCTGGCCTCCCAGGAAGGGCCGCAGTTTGGGCGGGGCCTGGGTGACCCCAAGTTCTGGCTGTCTGCCCATCGCCTTCCCTCCTGGTAGCCCCAGCTTGGTGAACTCTGTGTCCCCGAACGGACGCAAGATGAATTTCATCTGGCCCCTGCCCAGACATCCCAAGCGAGCAACCCTTCTACCTTTGCCAGGCGGCTCTGCCTGGAGCTCTCCTGACAGGCAACCAGAGGCGGTGACCGGGGTTGCAAACCGTGCCCCGTTTCCCACAGAAGGTGCCTGGCACTTCCTGGCAGGGCTGGGTCTTGGGAAGGCCCCTTCCCCAACCCATGAGATGGGTGAGCTCACTCCCACATGACCAGCTTACTGGCAGGGTCACTGAGTTAGTAACTGTAAAATGCCAGCCTGGGGCCAGGTCCACAGTGGATGCTTGAGATGTGCTGCACCTTGGATCTGGACACCCCCAAGGTCACCCAGTTTCGTCAGCTGTCGCTGTGCATTTTCTTGACTGCTCAGGCGATGAGTTAGGCACCAGCATTTGCAGGCCCATGCTAAGAGCTGTGTCTCACAGGACAAGTGGACAGATGGGGCAGTCAGCATGGACCTCTCCACAGAGGTGACATGGGAGGATGCTTAGAGCTCCTAGTGTGACGTGTGGGAGCCAGACAGCAACAGCCAGTGCAAAGCAAAGGCCCTGTGGACACCCGACCTTGTGTTCAGTGGACAGCCCATGGCAGGAAGTGGAGCGAGTGACAGGGAGAAGAGTGGGCAGTGGGAAGCTGAGGGTAGGGTGGAGTGGGGAGTCAGGGCTTTATCTTGGGGCCCTGGGGAGGTGGGGGGTCTACGTGAGCATAGACGCTATCCACAGACCAGCTCTCCAGTGCCCTCCCAGCCGTGTGACAGCAGGGACACTGAGGCAGGGCTAAGCGGGGTGGGAACACACCGTCACCATCCTCGTGCTCCTGATTAATGTGCTCCAGGCCCCTGTCAGCCCTCTTTCTCTGCCTTGTGGAATGACAGGATGCTTGCTTGCCCATCCAAGGGGCAGTCTCCAATCAGTTCCTGCTTTATCTCCCACATACGGATGAGGAAACTGAGGCACGGTTGACCCACAGGGAATTCGAACTTGGAGCCTGACCTCTGCTTGGGCATGGGTGGGTAGTAGGTAGGGCCTCCCGGTCACATGTGCTGTGCCAGGCCCCAAGAGCCTGAACCCCAGCCAAGCCTCAGATAAGAATTGAGAGCTGCTGCCTTCTAAGAGGGGAGGAGAGAGGGTGGGTGAGGGCAGAGCCAGTGAGGGTCCCACTGGGACCAGGATGGGGTTCTCTCCAGCCTCTTCCTCCCTCCTCACTGTGCACACCCAGCCTCCCACCCCCAGGCTCCCCTTCATCAGGCTGTTGCCACGTGTTTGTGGGGGCTCAGAAACGAGGGGTGTGAACCTGCATGGGTTCCCAGAGAGTACAGAAGATCTGAGAGGTAGCCCTGGCTCTCACAGCCCCTGCCAGTCTGACCGTCCCCCTGCCTAGGGACGGCCACAGGGACACTAAGGCAGATGAGGGCACACAGGCCGTACGCAGACGCTCCCAGGCAGCCAAGTGGCACGGCCATCCTTTGTTTTATGTATTTTCAAAACCAAGTTTTTTTTTTTTTTTTTTTAGCTCTACAGATACGTATTTACATTCATACAAGTTTCAATTTCAGCTTTCGAGTTGTATCTCAGTGTTTTTCTCATTTCACACACATGAAACACGGCACGCTACTTACTGTGTCACTGCTGGGAGAACGCAGTTGCTGTGGGAGCCTCGCTCTTGTGGCTGGCTGGCACGCTCCTTGTCATAACAGCTTACTGAGATGGAGTTCACGTGACACGCGGCCCCTGGAAGTGTCAGTCATTTTTATGACAGCCACAGTGTCACACAACCACAACCTGCTGTTCCCCCCGCCCCCAAGATGCCCCACTTCCTGACCCTTTGCCCTGGAGGCCATGGTTGCCTCGGACTCTGGGGACAGTCTGTCCAGAGTGTTACTGGAAATGGGGCCCTGGGTCTGGCTTCTTCCTCTCATCTCCACGTCTGCGGGGTTTACCCACACGGAGGCGCGAGCCAGTGATTCTTTCCTCTCTGAGGCTGAATGGTGGCCAGTCTGGCTAGCACCGTCTGTACATCCATCCGTCATCAGCAGACAGACTGCTTCTGGCTGCCACGAGCCTGCATGGCCTTGCAGCAGGTACCCAGCCAGACATGGGGTGACTGCAGGCGTGGCCTTTGTGGCCTTGCGGACTCTCTTCCAAAGTGGCCATAGGGTTTTTTTCCATTGGAGTTTCCTAGCACCGGCAGGTTTAAGTGGATGATGCTGAGCGGACAGAGAGCAGGTGCTGGGTCGGGCGGTGGAGGAGGGAGAGGTCCAAGAGGGCAGCAGAAAGCGAGGCGTGGTGGTCCTGGGCAAGCTGCTGGATCTGGACAGGTAGAGCGGGAGGGAGGGAAGGAGGGGAGGAATGGAGGGCGGCCGCCAGGAGTCAGGGTGACCTTCTCCGCCTGGTCCCCACCTGCTGGCTGTGGGCAGCTTCAGCAGGCGTCGCCCGGTCTGTCTCCTCTCTGCCTGTTCAGCCAAGCGTGTGGCAGATGCAGGCAGGAGGCTGCTACCCGCAGGCTGACCTGTCACACGCCTGTGGTCCTGCCGCAGTGGAGTGGGAGGTGGGCTGCCAGCACAGCACCAGCACGTGCCTGCTCTGCTGGCTGGGGGGAGATGTGTTCTCCAGTCCTGGTGTCATGGCTGTCACCTGGAGGCAGTGGCCGAGGCTTACACGTCCTCATATGACGTGTACACATATGGTTCCAGCCAGGACGGTCACGGTGCACAGGGAGGGGCCGTGCTCGTGACCCTGCCACCTTCTGGAACCAATCTTCCTTTTGCCCTCTGGCCAAATCTCAGGGCCTGTGGCCGCTGCAGGGCGCACATGTGTGGTCACCACACTCTGCTCTGCTCCCTGGGGCAGAAGCCGGTCCTGCATCTGGATCAGTGCTCCCTTAGCACTGGGCCCGGCTTGCTGAGCACACGCAGGTGGCAGGCAGTGGCTCTCGGCTGGGGGAGGCCATTCCTGCCTTTAGAGGCCTCATGCCAGCTGGGTAGCCAGAGGTACGTGGCAGGGCACCATGCCCATGCTGGGTGTCCTAGAAGTTTCTGGAGGCTTCCTGAAGGAGGCAGTTGGAGAGCCGCGCCCCGCTGGAGGCTCAGATGTGCTCCCAGGTCTGCGTTTCAGCTGCAGAGAGCGACCATCTCTTATGGCCCCTGCTGGAATCTGTGCACACCCACCCCCTTTTCTACCTACATGGGTGGTGCGGGGGTTCCCAGCCCCAGGTGCGGCTCCAGCTGCCCCTCTGCAGGAAGCAGAGGCAGTCCTTTGCCCTGGCCCTGCCCTGGCACCAGAGCCGCTCTGGTTTGGGCGACGGCTAATCTCCACGGAATCTCTTAATCTCTTGCTTTAATCTGGCTGAGGCTTTGACTTCCCGGCAGTCCCTGAGGGCCCCACATGGCTTAGGTCCAAGTCTGCCTCCTCTAAGATTTTCCTTGCCTGGGGCTGTCTTGGGGATGTTTGATCCTGGCTTGGGCCTCTGGTCATACCGGGCTTCCTGGCCTGTGGCTGGGACGGTCTTAGCCTGCTGGGGCCTGCGTGGTCCAGAAGGACACCACCCTGTTTTCTGGTCCCAGTCCTCAGCAGGAACACTTGGTGTAGGCTGGGCGATCCTGGACACTTGTCCCCTTTCAGGGCTTCTCTGGCAGGCCCCACTGCCCAGGGCTTGAGACAAGAAGCCATGGAGACAGGACAGCCCCCTTCCTGAGGAGAGTCCACTGTGAGCCTGTGGCTGCCAGTGGCAGACAGCCAAGAGTCCCACACTGGCCTGACCTCTATCTCTCCCCTCAGGCTGCTGTCCCCGAGGCCCAGCCTCCTCACCCCGACCGGTGATCCCAGGGCCACTGCCTCACCCCAGAAGCCGCTGGACCTGAAACAGCTGAAGCAGCGGGCAGCCGCCATCCCCCCCATCGTGAGTGGTGCTGGGCTTAGCGCAGCCCCCTGACCTTGACTTCCTGTGGCCGGCACATAGCGGGGTGGGGGGAGCTGCACCTGTGGCCCTGGCTGGCTCTTCCCAGCCTCTTGTTTCCTGGAGAGGTCCCCGCGGAGACGGCAGGAACAGCTGGAGGAAGCTGGCCCGGCCACTGGCGCTCTGGGGAGGCACTGGGAGGAGCTGAGCACCTGCAGCCTGCGATGCTGCCCCCTTCTCACCCCCCGAGAGCCAGCAGGCTGCTGCTCCCCCTCCAAAAGTTCTCTTGAGCCCCCAGACCAGATGGCAGGGTGGCAGGAAGTCCCCCAGGCTGTAGTAGTACTCAGCCAGGAAGTATAGGAGCCCTGCCAATTCTGATTTGGGGCTTTTTGAAGGTCCCTACCCCCGAGAGGCCAACAGGCTCCTCAGTGGTGCCCCCTTCCAGAGAGGGGCCTAGCTCCCCAAGACCTGCACAGTTGTCTCTGCTTCTCAGTCCTGATTCTCAGAGGGATTTGGGATACAGGGACGGAGCCGGGGAGTAACAGAGCTCCCCAGCCTCCCTCAAAGCTGCTCCCTGAGCAGCTGGGATAGGTCCTTTTGAAGGTGGGCAACCCGAGACTCTCCCCTGTGCCTTCGTGGGGCTTTAAGTGTGTCACTGCCCCCTCTGGGTCCCAATTTCCTTGCTGGCCACACACAGTCACCCTTGACCTCTGCTCCCCTCAGACATCAGATGATGGTGCTCATGGTCCCTGCTTCCCCCAGCAGGTCACTAAGGTCCATGAGCCCTCCCGGGAGGATACAGCACCCCCAAAGCCAGCTCCCACTGCCCCACCAACACCACAGCACCTACAGCCGGAGAGTGACACACCTCAGCCACCCAGTAGCAGCCCCCGGGGCAAGAGCAGGAGCCCTGGGCCTCCTGCCGAGAAGGAGGGTAAGTGTGGCCCTGCCAGAGGACCCAGGGACAGGGGCCAACCATCTGTCCAGGGCATGTTGGATGTGAGATGGTGGGGGAGGGCAGAGATTGCAGCAAAGTGAAGAGCTCTGTTCTGTACAACATGGGTGGCCGAGAGCCCCCACAGGGCAGGGCAAGGCAGGCCTGGTGCTTTTCCCCGAGAAGACGCAAATGATCCATCCGCTCAAGGGAAATCCAGTTCCCAACCCGGAGGCTCCTCAGTTTCCAAAAGCATTGCCCATGGAAAAGCCTTTCTGCAGCCAGGCCTCCCCTTTGCCGCGGCTCAGTCCACAGATGAGGGTGGGAAACAATACAGACTTCTGTCCCAGAACCAAAGCAGGGCTGTCCCAGAAGGGTGGCCTGTCCACACTCCCCATCTGATAAGCCCACCCACCTGCTCCCCACAGCCACCTTCGCCTGTGGCAGAAGTCAGGAGCCAGCACCTGGGCAGGTGGATGGCGGATATCCTGGCCCTGGGCCAAGCCATTTTTGATCCCCTGTGTCACTAAGCACTGCACTGGGCAGAGTGAAGGTTTTCCTGCTTTGGGAGCCACCTTTCAGGGAGAGAGAAGGTTAGACAAGGAGACATGGAAAGAATAAAGAGGATAGAAAAGCATCTGTCCATGAGATCAGGATGGGCCCAGCTATGAGGCTGCCCAGGGAGCTTGTCTCTGGAGTGAGGGAGAAGCCAGTTACGGGGAGCGGAGCAGGTAGCAAACCAGGCAGCGAGAACAGCATATGCAAAGACCCTGGGGTGGGAACATGCTTGGGTGTTTTTGAGAAGAGTTGTCAGGAGCCAGTTGTGGCTCGTAAGAGGGTGGGAGAAGCAGGTCAGAGAGGGAGATGAGGACCAAAATGCGTAGGACCTCATCAGCCACGGAAGAGAATGGGGTTTTAATGAAAACGGGAGGGTGTGTACTCTGACCCATGTCTTGGGAAAATTTCTCTGCTCACTGTTGAAAGGATTACCGGCCCCAGTGCTGCTCCAGGCAGTGAGGCAGTCTGGATTCACAGGTGGCTGAAGAGGTGAGGAAAAGAGCAGGATTGGGTTTGCTTCAGATACAAAGCCAGTGGGGAAGGAAGGCAGGAGTGCCTCGCTGGGACAGGATGACCATGGCAAAGGGGTGCACTCCAGGCGAGGCGGGAGGACATTCTTGCTCAGGATGACAGCCTAGGGTTAGCATATCAGTGTCGGTCCACAGCTATGGCTAGTGTCAGGCTGCGGTCCTGGAGAGAGGGAGGTCAGGAGCCAGCAGTGCCTGTGGCCGGCTCTCGCTCTCGGCTGTTTCCTAGACGTTCTTCCCACGGGTCAGGAGCACACCTGCCACCGGGTGCTTAGTGCTTCTCTCACGTGGTCTGGCGTCAGCTCCACTCCCTGGGGCCACGTGAACCCAGCACAGCCTCTGGATGTCTCAGGAAGCACGCCTCCCCCATCCTGGCTCCTGCATGGAGCTGCTCGGCCAGGCTGGTCCTCCAGGCTTCCCCAGGCCTGGCCGGAGGAACAGGTTGTCTCCAGGTTCTGGGCCACCTGCCCGGCCTGGCTTGGCCTCAAATTTTCTTCCAGCATGAGGGCCTCCTCTCCCGTCCTCCTAACTCTCCAGAGCTGAGCCAGCAGAGGCAGCTGAGGAGCACACAGAACTGGGGTCCCGTGAGCCAGGCCCAGGTGCTGGCGGAACTGCCTGGCCCTGGGTCCCCCACTGGGGGGTCAGTTTCTGGCTGCGTTGCTCCAGGGCGCAAGTTCCAGGGAGCCTTCTCTCTCCTGGGGGAAAAGGTGCAGCACTGGGGCCTCAGCTCCCTCCTGCCACACCCTGCCTTCAGGATCTCCTTGGGTCGTCAGGAGGTGGCACCTGCCTGCCATTCCTGTCCCAGGGCCTAGGCCACTATTACTCCCATTATGTCTTGGCCGGTCATCTGCCCCGGGGTTGGTCCTTGCCAAGGGCGAGTGACCAGCAAAGCACACTAAAGTCAGCTCTGATCCTGGACACCCCAGGCCTGAGAATCCAGGGTCACACAGCAGTGCTTGCAGCAGGCAGCATAAAGCCACAGCTGCAGCCCACCACTCCCCCAACCCCTCGCTGGCTGGGCCACCTCCAACTCTATCATGGAAGGAGCTGTGAGGACAAAATGCAAATACGCTTAGCATCGCCCTTGGGGTTGTCATTTTGCAGCCACATGGGTGCACGTTCTGACTTGGCCACATACTGGCTGGTGACCATAGAGATGCCCTCTTGTGTCTGGACCTGCTTCCCCTCTGCAGAGTGGGGCTGGTCACCTTCTCCTGCATGCTTGCCAAGGCCGGGCTGATGCTAGGTGCGTTGTGTCAGGCCACAGCGATTGAGGTTGTCTGGAGCCATGGCTGGTGACACACACATCACGGTCGTTCAGAGTCACAAGTGAATAGCTCGGGCCTCACAGGCTACACGCACTACCGCACCCTCTCAGCTGGGCTCTGGACAGCAAATCCGTGGATGGGGGACAGCTGCTTAACACTGCCTGTGGTTTCTGTCTGGGCCCTCGCTCACCTAACCCTGGTGGCACTTGTGGGATTAGCAAACCCAACAGCTCCGTTCTTATGTCCAGAGGTTCCCTGGGGTCTCAGGCTGCTGAGAACTCCCGGCCCTGGCTCCCCACTTCCCAGAGTTGAGTGGAGCATCCTGGAACACAGCAGTGACCAGGCCTGCTGACCCGAGGGCTTCTTGGAAGGTCCCCAGGACTGCTGGCTGGGGTGTTGCCCTGCCTGTAGCCAGCACCACAGATGTGGACAGGCCAGCAGGGCCGCAGGGTCTGGGAAGCCAGCACCACCTGACCACCTGCCTCATTCCTTCCTCAGCAGAGAAGCCCCCATTCTTCCCAGCCTTCGCCACCGAGGGCCCAAAGCTGCCTGCCGAGCCCCCACGTTGGACTTCAGGCCTGCCCTTCCCAGTGCCGCCTCGGGAGGTGATCAAGGCTTCACCGCATGCCCCAGACCCCTCAGCTTTCTCCTACGCACCTTCTGGTGAGGAGCTCAGCCCACACTTGTTGGGCATCACGTCTGCACTGGCATGGAGTTGCTGGGGACGGGCATTCGATTGGAATGAGGTCGGGCACAGGGACGGCCTGTCCAGTGCAGGAGAGTCCTCTGGGACTTGAGAAATCTATAGGTTGAGGGTGGATGTGTTGGGCAATAGGGAGCCACAGGAGGTACAGGAGTAGTGAGGGGCAGGCCTAGTGTGGGCATGGGTTTTGTGCCATTGGCTTAGAGCTAAAGGACCAGCAGGTGGAGAGATAGCCTGAGGGAGGAGAAGCGGGCTGCTTTGGCTCACAGATGCTTTCCAGTGCTGCTGACCTCGTTAGTAATAAAAGCAGCACAGCTGGGGGCCCATACAGACTGTGACATCTACAAAGGTCATCCTAGGCAGAGCTGACCTCAAAGGACGAGTGGGCCAAGGGACCTGGTAGAATAGCAGGGACAGGCTTGCCAGGCAGAGGGAGCAGCGTGTGCAAAGGTCCAGAAGCAGAAAAGAGTGAGGCTTGAAGCTGACTCAGGCTGCCATGGCAAAAGCTCGATACCAGGGGCTGGGTCAGGTGAATCCAAAAGCCATGTCGGGTGACTGCCCTGAAGGCAATGGGGAACCATTGAAGGTCCACAGCAGAGGGAGCGTGTGAACCACTAGATGTATTTAAAGATCCCTGTGGTCCCCGTGCAGGGGAAAGAGTGTCAGATGTGAAGTGGACATGGGGAGGCTCAGGTGAGGCTGAGGCGTGGACAGGGCAGAGTCTGAGCAGCAACCCTAATAAAGCCAGGCTGCCCAGACTCAGACTGAACAGAGGGCTGAGAGATGCAAACGGCGAGAGGGGCAGAGGGGTCCCCCTACATGTTGATGTGTGCCCGCAGGTCACCCGCTGCCTCTGGGCCTCCATGACAGTGTCCGGCCCATGCTGCCACGCCCCACCACCATCTCCAACCCTCCTCCCCTCATCTCCTCCACCAAGCACCCCAGCGTCCTCGAGCGGCAGATGGGCGCCATCTCCCAGGTGAGGGCCCCTGCTCTTGGGACTTGGTCTTTGTCACTGAAAGGTGGGGCCATAGGACCAGTGAGACTGGGTGGGGTGGGCTCTCAGGCCCCTGATTGTCTCTGTTGCGGGGCTGTCAAAAGCACAGGCTCCGGACCGAGGCTATGTAGACTCCCGTAAGTGACTTGACCTCTCTGGGCCTGAGTTCACCTTCTGTTGATGAAAGGCAAACGCATACAAAGTGACCTAGCCAAGCTGCAGTGTGTGCTTGGCACTTGGCTGTCACCCTTCACGTAGCACAGGTCGGCTTGGCTCAGACCCCTTCTTGTGCACTGTGTGCCTCACACGGCACTGGCAAGGGGACTGAGGCTCAGGAAAGGCATGGGCCTGTTGGGGTCACACAGCTGGGCAGCAGGACCCGACCTCCAGCTCCCACTGTGACCTGTGTGTCCTGTGGCTGCTGTGGCAGGACCTTGACCCTTGTGACGCCCTCGCCTCTGCCCTGCAGGGAATGTCGGTCCAGCTCCACGTCCCATACTCTGAGCACGCCAAGGCCCCAGTGGGTCCCATCACCATGGGGCTGCCTATGACCATGGACCCCAAGAAGCTAGGTGAGGACCTGCCTGCCCACAGGGGACCCCTTGGCTCCTGATGCCATGATAAGTGGGGGGTGTCTTGGGCCACTGGGACCCCCACATGGGGGAGGGTGGCCCATCCTCGGCCTGTCCCAGGGCACACACACCCTCCTGTGCTTACCAGTGCCCTTCAGCGGAGTGAAACAGGAGCAGCTATCCACGCGGCCAGGCCGGGCCACCTGAGAGCCTTGGGGTGCCAACAGCCAGGAGACATCTGTGCTGAGAGGTGAGGCCTGGCCACCCAGACCCTGGACATCTTCTGCCCCACGTTCCCAGCCCCACCCTGGCTACTTGGACAGTTGAGGTGGCCTGATGTCTCTCAGAATCTGCTGAGAAGTGTCAGAACCCTTTCTTTGTTCTCATCCCCCTCACCTTGGAGTCACCGAGAGGTATAAGTGGACAGCTCTTGGGCTGCAGAGGGCCACAGGCACCCTGAGCACGTGTCTTGTATCTTCTAGGGACAGCCCTGGGCTCTGCTCCAAGCGGGAGCATCACAAAGGGCCTCCCTGGCCCTCGGGCACCTGCGGACAGCCCCAGCTCCTACCGCGGCTCCATCACCCACGTAGGTGTCCGGCTATGGTGAGAGGATGGGCAGGGGGCAGCCAGCAGATGCTCATTCATCTGGTCTGTGTGGGAGACCAGGCTTGGGGTGCCCAGCAAGGAGCAGGGGTGTGGCTAGAGGCAGCAGCACACACAGGCAGGTAATGGCTGAGGACAGGTGACATCAGAGGACCAAGTACTGTAGATCAGTCACATACCATGATGGAAAGTAAGGTACAGTGGTACACACCTGTAATCCCAGCTACTGGGGATATGGAGATGGGGGTTCGAGGTCCAGGCTGACTGTGCAAAAGGACTTGGGGCATGGAAGGTCACTCGGTCCAGCAAGTGAGGTGGCATGTCAGGAAGGACAGAAGAAACAGAAAGCTCTGGGAGCAGCATGTGCAAAGACCCAGACAGAAGTAGGAGGGCTCCTGGCAAGTCCGAATAAGTGGTGGCCCCAGGTTTGGTGCCAGCTGTGTGTAGCTGAGCTTGTGGGAAACAAGCACGGTTTTGACCTGCGCACCACAGACCTACACTGGAGGATGCACTTGGGTGCTCCATGCTTCCCGATGTCATGGTCACAGCAAAGAGCAAAAGCTTGGGGCGAAAGCCCAGCTGTGCACTTGAGTCCCAGCTCTGTCTAGCACTCCCTGACTCAGTTTCTCCTTTGGTAGAGTGTCCCCAAAGAGACGTTTGCACAAAGCGGTAGGGATTCAAGGTTAGCACTTACAGCTGCTGGGTCCTCCATGTCCTTTTGGGGCCCAGGTGGCCGTGACCCAGACCCACACTCGCCCCTTCCATTGGTTTCAGCAGAGTGGCAGCTGCTAAGATGTCCGAGGTGGGTGAGGTGGGCCCCACGCGGGCATCGGTCAGCTAACGCGGGGAGTGACAGACAGGGAGGGCCACACAGCGCCCCACTCAGCTGCTTCAGAGACCCAAGGACAGTCCCCCTTGTCCCTCTCTGTGCTCCCCACCCACCCTAGGGACAGAGCTATAGGCTCAGATTATTGCCGCAGGCAGCAGGCATGGGTGGCTTGTCCCCAAGCAAAGCCATGGCGTGTCTGCATTGCCGTCCTCGGTCCATGCCTTGGAGGACACTGCTGGGGACCCCTCCAAGCATGTAGCTTGCGAACAATGAGGTGCCACCTCGAGAGCCCATCTACCACTCGAGCTGGGTAGCAAGCCAGTTTCCCCCGCTTCAATGTGTTGTGGCACAGACCTTCCGTGCCATCTATGAGGTGACAGGTGCTGTCAGCTGCTGTAGAAGGACTCCTCCTGGCCCTCGCCCCTCTCCCAAGCTCTCCCCGATCTCTGCACCCTGTGCATTCTCTCTGTGTGCCTGCATTTTCCAGCCCTGTGGGGAGGTCCTGGCTCCCTGCCTGGCCCTGTGAGATTGGGGAGCCCTGCTTTTCCCTCCTCACAGGCTGTGATCAATGTTTGTGCCCTTCAGGGAAGGTCCTCAGCAGAGCGAGTGTGATGGAGCCTTGGCCCACTGGCCCAGGGCCTGGCACATAGCCAAGTCACTGGCCCTGCTCCTGGGGCCAGAGGGGAGGAGGGACCTTGGAATGTGGGGATACCTGGTCTGGGGCGGGTACCTCTGAGAGCCCTCATTTTGTACACATGCTCAGAGTGGCAAGAATTGGACACAGGTCTTACAGCAATTCGGTGGTGAAGTTGCCAACGTGGTCCCTGACAGTTTTTGGGCTTCAGAAACCACATTCTGACCTACCCCACTGTGGGTCTTGAAGTCGTACCCAGTCAGGTGGACCCATGGCCCCGCGCTCTTGAACACGTTTATGCCGGGGGAACTCACTTCCTCTTAGGCAGC